AATAGAGGTCCCCCTTGGTTTTTTTGCCCCCTAGGTAGCGCTTAATATATGCATGAGCTCCTTCAGCACGGGAGGTTACTCGTATACCGAAGTGTAAGTATTGATTTGTCCAAGCCTCAACTAAACGCTCCTTTTGACCAGGTTTTAGCCACTCGTTTTGTAGGTATGCCACACACTGTTGAGTCTTAGGGTTTGAGTATTGAGTCTGAAACTCAAGCCAGCGCTTATCAAATTGCTCAATTGTCTGTGCTTGAATAACTATACGCCAGGCAGTCTCGAAAGCCTTCCAATCCTCTTCCTCGACTACATTCTTACATTTAGCAAGTACATATTGGTTTACATGCCAAATACAGAGTAGTGTAGGGGCGTGCGGAAACACCTCTTCTGACGCATTCTTTTGAGCCTGGTCACCGTCTATAACTATAGCTCCAGGGTTAATTCCAAGCTCTTGAAAACATTGGAATCCCCATATAAAGTCTTGCTGTGTTTCACCGGGAAGGAAGCAAAATCCAATTGAGAACGTTAATCCAGAGCTTGTAACACCTATGAATACTTAGTATTATAAGTGTACAAATAAGTCAAAAGCGGTACTTACCAATCATATGTAAGAGTGGCATCTGAAACTTATTTGTCTTATATGTACTATCAACTAATAAAACATCTTGATTAGTCTGTGCAAGCTGAATTGACTGTGGATATGCAATGAAGAGGTGTTGTGTCCGGTTCTCTGACGTGACATTGATTTTGAAGTGTATTTTGTTATCTGTAAGGTGCTGAATAAGGGCGTCGTTTGGAGAGAGTCCATGTCTTTGCTCTCTTTTAAAAGAGGCATTCAGGTTATATATGTCGTACGGTTGAAGTGGGGTAGTAGTTATCTGGCGAAGGTATGTAATTGCTTGGCTTGGCTTAATCCCTAAATATATATTAGACTTAAATTATTTCAAGTTACTTTCTATCTTATCTGGAGGCAGTGGCATAGACGTATGAGGGGTGGCATCTGCTGACGCTGGCTCAAGTGGTTGCTCAGGTGAATGTAAGGGTAGTGGCGACAGCGAGAGTTGAACGTCCATTTTCGCTATGTAGCTATGTCAGGCGTGCATTGATTACAGTCCAAAGTACAGTGCTGATAGATGAAAATGCGACGCGCGCGCATTTCGGTGGTGGGGGGGCGTGAAAACCCGCGCTTAGTCAGCTCTAAACTGACGCCGGGGCGTCAGTGTATTGGGACCCGGAGTGCCCTGCCCTGCTTACGTAACTATGTGTGCACCTAGGAGTAGGATTTAGGGCGGGTTTAGGACGGTCGCGGAACGCTTTCGAAACGCTTTTCGGATACTCTCGGGACGGTCCTAGAACGATTTTATATATAGGAAACTAGCCTTAACTATCTTATTAATATAACTATCTAATATTTCAAAACTATCTTCATACATAAACCGCCCTCCTCCTATCACCTGGCGGTTTTTTCCCTAGGACTAAATTCTATATAAAACCCTTTTTCGAAAGTCTCTAGATAGTCTAAAAAACTCTACTTTCCCCTCTAAGGTCTACATTGGCACTTGATTCAGTTGGTGGAGGGCGGTGGTGAGGTGGTTGCTAACCCGCTTAAGGCTTTAGCCATTAAACTTCTCCTCTGTGTTAGTATAAAGCATCTAGTCGCCAATCGACAGTAAGAAGGGTTTGAACTGTGCTGGAAGTCCACCTCGCTCCACCTCCTTAGATGCCCCAAGGTAGGCACCAATTGCCGTACTATCGTCGTTGGCTTGGATCTGTTGAACTAGTTTGTATAGGTTTTCCAATCCGCTATACACACAGTCGTAGAAAAGAAAGTCAAGTACTTCGGTAGCCTTTGCTTCACCAATCAGTGCTTTTCTATTGTCCTTAACCCTAACAAGGTCCCCTTCACAGGTATCTAATCGAACCTTGATACTATCTTTATTCAAGTTTATTGGATGTTGTATCAAATGTGTAGCGGAGGTCGTAGATGGTATCTAGGCCGACGAATAAATTAGCCTACCAATAATTAAAAGATACTACTAAAACTTCCGGTAAACGTATCACGAAGCCTATTCCTAAGCTAGTCTAGTATCGAAAGTTGAATCTTTGTAGGAACAGAAAGATGGATGCTGCTTTCATCTATAGGCTCTTCAAAATCGAGTGCCGCTTTCCATGGCGCGCTAGGGCGTGTCGCGCTAAAACCAAGCGAGAAATTTCTCGTTATTGATTGCGTAACACCACAACCGAAACACAATTCCACAACATCTTTACGATGACCGATAAACATCAACGCTATAAAGGCCGCGATATGAGCGATTACGCCACCTTTCTCGGCGAGACGATGGACACTGACGACGAGGCATCTGCTGCATTTGGCGCGGACGTGGAAGCTTGCGGTGACGCGACTCCTATCTCGTCCAGCTCAGTATGGGCTGACCAACCTTCATCCAGTATCCTGAACGCTGCTGGTATGCAAGGTAACCCAGGAGTGGCGCGACACGACTTTGATACAGTCGTGTACGCTAGGTCTTCTCCAAGTTCAAAGCTGATCAAACCAGAGTTTGTGACGACCCAAGAATTGATTGCAGCTCGAAGCCGCAATGAGTTCGGGGAAATGTCGCAAGGAGAACCAAGACCCATCAAAATGGAGCCTCAAGATGAGGTATTCCTATACGATATCCCAGTGGATAATGATCATGAAAACGACGATGGCGCTTTGTTGCCAGACGCTCAAAACTACAGATCGGCAGACTCTGCGATGTCAGATCTTGTAAGTTTTGGTGAGCTTGATTTGGCTACAGCTGGGATGGAAAAGCGCAAGTTCTCAGAAGAAAATCCAGGTATCCCCAAGGGCCAGAAACCCACAAATTCAGAGGATCCTCGTGCTTCAGATGAAACACGAGATCCCGACGTGACACTCAGTATGCCGAACGCTGCTGATGTCGCGTCGCGTTTGAAAGAGAGCGAAATTCTTGCTTCTCCTCAAACGCGCAGGTTGAAGAGGTTGAGAACCACGGATCCTGCAAGTTCAGAGGCTGATGTGGCTTCAAGAAAGAAGTCAATGTCAGAGTCCTCCTGTTCAGAGTCTGATGTGGCTCCAAGAAAGAAGAAAAAGACCTCCAAGAAGGCTGGCAGCGGTGACTTTGATCGCGATCCGGATTCCGGAATCGACGACAAAGAAATCCCCGATATCGAAGTTGTTTATGATGAATACTGGACAGAACAAGACGAACAAACTCTCCGAGATGATTTTCAAGATCCAGATGAGTCCGTCTGCAATGACGGAATGTTTTCGCTCATTCGCAAGACCGGGGCTCGATTTGGCATGATGTCATTCGACCTTGTTCCCGAGGGTGGTATACCACAAACCGCCTCTAGTCAATTTGTGCGGCATTTGGGAAAGTGGTCAGATGCACTGCTTTCATCAAAAACCCGCAGTTCCTCAAGTATTGTCTCGCTTTTGCGCGATACAATCGTTTAGGTAAGGAACATCTAAAGCCCAGTACTGACGATTTAGACTTGGATGAAAACAGTCTCGTCGCAAAATTCAAGAAGAATGTACGTCAGATCACTGGTGACCGAGAGGTGGATGCCGGTTATTTGAAAGCTTTCAAAAAGACACTCAATCTTGTGTCCCAGAGGCCGACGCACTTCAAGATGGCAAAGGTTTTGAAGGGCCTCAAGGTTGCTATACCACGCCACAAAGGTGCAAACGCCGAGGCAATCACCAAAGGAGATCTTGATAGGATCTGTAAGGCATGGGATGATTATGCCACCAAATCGCGGGATTCCTCTTTGCAACTCATGCAAGATATTCCAGATATCGCTCTGGCTCGTGGCCCATCGAAGAAGGGGCAGAATAAGCATCAAGCTATTGCACGAGAAAAACACATTCAATGGCTACTCAATCGAGAACGCATTTCGAGACGCGCCACGAACGAAAGTACCCGATAAAACGACCACGACTCTGACTCGCCAGATCTGGGCAATGATCATGATTTCAGCTTTTCTGAAAGTCCTGTTCGGGTTGACACAAACGAGGAAGCCCCAAAACATCCAAGAACTCATCGCAGTGACTCTGCGTATGAAGAGGAGGAAAAAACTGACATGTTCAACGAAGATCCACTTCCTGTTATCAAGAGATGCGGATCGTATGGGGCTGTCAGCCTTATAAAAATATCAAATAAAGGATTCAAAACAACAACAAGGTGCAAAAAAGTGATTCAAATAATCGTGATTCTTGTCTGTGTTTACGGAATCCAGGCATGCCCATATATTGCCTGGAATATGTCGCAAGAGTTTACTTTCATCCAAACCTCTTTTAGTTCGAAATGGAATCGGAGAAATGGTACTTTTTCCAATCTTTGAAAAAGGTTTTGGCGTAATTTGATGACTTGATTTGATGTTTTCTGAGGAACCACTCAAAGACAGATACTGTAAGAGCTTCTAACGACAACCACCAAGTACCCCTTCCTGGATAACAGCTTCATGACAACCTTCGGATATCCTAAGGAAAGACCGACAACAGCTACATATTCCCGCCCCGACAACAGCTCCGTGGAAAAGTCTCGATTCCTGCGATAGGCATGCTCGCGCAACGACAAAAGCTCCATGGCAACGTCGGCTACAGTCGGACTTCCCCCCAGACAGAACCTCTAGGACAGGCCTCTGGATTTCAAACACAAATTATTTCCGCCTCAATAAAAGCTCCATGGAAAGGTGCGAGAGGAACATGTTTCCACCCCGACTACAACTTCATGGAAAGCTCGCGAGACCTTGAAAATTACCACACACTCCCTTCCCGACAACAGTTCCATGCGAAGCTCATCTTGCTTCCGCCATGACCTAAAACAACACAGCCTCTTTGGCGCATCATGTTTAACACTATCCCAATTGAGCAGGCTTCTCCTTCTGGCCTTGACTTTCGCCAATTCGTCTTTGATACACAATTTTGAGTCTTTCCCCGCCCTTTCCAGAACGAAGCTGATAAACATCACACAGCCAAGCATAGCATGCGGTGGTAATCCACAGTTTCTTCAATCATGCCATCCGCACGCATCAACAACCACTTTGACAAGTTCGAACTGTCCAAGGATAAGCAGGCCGCGCCGGATATTCCCTGCAACAACGACTTTGGCCCAGGCACATAGGGTGTTGTTGGTCTGCCGCGATTATTCGATGAGCATGGAATGGGCAAACCGTAATGGAAATCCTCCGCAACGACCACTTTGGCTTGCGCCAGATATGGGAACCGTGTAGGGCAGATTTCTAGATCGGTGTGCAACAGACCCAAGCAATTGGGGTGTTGGCAGGAAACTCACTATATGAAGGAATTTGAGTCAGAGTTGAGTGTGTATATATAGGATTTATTCTTCGTGAGAGTACTTACCGGCGCTATGGGGCCCTCATAAAGCATCTAGATGTTCTAGAGTTTACGAGGCCTATAACAATAATCGGATGAGTTGAAACCGCCTAATTATAAGGAAGTTACAACGAATTGTTGCGCGAAGAGAGGTTCCCAAGTAGCTAGCATTCTTTCATGGTACGCTGGTGACTTCAAGGTTTCCAATTCTCATCACATCTTCGACAAATCTCTTCTCACGGTACCTTTACCACCCTGCCAGAGCCAACCTTTGCAGGGCTTGCTCATCTCTCAACTCAACGAGTCCAACATTTACGTCGACGAACCCATATTTCGACCCTTTGAAAAGCTCTTTGGTTATGCTATCGACTCGCAATTGGCAATGTATCTCGTTGTATAGCAGAATCATAATCCTGCCCGTAGGTAGCTGTTACTTGTAACAATCTTAGAAACAAAAACCAAGCGCAGTATCGAGATGAATCCACATCATATGGATTCTCCGGATTGATCACTCTGGTTACATATGGTGAATAGTGCTAGGCACCTCATATGAACTAGCGTACTTTGGAACTAATAGTCAGTGCGTCTTTCCTCTGCGCTATCGCTTGAGGTCAGTGATAGCAAGTGTCCCGTCAGGCACGTATATAGGACTCTTTTCAGCGATACAACTCCACTTCTACTAGTTAGAAAGACATGTAAATAAGACCGGCTTATAGGTATAATTGATTACTGTCCTATATATAAAGGTTATATTTCTTCTAATACGATTTGCGTCTAATGCAGACGATTTTTAGTGTACCTGTACCCCACAAGAATTTGGTAGGGTACGCACGTGACTACCACTTTTGCGTGCGCAAGTGTCACGAATCACGTGTTAGCATGTGATGAGTTAGTCCAGACGGCGTTCTGACAGGACAGATACATCCAGAGTAGTTATATCATAGCAGTGGTTACTCAGGGTTGTTGAGTATCCAAGGATTTCATAGCATTCATAGTCACGTGACAAAGAGCGCGACAGCGCGACCGAGCGAGCTGTCGCAACACGACGGTCGAAGGGAGCGACATTTGGAGAACGAAGGTTCTATATAAGACTGGCACGTCTGCCATTAGATAGGAGCTTCGTGCTCAACTTAGTTATCAATCTTATCATATTAGTTTGACATCTTTGATACAAGTAACGAGTTCACTTCCAAGTGAACAACCCGATAGTCTTCTTCTTATCATAGCATACCAACCAGCGAACACACAGCCAAGTTTAGTTAGCCAGTTTGAGTATTCGTTACAGCAAGTACGTCTTTTCGTACTTTCCTTTAAATTCTATAACATCTAAACATCTTACGGTCGCATTTAGCTTATAGGTTATGATATTATAGAGCTAGCAAAGGGCTTTCTTTTAAGCCTATATAGAAGTTTCTAGCTTAAATATCGACGCTTATAGAATAATCCTAGGCTCAAAGGGACACTTGCTTTCACTGACCTCAAGCGATAGCGCAGAGGAAAGACGCACTGACTATTATCTAATAAGAGACCTGAACTCCTAGCCACGCTAGCTAGCTATCTACTCAATACAACCACTTCTTGACCCACACCTCTTCATCGCACATACCTAACTACGTAAAAACAGTACTGCTAAACCTCTAATTTGATATTAGCAAAGCTAAAACAAAATGTTTATTTTTATTTAAGACGGTAAAACGTGATCTTCATGTGATTTTCCATAAATCTCTACTTATTTCGAATCGGCCTGAGTAAGCGAAAAAGCTCAACCTCCTTTTCAACGACACTTGCCAGCATCCATACTACTATTGAGCTGAAACCCTGTCTCAAAGACTCCAGTTGTTCTCATCGCTAACTCTTCCATAGTAAGCATTTATTGGTTTTTTCACGTTCACATTCAATCATTACAATTAATTATGAGAAAGCCAGTGGTGGAATTGGATTGAATTAGAAAGCTCTAATCATCCATTCCCCCAATTACCCCATACCCCCTTACCCCCATACCCCCATACCCCCTTATCCATCAATCTCCCCTAAACCCCCCCAAACCTTATAAAAACGCCAGCCTGACTATCAGCCTGTGTGGGATTACCAAACGGGACAGGTGCCTGTTGCGGGATAAACTGACTACCAGCTTGCATGGACTCACCATACGCGACAGGTGCCTGTTGTTGGTAATGGCCTAACTGACTACCAGCTTGCATGGACTCACCATACGCGACAGGTGCCTATGGCGGGGGATAGCCTAACTGACTACCAGCTTGCATGGGAGGACCATACGAGACAGGTACCAGTGGCGGGGAATAGCCTAACTGACTACCAGCTTGCATGGGAAGACCATATGAGACAGGTGCCTGTGGTGGGGGATAAAAGACAGGTGCCTGTGACATTGAGCCACTTTGAGCACCACCGTGATTTCCACCACGATTTCCACCACGCTTTCCAACGCCAGAACCACCACGATTCCATCGCGATTTCCAACGCGAGAACTACTACCAACCGTTCTCACTTGGGAGATGGAGTCACTGGCGACTTCAGATCCAGGCCTAACATTCAAGCTGGCCTCATTCTGCTTAGCTAGCTTGCGAGGAAGAGTCAGAGCTCCCTTCTCGCCAAAACTCTGTTGAACCGAGAGAGGGGATTCGCCGGACCGCATCGAAAAGTTTCCGAAGTTTTGGTGCCATGCCTGGGGCTGCATCCAATCAGTATTCCATGGTCTCATGAGAGTCATCCAGCTAGGATCAGGAGTAACATTGTCGAACTGTTGAACGCCTAGCGCATCGAAGCGTCCAGCAGCAAACTTCCCAGACTGTGGCAGCTTAGCATCAGTAGCTGCATTTAGGAAGATCTCGAAGCTTGGAGCCAGCTCCCAGAGTAACCATGGGATGTTGAAAGAGGGTCGGCCTTGGCGAAACTTGACCAAATAATTCCACGCCTGTCTGCGAGTCCACTTGTGTAGATCTGGACAGGTCCTCAATTCATGATCGACTGTGTCACAGAGTGGACAACCCGGAATAGTCCCATCGCGGGTCAATGGGCCCATACATCGTCTCAATGTATGACCTGCCATCAGACAGTTAGCACACTGCCTTGGCTCTCTGGCCGCTGGTTGAATCACGTCGTCGTCGATCCTTAAAAAATGGATGTTGTTGTAATGAAGAACAAGGATTCAATTGTGCGACGGCCGCGATGATATCCAAATCGAACTTGCACCGTTAGCGCGGCTTCGACGCTAGTGAACTTAGCGCCGCCAAGCCGTGCTGTGTAAGAACCCTGGTCATTGCTCTATACACGTCATCAAAAGTCATTATGCCAGAAGTCTAGCACAACTTAATTGATGGTCCTATTTTGTCTAGGTTAATAAGGAGTGAAAAGTATTAATTATTCTAAACCACCTAGGTATTCGTACAATTGGTTTAGTTGTGTGAGGTCTTTAGGATTCTAATTTTATAACTCAGGTTTGCAGTACAGAGTAATGCCCGCCTCTTTTATATCAAAAATACTTTCGAGACCTACGACACTCGTCAAGTACAACACCATCAACCTCAACCATGCCACCCCCCACATCCCAGTTCTTCCCCGGTTCCGTTCAGCCTTACGTATATTGTACTGCATTCGTTGACATTCGGCAGGATCACATTCGCAATGGCGATCTGCCAACCCCGGCCGCAAGGCGTGATTTCACTGTGCGGTACGGTGACCTCTTTGCGGAGTGCGAGGCCGCTGAGCCGGACCAGCCCTTCCGTGCTATTTGGATGGCGGATAGTCTAATATTTAGACATCTCGGTAAGTGATTGAGTTAAATCGATTGATCAAGGCTAACGTTGACTGTCGCAGATCCCCAAAAGGCTGAGGCTGATTTCATCACCCTCTACGGCCCCCAACCACGACCGATGACACAGGATGAGATCGATACACGAAAGGCTCTACACGGACCCAATGTATCTTTTGCACCAATTAAAGTTCGGTCTGGAGCCAGATCTTCTACGTCGAGTGATGAAAAAGGTACTGGTAAGGGCAAGGCCATGCCGTCAGGTTTATTATCTACGTCTGAAGGCGGCTCGTCTTCCTCTCGCGCTCGCCAGACAGGTGGTACGAATGCCAAAACCCCCCCCCAAAGGCCGAGGAGGCCGCCATCGTGAAGGTGGAGGCGGATATTGAGTAGCGCGTTGCTGCTCTTTGGTTGTGTTTGTTTTCCTGGGGGTGGTAGGAGAGGTGCGAGAATCTTTTGATTCTAGAGGGAGGGAGGGAGGTGGATGGATGACTAGTACTATCTAAACCATCCATTTCTACCACTGACTTGCTCATGATTATGACAATTGACTTTTTGAACTATCGAATTTGAATGTGAAAAAAGAACCAGAATGTCGTCGAACTTTCGAGAAAAACAAAAAGATGGATATATCAGGAGTGTTAGCACTGGAAATGATTGAAGTCTTCGAAGTGAGGGTTTGAATCAGCAGTAATTCGGGATCACAATTCTCTCTTAATATGAACAATGTATGCTAGCACATGTTCATAGTAGACGTTGAGAATGAAGTTGAATTTTCGGTTACTGTACCCGGGCCGATTCAAAAATAGACAGTAAAGCAGAGGATCGTGAAACTCACATGAATGTTACGCTTCTTTACAATTACCAACCACTCAAGTCATCATCGCATTAATAAATTAATAGCTGTATCTAAGCATATCCAAAAGTCTCCGCATGAACATATATCCCCTGAGCGCCTGTTCCTTTATGTACAGCTCTATCATCACTGATAGCCACCGCAGCATTTCTTGTACACTGGACCAATCCCGGTGGTCCACAAACCACCACCGCCATCTCACCCAACGCCAACTCGGCTGTCGTCCGAATGATATTCGAAACATCCGGGCGACCAGTAAGAAGATTGATTCTGGGATGTACTAGACGATCTGATTTCTCGAGACTGGAGGTTGAGGAATTGGAATCGCGTTCTCGTTTCGGTATGCAGTTGCATATGGTTGTGATGGCATCTTGATCAGTAACAAGACGGCCACAATCACAATCTGATGTCGGCTCTTGTGAGAGTGTATATGCAGTGTTTTTCTCATCCAATTGGTCTTCCCTCCCTGAGGTAGCTTGCCCTATGAATCTAGACTCTTCACCCGTGATCGAAGGTCTTGGGCTGGTCATCGCATTGTCGCACGTCACGTATACGCTAATTTCGATAGCAATATCATGACCCTCATTCTTTAAAGCCTCCACCTCTCTGATAACATCGTTCAATTGAGAAGAAAACCAGCGGACTGAAGCAGTCTTCTTAACTACCCAGACAAATCGAACATGTCGCGTGACGGCTCCAGCAGGCATTGAAAATGGCAGCCAGGAAGTATTTGTTTTTCCGACCCATTGCTGCACAATGTCTCGCATCAGGGGAACTGTGAATGTTGCTCCTGTGGAGCCCACAATAAACACCAAGCTTTCAAACTGCCTCAAAGGTCTAATTCTTGAATAAGGACCATCAATCAAAACAGGCCTAGGCTTCGGAACAGCACTCTCCGCTAATGGTAGAAGTGGGGAGACGGTCTCGGCATATTTATAGAATTTCTTTGTGGCACCCTTTTTGGCTCGTACCACAAACTCCAATTTACCATCTTCTGGCAAAGTGGTAATTGTGAAAGGATGGGAACACAGAGGAGCGAGGAAGTGGTCAGTCAAGAAGAGATGTTGACCCGCCCGCCAAGTAATTGGTGGGTTGGAAATCGTGATGCGGGTATGTGTTTCATCGAGAGGCTCAAACGACGCTTTGCATGCGAGAAACCCACTGCTCTTCTTGTGAAATACCGATAGGTTACCGTACATCATATATGCCGCTCTAGCCAAGCGATCGAAACCCCAGAATGCAATTGGCAACCAAAGCCATGTCTTGTTTTCTGCAGGGATGTGGAAGGTGAGAGCGACGAAAAATCCTATCCAGGAAATGATATGCTGAACCACGAATACCTCATATGAAAGTCCTCGAATCGGAGCACATGAAGATAGCACCAGCCAAAGCAAAACCCCTCCAGCTGCTACTCCTCTTTGAGTCAAAGCATCCGTTCGCATCTTGGTCATGATATAATCGTATTTTCCCCATACTGTTAGAAAGTACCCCATGTGAATGAGAACCGTAAAGAGAAGTGCCCGTGCGGTCCATCTATGGAGCCAACTCAAGCGTTCGTAACCAGCACCAGTGAAAAATCCAATTATGTTTCGTTTCCCGGAGAGTAGGATAATGAGCGGTAGTTGACAGACTGCTATGAATCCAGCCCTGTATCCAATATCCTCGAATTGCGCAAAGTCCTTTGGATTGAATCCATAAAAGACACATACCACAATCAGAACCAAATAGCCCACCAGTATTGTCCACAGCCCAACCGGAGACAGATAGAAATGTTTTCTGTTTATTGATACTGGTATCGAATAATTGGAGTACTCCCGAATGATTGCCGATAGTGTCGCATGAGACTTGAAGAATAATGAGGTGGGCTTGGCAGCGCTTGGGGATTGTCTGACGGAGATTCTCTGACGACATAGGATTTTGTTAATGACGTTTGCTAACGTTGCGACGGCAATAGAGGTTCCAACAAAAACCCAAAATATTCTTTGCATATAAAAAAGCGCTGGTACGCCATCCGCCATCACCATTTCTCCACCCATGGCATTGTGGTCGTGTCGAGCAGAAATTGACGACATTCTAATGAGTTTTATTTTCGTCCGATCAGTGAAGATACTCCAAGTTGGAGTTTCGATTCAAACCACTTGACAAGCGAAGTTCGACCGACCGAGGCAAGTAGAGGAAATGATTGGTTCGAGATACGTTTTACATCAGTCTGGAGGTCAGTTAGGTTTATCGTGTTGTTGAACGAATTCCAAGTGGAAGGCCAAGTGGGATCGAGCGGATGTGGGTGGTTGAAGGAAGAAAATCTGCCTTTCCAAGAAAAGGACATGGTTTTGGTTTACTTCAAGATCTGCAGATTGAGGGCAGGTGCTATTTTGCCAATAGCGGGTCTGTATTCGGTACGAGTAGACGCAGTCCCTTGAAGCTAATTCAAAATTAATTCTACGAAGTACGATCCGGTGTGCGGTTCAATCTACGGCTGCCTACGTAGAGGCCGGTTCCATGGACAGGTAGAGCTGTACAAAAGAGTGCAACTTAGCGTTGGATTGCTGATGATGACTGGGGTGAGTGGCTTGAGCAAAATGTTATCGATAGATGATGCCTCAATTTCTGAGGAGGGTATCGAAGATACTGCAGTGAAGCCTGCAGTTATGTTGACCAATAAACTTTAGGGGCAAAGCTTAACAGCCCTGAGTTTGTTTTGGAAACAAGCAGGGGTATTGATTGGGGGTTGTATTCTCTCGCTTAGTGGTGTGTGCGGAACGTACTTGTAGCACTGGTAAGGCGTACAGTACTGTACCTACGGACAGTACAGTAGCTCCCAGTGGACAAAATAAGTGGTAGACTTGGCGCTGGATATACTCCGTACACCAAAACCCCATGCTAAGTCAGCCACTTATCTTGTCCACCGGGAGAGTAGGTACTTACTAATACCTTTGCACAGACGAAGGATTGATTCTAAAACGCAGAAAAGCCGTTGAATAGAAGCCTTTATAAAACGGGTTTTGGTAGACTACTTGAATTGTACGAGTACCGGACGAGTACAGTCCCTCAAGAGCAAGTTCTCTTTGCTCTTTCTCTACAGAATAGTAGCATCACGTGAATAGTAGGTCAAGCCCAGGCCTAGATGCTCTCAAGCGAGCGCTCATTGGTCTAGACCTACTAAAACTGCTCAAACTCTCTCGGACCTTCCACATTGAGGCCAAGTCATGTAAACGGGGTAACCCACAACTCTGATTCATCCTGACTGCCCCGGTTACTCAGCTTGGCAACGTCCATTAGCTGAGTCGGACTCGGACGGAAGTACCTAGGTAAACTTTCCTTGCGACAAAGTATGGAGGATAGCCTGTCAACTTTCTTTCACGACTGTTTTACTGTAAGGATTGTCCAGAATCATAACCTTGACTTGAAAATCAACGCAGGATTCGTTGATCCAAAGCAAGTCTATTAACAGGTACTCCCTCGACCAGAGACTTTTATTTTATTCCAAGTACGGCCGGTTCCTGTTCACTCTTTATTATCAACTACTAATAATCTCCTCGCCCAATCACCAACTCAACTTCTGCTCAACTGTCAATGCTGAGTTCTAATACACCCTTTCAACCCCAAAACGTCGATTTTTCTCTTCAGCAAACATGCAAATACGCGTCCGCCACGGAGGTGAAGACCATGAACATGGTCACGATATGACTGATATGCCCGCTACGGCCTCTACGACTGATAATGCCGCTGTACCCGCTATGGCTGATATGCCTGGTATGACTGCAATGCCTGGAATGGATATGTCAAGTGGCCACGCCCACGCAGACATGAAAATGGCAGCGTCTGAAATGTCCATGACATTTTTTCAATCTCGACACACCTCGCTGTATTCGAACGACTGGACACCAAGGTCTTCCGAACAGTTTGCTGGGACTTGTGTTTTTCTCATCCTCTTGGCCGTCATATTCCGGGTTCTCTTAGCATTGAAAGCGTGGAAAGAAGCAGCATGGATGGATGCAGAATATAATCGACGATATGTTACCGTGGCTGGAAGGGGAACCAAGGGGGATCGAATGTCAACGGATTCCGATGGCAAGCGTATGGTTTTGTCGGCGAATGGTGCTGAGGAGGGAGTTGTAGTTGTGAAAAAGAATGGAATGGCTGGTCGTCCTTGGAGGTTCACTGTCGATCCAATTCGAGCTTTCATCGATACAACTATTGCTGGTACTGGTTATCTTCTGTAAGAATTCCTTAAAACTCATTCTCTTTGAATAAGTTTCTAATAACTCTGCAGTATGCTGGCAGTCATGACCATGAACGTCGGATATTTCCTTTCTGTACTTGGTGGAACATTCTTGGGCAGCCTCGCCGTGGGACGATACATGACCACGGGTGAACACTAGACACACAGACTAGTCAAGGCGATTGAAGATCATGATTCTAAGTTTCGTTTGGAGTTTTGGTGTTGAATTTTGGCTTGGGCTGAGGTTACTGTTCTTGGAAGTGCAGTCGATGATATGATTCGTTACAAAAACCAAAAAAAGGAGAAAACCAGTTCTTAAAACAGAGGCGGTTGTATGGAGACATTGTACATATTGAACAAGCAAAAGTGTACACACATAGACAAATTCTAGATAACTGCTTGCAAATCACTTGTCACAATAAACCATCATGTTTTCAATCTCCATGTTTTCCCATGCACTTATGATCTAGAATCTCTGGCTAGTTTTATAAATTAGATGGATCTAGACATCTCCAAGGTCTCGCACCTTACAATAAGGTTATATCACACGAGCAACGCTAGGAGTATCTCTGTTAATTCATACTTGGATAAATGTTGTGGGGCTCTTCGTAGCCATGTGGTTTGCCGCGCTTCCAAGTAAGATCCTTACAGTACATATCCACGAAATTCCCCTAGTGCCACGTTATTCCCACGACTTCAGAGTTACAATCAAGTGTAGGATAGTGACCACGTTACTGAAGGGTTCTCACGAATCTAGACTTCCGAAAGGACGATTACTGAACATGTTATCAGGGAAATACTTATAAATTTAGTAGATCACATTGCCTAATCCTTTTCATAGAAAAGGTATTCACCGTCGTCTCAGCTGCTTGGTGTCTACTTAATTTCTCCACTTTCGTGGCGAGGATTGGATGTGAGTACAGGATTATTTTTTGAAATGCTAGATAGCTTAGATGTACTAGGACAGGTTAGTGCTGACTAGGCGTAGGAAAGCTTGTGTTGCCGTAGACGAAAGATCTAATCTATTTTCTACTGGCTTTACATGATGATCCTCCCAAAAAAGAATACAAAGCTTCATTTTGCTTCGAGGCTTGCCTGGGGTATCTGGAATTAATAACAGTGAAATCTAACGCTAGATACCGTCATGTAAATTATACATAACAAAAACCTGTTAACCAAATGCGAGTCTTTGATTCGCTTGTGTTGCTGGTCTAGTATCTAATCGTAATACCAAAAACCTGAGTAGGACAGTGCGTAGAACAGTGCCCAACTTTATATATACGTCCGTCCATCCTCATTACCAAACCGGATCAGCCTGATTCACCCAACAGAATTTCATCATTCAATAGTCAAGAAGCAAATAAGCCTTGCTGGGCATAGTAGAGAACTGCACCGTACTTACTCGTAGCCTCATTTTTGGGGGAAGGATGTCCTCGCGATATTGGAGGACACATGTGTTCCCATACCGCCTCATCCAAGGTACTTAATCCAAGGCTGTCCCTGGAATGCTCATACTATAGGGCCAAACAAATCGGGGCGATGACTGCTATCAAAACATCAGTTCAAACTTCAACGTTTCCCACTTTCAAAAAACCGTCGCATCGCAAAGCCTCGCAATCTCTAACGGCAGGACTAGTTGTCCATTTCCTATTTATTTTATTTTATTGCTATTTAACGTCAAGCGGAGTCTAGCTCGCGTGGGTTAGGTCCTAGAAGAGTCCCAATATGGGCAAATGACGCTAGGGGGGTGCCCTAGGCTACAGGGGGTGTAAAAGAAGAGACGCTAATTTACAAGAAACAGTTTAAAGAGAAGCCCCACTTTCGGGACAGCCCTTATCCTTAATCAGTTTTGAGAACCAGGGTACAACAAATGAAATACATGAATCAAAGAAAGAAAGAAAAGTAGGCCAGCCTATCTAGGTAGACAAATCTTAGTGAAGAATCTAGTCTTAAAGTAGACCTTATTAAATAGCTCCTCGCAGCCGGGGCCGAAGAGCAGCTGAGGGTTCCTCTGAGCTTCTGCTAGTAGCCTAGGGGCTACGTTGTTTGCTAGCCTACAAAAGAGTAGGTGGAATTGAGACTTAGCCTTCTTACACTTACAATCCCCTGAGGTAAGTAATGCGTCGAAGTGAAAGAAGCGAAGGTGGTAAGCGACAAAGTCTCCATGCCCAGAACGAGCAGCTATTAAGCGAGCTAGAACCTCTCTTGGTAATTGAAGAGACCGTGGCTTCAAAGACCAATTTTCAAGCCCCAGATCCTTATAGACAGCCGGGAGTGTAGCGCTCCAGAGCTTCTTTGCAAGTCCAATCCCTGTTTCTTTAACCCCCCTCTTGAGCGTAGCAGTACAAAGTGGAGAGAGGGAATTAGAAGGGGGTATCCGCGCTGCTTTCCCAGCAGCTCTGTCCGCGATTTCATTGCCTAGGATACCTATGTGACTAGGGCACCACCTAGTCTGTATTTTCCCAGGGTATGATGACGCTAACTCATGGACTGTATTAAAGATCCCTTGCGATGTGCCACAAGACCGGTATGTTAGTTGAAGCGCAGCCTCAAGGTTGTCGAGGCAAATCCAGCACTTCCTAGCCGAAGGCCAGTACAGGGAGTTTGAAGCTAGTTCTAGTCCATGGAGAGCAGCCCTAGCCTCTGCATCATATATCTCCAATGCCTTGCCGAAGGAGAAAGCCTTAGTATTAAGAATAACCCCCCCTCTTGTGAGACATACGCCACCTCCAGTACTTTTGTCGTCTAAGCGAGAGCCGTCGGTAAATACTACCAGATCCGTAGGTGGAACATCAGCTAGAAATTCAAGGAATTTGGCTTTAAAGGAATTCTTGTCTCCGCTAGGGTCTGGTCCCCCTACCTCTAGAAGACGGGCTTGTCGGTCAAAACCCCTGCTCCATGGAGGGTCTTGTATAGGGTCAATCTCTTCAGAGGGAGGAAGGATTCTCCGAGCACGGTAAATAAGCCTAGCTTTAGGGCTAGGGTTATTTACACATCGTTTGAGTGGGTGGTCCGGATCTAGCCGTCGGATTCGGGCGTCTAGTGCTTCGCTTCTTACTATAAGAGCAATTTCAGAGGCTAGAAGGCCAGATTCCATGAGCAGTATCGAGGTAGGAGTAGTCTTATACACCGGAAGAATAATCCTAGCACACTTAGCCACTACTCTGTCTAAGAGAGTCAAGTGACGGCCAATTCGGTTGTTTGTAGTTCCTACTTGGCCTGTTTTAACCCTAGACCGCCCAGGGAACCAGGTCTCGCTTCCAAAGTAGGCGATTGACAGAATACAAGCAGTGGTAGCTTGCTTCAGCAAGTGGGATGGAGAGCCTCTTGCTGTGTTTGTTGTCCCTTTTAAAGCGTTCGCTACTAACGTAGTCTTACTTGTCATTCTTTTAACATGGCTGTAGAAGGTAAGACGGGGATCAAAGAAGATACCGAGCCATCGAAGCTCTTGTGTCGGTTCTATTGTCCTGTTTTCTATGACAATAGATGGAGGAGGCCGGATGCCTCTACCTCTTTGCTTTCTCTTACGAGAAAAGTGGATAAGTTCAGACTTTTCAGCATCAAAGGTAATACCCTCGTCTGTTCCCCACTCTAATGCACTAGCTACTTGTTTTGAAAGAGCCTTCATATTCTCTGCTTTCGTAGGTCCAAGAGCAAGTAACCCAAGGTCGTCAGCATATCCGAACCTTTGTAGCGTTGAGAGAGAGCCAACCCCCAAGGTAAAGAGTGGCTGGATGTAGAGCATGAAGAGAATAGGTGAGATAGGCGAGCCTTGGGGTAGACCACATTGAAGGGGCGTAGATGCCCCTATTTCTCCGTCGAGCTTTACTTTTACAGATCTGTTAGTTAAGAAGGAGGTGACCCATGCTACAAAGTTTTGTGGCCATCCTTGCTCTCTGAGTCTCTTGATTAGGCGGCCAGGGAGTACTGCGTCAAAGGCACCCTTGATATCAAGCGTAAGAAGAGAAGCCTCCTGTTTGTCTGCAAGTGCTCTCTCTATGTCGAAAGTCAGGCAAGTGGTAAGGTCTGTCGCAGCTCTAAGAGGAAGGGCGCCGAACTGGTTTGGGCCTAGAACAGAGTGCTTAATCGCTATCCAGGAAGCTCTCTTCGCTAGAAGCCTTTCAAGCCCCTTTCCTAGGACCGAGAGCAGAGAGATTGGTCGGTACGCACGAGGGGATGACTTATCCTTCTTATTAGGCTTCGGGATGATGGCTACAATAGCTGTCCGGAAGATTTCTGGGTGGAACCCTGTCTCTATACACCCCTTGAATAGTGAATACACTAGGTGTGAGATCTGGGGCCAGGCTATCTTAAAGACACCTGTGACAAGTTCATCCTCCCCTGGTGCAGTAGAGGCCTTTCCTAGAACTGACTCTTCAACCTCGCGGAGAGTAAGAGTTGCCCAAGGTAGAGTACGCATAGAGGTAGTAGGGGTATTGATTGGTATATCCCCTACTTCGGCCTTGTTTGTAAGTAATTCTTGTACTAGAATCTTCTGCTTCTCTAGAGTAGTATAACCAAGCTGGCCAGCCGAGTCCTTCAAAGGAGGGGACTTGTATACCCCGATGCTTTGGTGCCATTTGCAAATCTTGAATACATCCTTGCTTTTTGTGGCTTTGTCAATCAGGTTTTTGAAGTGCCCCTCTTTGGCTTTCCGCATCTCTCGTCTCAGGGCTCTCTGAAGACTTTGAATAGTCCCTGAGCTAGCCATATTTAGAGTATAATTTCTAATATAAGAAGACGAGATGTGTTTTTTGATAGACGTGCCAATGATTCATTTCCGGTTGAATTTTCACCCAACAAGGTTCAACCTACTCGTACCTGGTCAAAATAGACATATTCTAGAATGCCCCCCTTCAAAGTACTGACCCATTCCCGTTCACAAATCCCAGTTGCGGATCCCCCATTGTGGACCAGGGATACTGACTAGCAGGGTACAGCAGTGCCATGCCATTGGGTCAGCCCCAGAAAACATGCTCAAATGCTCTCTCCACTTCACTTCTTGGCGTTGACCGCAACTTCACGACATTCGCATCAGCAATTCAACGCGAATTGAATAATGGTATCTGATATTGTATGCTGTTGTAGCCGGTAGCTGCATAGCGATCTTGAAGTGGGGGAGGCTTCGGTGACTCGCTAGTTCGTGCCCTAAATAGGCTCATCATGATGCTGTATCGATAGGCCGCCAACGCATGGAATTCGACAAAACGGATAGGTACGGAGAAATCACGGCTGAAGAAGAGACATATTCGCCATTCAGGTACAGATGAGATCCTCCCGATTTCCCACGCATATTGGTGGTGGTGGCTGGGGAACAAAGAAAGATACTCGGTAAGGTTTTTGATCGCAATAGAACCTCTACTCGGACCATGAAACAAGAGCCAACTTGCTCAAGAGCGCGAAAAAACATCACGAGTACGTTTCGAGAGGAAAGGAGCAAGTTGAAGATGTCATCTCAATTATTACGAGATGAGGACTTATATAGGAAGTTGAGACCATCGACGTCTCACTCTTATTAAGAAGTATTCTTCTCCTAATCTGCTCCTATAATCTGCTCCCTTTTAAGCTTTCTCCTGTCATTTAGTCCGAAGTGTCTTTCAATACGTCAGCCCCAGATTTGCTATGTGGTTAGCCCAAGTTCTGTGGTCCGATGCCCGGCCATACATGGGATTAACGAATTGTAATCCGAAGTATGAGCACATTAAGCCCTTCCGTGGGCTCTAGCTCCAAGGATACTTGCTGAAAAGGAAAGGCCGAAGATGGTCTACTTTCACAACATGCTGTGATCCGAGAGTTAACTTCAACAAGTTTTTGTACCTGGCATACAGCCTATAATCCTGGCTGCAGCGATTCATTAGCAGATCTAGAGAGTTATCAAAAAGAGGCATTTCCCTCTTTTATATATTTGATCTTTCAATTGAAAAGTTGTTCACCCTGACGCCATAGCTCCTTCTCAAAGCATTGTAATTACCACCAGAAGCTTCCTTCCCTTAAACCTTCTCGGGTCAGGTTGCTCATTATTCGTTCATAAGCTTCCACTAGCGGGAAGTTCCTTCCTTCGCAACGATACTTTCTCCACGTCATCTGGTATTTTTAAACCATCATACTGGTACAATAAGGGACCTGCAGCACACGTCAAGAAAAAAGTCACCTCACTTTCTCCAAAATGAAGTACTCCATCACAGCTCTAGTTGCGCTCGCATCAGCTGCTACAGCACATTTCACCCTCGGCTATCCAGCAGTTCGTGGGTTCGATGAAGACAAACTTGGTCAATTTCCATGTGGATCATTTGATACAGTCTCCGCAACCCGAACACCATGGCCATTGACAGGAGGTTCGATTGGGCTTGAAATGGGGTATGTCTCTCGTCCAATTGCAGAAGAAGAGAGATCCAATATCTAACAAATCACCTAGTCATGTCAGTTCCACAATCCAAGTAACCATCGCCTTTGGCAACAACCCCGGCTCCTCCTTCAACACCATCCTCAAACGACCAATCTCCCAAAACGGCCTTGGATCCTTCTGCATGACCGGAATTACTCTTCCCTCAAATGTCAACGTTACAAGCGGTAGCAATGCCACCATCCAGGTCATCACGAACGGAGATCCAAGTGGTGGTTTGTACAACTGCGCCGACATTACATTTTCGTCCACAGTTACAGAACCAAGCAGTGATGTATGCAGGAACAACACTGGTGTTACTGCTACGGTAGCTGCCAGTCAAAGACAACCCAATGAGACAACGAGTGGATCGACTACTGGTGGTGCTACTCCAAGTCCTACGGCTAAGAGTGGTGCTGTGAATTTGCATGCGGGAGTTAGTGGTTTGATTCTTGCTGGACTTGCAGGTGTGTTTGTGGTGGTTTTGTAAGGGAGCATAAATGTATTGAGATAGGCGTTCATGCGAGGGAATGAGTTCATGAGTTATATTTGCCATAATGACCTTTTCATCAACATTTCTTTCAGTGTCAGGCGACGATTCTCAATGAATCCTAGGTATCAATTTGCTTTTTAGATCCAAATTCGACACGAGTTTCTACGTCACTACTAAGCAAGAGACCTTTTCCTTTGACTAAGCCTCAGTACACGTACCAGGACTCGTGGCCATGTTTCAAGAGCTCAAAACTATGTTCCTTTCCCCGAGGATACCTTGGATGACTCGCAGGTCAAGCAATTCCAGAATCAGGGACCAGTCTTTTGAGGTATAAGGTTGTTTGAATTTAATCATTTCCACTAGCATCATTACTCTTACCACAAGCCCTCAACCCACCAAATTCCGTCATGGTTTCTCGAATGTCCTCGTCATACCTTGAAAAGTTATCAACTAAGCTTTCCCGCATCTCCAAATCAAGTTGTTGTCTTTTCTTATTCTTCGACGCAAAGTCTGTAACAGTAAAGAGCTTGCCACTCTCAAACATCAACACAGTCCTGGGTCGATGTGGTCTACTGATATTAAACTCACGTTTACAAATTTCATTAGGTCGTATCTGTATGGGATCTAACATTATCATTAGAGTGGTAAAGCCGTCGAGTTATGAGATGAAGCATGCGGAGTTTCCTTGCCGGTATTAAAGTCTTTTAGCGTATAAATAATAAGTTTTATAATCGTAGGAGAGGTTTAGTAGGCCGATATTAGTAAAGAGTTAGTAGCGAATAAAGTACAAGGTTTATATTACATCTTTTACCTCGCTCGAGCCTAAACTATTAATTAACGTAAGAGCAATTCGATTTTTTAGGCCCTTTATTATCTCGCTCTTAGGAGTCCTAGTTTTATAATTCTATAATTATTTCTACTTTTATATACTACCCTTACCTACCTATTACTTACCCCTTTTATAGTAGTATAAATATTAAAGTTAAAGGTATACTAAATAGTAATAATAAGAACGAGTTTATACTAGTCTAAAAGAAATAATAGTATTTAGGTAGAGTTTTAATTAATATTTATTAATTTTAATTAATTTTATACTTAATTAATTTTATACTTAATCGATTTTATACTTAAACGAAGGCTATTATAAGGGGCAATTTAGTACGATTCTATAGTTGAACTTACAAGATAATATTCGTGTTCTAAACTAAAACCTTCTCTCTTATCTTAATTTATCTTATAACTTATACGAATAATAGCTAATATACTAATTAATACGGTATTTTTTAGAGAGTTTATAAACGATCTCGTGGTGAACTAGTTGTGAAGGTCTCCAGCATTATCGAGTAGGTACGAGGCAATCGAAAGACACCGGAGAAGTACAGGACCTAGAACGATTGTGAATTCCGAGAGGTTCTAGTTGATTTTGTGTTTGGAAAGCTGGGAGGTTGGTTTATCACCCGATTTGAAAGTCACGCTTTTCCTGTTTCTTTTGAGTAATCTTTTTCCGACTTCTTCTGGCCATCTTGCAGGTCTGTTATTGTGTTAAGAGTTTCCAATGAGAGTTTCGTATTTTTATTTAAAAATTACTCTGTTTCCTTTAGCCCTCATGAACCAACTTAAAAAACTTGGTTATTCTTATCTTTTGAAGGGGATTAAATTAGGCGAGGATAATTTTGAGGAGACGTGAGTATTAAATACCTGGAGTAATTGGAATTGAAGATGAAACTTCTCAGGGTGTAGTTATGAGAGGGATTACTTTCTCATCCACAAGTATCTCCATGTGTACAAGAAACACCCGCAGGGACCTTTTTATCATTTGAGAACTTTCGTGCTTTCTAGGGGACGATATTGTTTACATGAAATAGGGGCTGGTTCTTACATTTGTATTCAAACCAACATTCCAAATATGATACGATTTTCAAAGACTTTCGCAGTTTTCACTCATGGAATTAATTCTTAAAACATTCTGTTTCCCGCAATAGGAGATAGAGACGTTCCTTCCGCCCACGCAAACATGTCAACACCACCAACCCCCTCACATCGCCACTTCCACAACTCACCCGCCAGCTTTTCATCAGAAACTCTAGCTCCTTTCCAGTATCAAAGTCACCGCAACCCGTCTTCAACATGACCCCCCAAACAAACTAACATCCATCACCAGCAGAAATAAACCAACTTCCAACATTCATTACCACACCACACCACAACCCCCAATCCCAAAAGGATGATCAGAATTCCCCCACAATTCCCCCAATGCTCGCAAAATCAATCAACTCCATCCACCAATCCACAATGCACCTGTCACGGCATCCCAACAACCCACCAATCCCTCCCACCCCTCTACTCCTCAACCAACATCCCCCTCGCCAGACCAGGTTTCCAACTTCCCTTCCAAATCCCCGCCCCCACGCGACCACTCACCAAAAGAAAAAAACTCAAAGCACAACCCCAAGACCCCTTCGCAGCCCACCGTAACCTCCTCCAAAACGGCGGCCTCCTCGAAACCGCCCGCTTCAAATACCAACTAAACCTGCACTTCCACCACCACCTCACCACAACCAACACCCGTCACTTCAGCCTCAAAAACACCCCCCGTCCCTCCCGTCCCGATATCAAAGAAAAGCTAAAACACTACCACAAAAACCTCCACACCCACCTAACCCACCACCCCCCCAAAACCACAACACCGGGGCACCTCATCCAAAAAACCAAGATGGACTGGGAAATCTTCCAAGATCTCGAGCAGAAATACCGCGACATCTATGGCGCCGCGCCCAGGCTACAAAATGGGGATTACTTCGCCGAGAAGGGACAGCAGAGGAGACAGTTAAGGGCGTTTGAGTGGGTGACCAAGATGACGGTGGCGCCGAGTCGGTGTGGGAAGAAGCTGGCGATTTATAGGATGCAGGGGCATCCGATGATTCCCGATTTGAGTGGTGGGGAGGATGTGAGGAGGGTGTTGGAGGAGCTGGAGGGGGATATTAGGAGGGATGTTTTGGCGTTGTTGTTGCAGCTCGAGGGGATGTTGGTGAGGACGTGAGAGGATGGGAGGAGTTGGATTGGGTTTTGGAAGAGTTCTGGGGTAGGATAGCGAATCTTAGCCATTATAGCGTTTGGTACGGATGTGCTCATATACTTTTCATTTCGTGATACCTTTATATATAATTCGTAAGTTTTAAAACTGGCCCTCGGTATTCCCCTCCCCCATACTCTTGCTGCTGCTACTTCCACTTTGGATCGCTCCCAGGATCCCATCAATATAACTTGCACCACTCCATTTCTGATGCGTCAAAACATCAACACCCAACTCCTTTTCTCTCTTCTGCACCAAATTAACATAAGCCAGCATACCCTCATCCTTGAACGCTTTGCTCAACTCATTTGATATCGTCGCCGTACTATGTAAACCAGCCAGCGAAATAAGTTGCAAGACAAATCCATGCTTAGCGATATCCCAGATGAAGGATTTCAAAGTTTCCGGGGTAAACCCATGGCTCATCCAATTGAAAGATGGCGAGAGATTATAGACGAGCCCTTTGTGAGGATGCACCGCTCTGATTTCTCCTGAAAACGTGGCAGCATTTGAGACTGATGGATCACCAGTTTCCACCCATAGGAGATCGGCATATGGTGCGTATTCAATTGCTCGTTTGGTGGCGGCCTTCATACCAGCTCGGTAATGATAGAATCCTTCTCGAGTTCTTGGGATGTCGATATCGAAGATGATGGGTTTGGAAATGAATTGTGATGCGAATTGCTTTCGCTTGAGTATTGACATGTCTCGGTTTTCAGTGGTCGCTTGGACGTACTTCTCAATGTCCGACTTGGAGGCACCATTGGCTTCTAATTGACTGATGACCGCTTCATCGCAAGACACAAGTTTGGTCTTCTTGACCCATGCAGCTTCAAATGCGTCAATTTCTGCACCGGGTGCTCCTGATCGTTCCATTTCTTGGAGAGTTTCGGCTAGGGGTGCAATACCCTCTTCTGCTACCCCCAGAATAAATTCGTGATCGCGAACATCAATGGCACTACTGAGTAGTTTTCCACTTTCAGAATCCGTTCTTGCAATCACCAAATTCTCGGAACCCATAACATCCCATTGGAACCTCGCAGCAACAAGACGATTGATGTGTTCCCCGACTGGCACTAGGGCCTTACCAGCAAGGTGACCGCATTTCTTCCCTCCATGCATTTGATCCTCGAAATGTACAGCAGCGGCTCCGTTCTCAGCGAATAATTTAGCAAGCTTTAATACAGCTGATAGTCCACCATGCCCGGTATCACCATCTGCAATAATTGGGCGCAAATAGTCTGTATATGGTTCTTTTTTCCTCTGTTCTGGACTTAGCTTCCTCCGAGCATCCCATTGTTTTCTATCATGCATCGATTGTGCTTTGGAAAGTCTCTGGACTTGATTGGGAACGGTATTGTATGGGTAATCGCCAAAATCGGGGGAGACTTCGTTTGTGGTTGTAAGAACTGAGGAACATGCCCAGCCGGAAATGTATAAGACTTCTTGATTTGGTGCTTGCTGTGTCATTTGTACTGGGTCAATTGCACCCACTGTTCGTTGGTTAGTTATGCTATAGAGAGTAAGAATCACGCAGCGTACTCGTGTGAATTGGCTCTCCATTTGCTTCTCTCTCCTTGATCAAATTGAACAATTTCCTCGCCATTACAGAGCTTGGATATGTTTGCATTTGACTCCCCCTCTTCGATACGACATCAGCAGCGGAATATGGCCTCTTGATCCCCTCATATCTCGGACTTGCCCACCATGCTTCCACATCCTTCAATTGTTGTTCGTAAAGTGCATCCTCTGCCTCGCCCGCTTTTTGTGATTCGGGAAGTAGCTGGAAGGAGTCTGAAGGTAGGGCGGCAGATACTGGATGTTCGAGAGGTTTTAGGGAAATTGCTCGAAGAGCACATATTGAGAGGCAGCGGTTCTGGGACATGGTTTGTGAGGTTCTGACAGTGGCTGAGGCTAATCGCCTAGGGGCCGTTGCGACAATTCTGCGAAGCATCGTGAGATTCAACCGCCAAGTCAATGCGCAAGAGCAACCAGAAAACACTGAACAAAGCTGGAGGCCATTTACTCGTACCTACAACGAGTACCTCTACTTTCGTGCTTGGTCATCGAGATCCGTTATCGGCAACTGGCAATGGTCGTAAAGACATTCTGCGCCTACGGCTGCGCTTAAACCGAGCCTCTCAGCATAAAATGTGGCAGGGGTGACATCTTTATCCTCGGTTCAGCATCATCTGCAGGTTGTAGGTGAATAGCCAACTGCCCAGGTTCTTATGAATTCCCCACGCACCATTTCTGATATTTATTTCTTCAATTCCTCTGCCTCTTCTTGTCTGAATTGAGATCCAGACCCAGCTACCAACACTTTTCCAGAATTGAAATGCCAAATTCACGACTTTGATTTCGAGTCCCAAGTCAACCCCAGCTTTACCCCACAATACCGCGCGCCAATCACGATGGCGATGAATGTCAGATCTGCCTCCAAGGCAATCCGAACGCTGCGAGTAAGCAAAAGTCTTGGTTTGGAGGTCATCGCAGTACTGTAGCTAATTGATTGAAAGCCTATCGCCGTTCGACCGACAATCCTCCCTACCTACCGAAACTATGCCACCTCCTCCGAACCAGATCTCAAGACGACCTTCAAGAAAGCGATCCCCGCAAAAAGGGAATTGTTGAAGAAAGTCAAGTCATTGGGCGATAAGGTTATTGGCGAAGTCAAGATTGAGAACACAATTGGTGGAATGAGGTATGAATTGATAATCACAAGATCCACTAAAGCAGGGGCTTACAAAATACAGAGGGTTAAAGGCAATGGTATGGGAAGGCTCAGTTCTCGATGCCAATGAGGGAATCAGATTTCATGGCCGTACGATCAAGGACTGTCAAAAAGAGCTGCCAAAGGGCACTTCAGGAACAGAAATGCTTCCCGAGGCCATGTTCTGGCTTCTCTTGACAGGACAAGTCCCATCTACGAATCAAGTTAGAAAGTTCTCTCGTGAACTTGCGGAACAATCAGAACTTCCTCAATTCGTGAACAAGATGCTTGATGCATTCCCAAAAGACCTTCATCCAATGACACAATTCGCAATTGCTGTCTCCGCTCTCTCACATACCTCCAAATTCGCCGAAGCATACGCAAAGGGTGTCAACAAGGCCGATTACTGGGAACCAACATTTGATGACAGCATCTCGCTTCTTGCCAAACTCCCAACTATCGCAGCCAAGATTTACCAAAACTCATATCGGGGTGGTGGTGCTCTCCCAGCAAAGGTTGATCTGAACCAAGATTGGTCGTACAACTTCGCAGCTATGCTCGGAAAGGGTGGCAAAGAAAACGAAAACTTCCAAGATTTATTAAGATTGTACCTTGCTCTCCATGGAGATCATGAGGGTGGTAATGTCTCAGCTCACGCAACACATTTGGTAGGCAGTGCACTCAGTGACCCGTTCCTGAGTTACAGCGCCGGTCTTCAAGGTCTCGCAGGTCCACTTCACGGGTAGGTACATCCGTTTCCGTACCACCTCCTCAACTAACCGAAACCCCCCAGTCTCGCAGCTCAAGAAGTCCTACGATGGATTCTCCAAATGCAAGAACATGTAGGAACCACCTTCTCCGACAAAGACGTCTCCGACTACCTCTGGAGCACCCTCAAATCCGGCCGCGTCGTCCCAGGCTACGGCCACGCCGTGCTTCGTAAACCCGATCCCCGCTTCGAAGCCCTAATGGACTACGCATCCTCACGTCCCGAGATCGCAAAAGACCCCGTCTTCCAACTCGTCAAGAAGAACTCCGAGATCGCCCCCGAAGTCCTCAAGGAACACGGCAAGACCAAGAATCCTTACCCCAATGTCGATTCGAGTTCTGGTGTCCTCTTCCACCATTACGGTTTCCATGAGACGCTTTACTATACCGCGACTTTCGGTGTCAGTAGAGGCTTAGGACCCCTGGCTCAATTGATCTGGGATCGTGCGTTGGGATTGCCGATTGAGAGGCCGAAGAGTATTAACCTTGAGGGATTGGTTAAGCTTGCTGAGAGCTCGTAGATGATTATGATGTATAAATGATGTCAAGAGGGTATGAGGAGTTTTTCCGTTTGCTGGAGTTAGTCCCCTGATCTGATAGATCTTTTGAGTCATTCATAAAAAGCCTTTTTTAGAAATTCTCCGCGTCTCTTGATTCAGGGTTCTCCTGAAAGCTATTTTTGTGAACATATATACTTACAGTGAATGGGAAATCGGAAGTGAATCGCGCTTCTTCTAGATACAGAAGACAAACCCACGGGAACCCCACGTGGTGAAACTCGCTTATGGATCCGGAAATAGGTAAATATACGGGTGAAGGCCTGTTTGGGGGGGATACACCTTAAGTTTGCTCACTTATGTAAGGTAGAGTGTACTTGAGGTTGAGATACAGTCGATTTGTAGGAGTGACATGGCTCACAGTAAAAACATTAATAGCAGTTGAACCAACTCCTGCACCAGCTGTGATGTCAAGGATATACGCCCTAGTGGATGTGCGATCTACTGTACCTACCGAGCTCTGATTTCCACTCTTTTCACATAGCACGAATAGCTAAATCTCCAGCACATAATCATAATACTCATGCAGAGAGCCTTCAATATCTACCTATGTATACTTCTCAGCCATTAAATACTCCCCAAAATCCGTGTTTCTTTTGCAACGTCATCCCATCTCCTCCTACATTACCTAACCATTTCCTCACTTGCAAACAACACCCATCCCAAGATATACGCACTAAATCCCATATTTCCCCCAAAAATCTTCCAAAATCAAAGTCAACTCACCCCATCAATCCTCAAACACTCGTACCAGTCGTACTCACACCCCCCGTCTTCGTCCACGCCACCTCCCCAACACTAGTAGCCACCCACAAATTATACATATTCCTCGCTCCACACTTCTCCTTTTCCTTCTCCTTCTCACCGCCCAAGTTTCCCTTGCACGGAAAGGTACAAGCCTTGCTACCCACCAAGTTCGTAGGCTGTGGGGAGGGAGCCGCGGTATGAGCATAACATTCTCGCCCGTATTCCAGTGCGACGTAGGCGTAGGTAGTGGCTGGTGTAGCAGAGAGACGTGCGAGCGCGGAGGAGATACAGAGAGAGGGTGTCATGCTGTCGTTGCTGAAGAGTTTGGGCATGTTGTGCCCTGTGAAGGGGCCTCCGGCTGGGTCGGAGAAGCAGCCTAGGGGAGTGAAGCCTTGGATGAGGGTTGTTGTTGTTGGTTTGCTGAGGAGGGAGGTCGTAGATGTCAAGAGGGTGTTTGCCGTAGTAAGTGAATTAGAGGTGGTTGTTGATGTGATAATTTGACCTATCGTTGAAGAGATTGCATTTGATGAACTGAGTTCAGGCCCTCCGTTGACATTGCTATATAAAGACAGTCTCGAAAATCCCCCACACTGCAATCAAATTAGCATAAGAAGAAATATCATAGATGACACTTACGTATTGAAGGGTATTTGCTTTACATGCCAAGGAGCAACTACTCTCAGGAGCGGAGATGCTACCGGCATTAAGTTTGTTCCCACAATAACCTATGGTTGTCAGTGATATCTTTTTACCGGTCCTGAAAGCCTTACACTCTTTGCCATATTCCAACCCAAACATGGTGTACCCTTGACAGAAACTCGCGCAAGCTTCAATAGTCATGTGCTCATTGGATTGGTTTTTCTCGCTTAATGCTCGACCTGTGGTAGCTTCCGTGTAACAGCCAGCGAATTTGAAAGCCCCAATACTTGGCACACTCGACGGAGCCAATGTAGCTGATGTGACACTAGAGAATATGAGAGTCGAGGTGCCGGAAATTGGACTTAAAGTAGTCAGTTGCTGGCTATTAGATGTACTGCCGGACCCTGAGCTTGGCAAAGCAGTTGATATGGGACTCGACAACGCTACAGATGATTCGAATGTTGATGGACTTTCAATCGTCTGTGGAACCGATAAAGATAATGAAGACGCAGCTGTGATAGGATTGGATGCAGTTGATGTGCTTCCAACAGTTTCGGAAGCTGATATTGATATCGAAGAAAGTGTGACTGGCTCAGAAATTGACGTAGCTTCAGTTTGTGAAATTGACACAGATATCGAAGTAGTCGTGGCAGACTCAGGTGAAGTCAACGTGCTGTCAGCAGTCTGTGAAGCGGGCGCTGATATCAAAGAAGTCGTATCAGAATTAGATGATGAAGTTGAGCTTTCTCCTGGTTGTGAAACTACCAGCGAGCTTGCAGGGAGTTGAGCTCCTATGGGAATAGAATCCGGGCCTGGAGTGTATTTCGTTCGATCATAATAAATGGATGCAAAAGAGCCAGCACCACCACAAGCCTGTGCTGTATTTCCAGGACAACTGAAAGAACATTCTTTTGCAGATTCGGGGGTACTTTCTCAATCAGTACTGTCCTATGAATGCCAAAGGCAATACTTACTATCTAAGAGCTATTGGAGCTTTATTTCCACACTACCTCTTTGTCAGACAATGATTTCAGCAGCGGGGAATCAACAAACCCAGCACTCGGTATCTACCAATATCAGCAATGTCGATTTTCTCTGTGTAAGCAGTTCAACTTACGATATTCAGTACCAGCAAACATATAACCAGCTTTGAAGCATGTTGTCTGGCATTGTCCGTTTTCGTTGTCAGGAGAACTGAACTGCTTCTGTAATTGCCTTCCATTTCCATCGTTATAACATCCTAGATATAAGTATTGAGCAGATCCATTTTGTAACAGCGGTCCCGTCTGATTTGTCACAATATTTGCTGATATTTGGACATCGTGAACGCCGAAATTCAAATCACTATTAATTCTTAGTCTATCCTCCTTTCCTGGAGCGACGATACCTACTCAGTGTTCAAAATCCACACATCCGAGACTTTATGGTCAAGTCGATTGACTCCAAGAGGAGCAGCTGAAATGGAAACCTGACCCAAAGCGCATGAGTTGACATCAATAGATTGAGCTTCATGCAAGTCAACAGCGGAATTGGGTGCGAAAAGTTCCGTATCAATCGGTGGTTTGCTTTTTGTAATGTGCAACGCGGTGCCTCCAGAATTACAGATTCGGATGGATCTAGATTGAGTAGAACCAGCGCGAACAATTCCAAAGTTCATCACGACAGGGTTCGAATAATCCCATCCGCCTTCAACGGTCGAAACAGATATGTTAGCAATAGCTGCTGTGGAAGCAGAACCGGTGAGAAGGATATATTCGGTTCCACCTGTACTCCAGATTTGTAAGAATGTACTATAGGCCCCTGTCACGGTAGCCAGAAACTTGAGAGGAATTGTTAGTGATTGACCAGTGGTAAGCGTTTGGCCGACTTTTGGAAGACTTGTGGAGCTAAAACCACTTCCAAGATTTCCATCTGTGATGTTTGTATATTTTACGGGTCCATCTCCAGAGTCAACGCTCTTCGTCCATGCGAGTCCCAAGAATGTCAAAGTTTCTGTGCCAACATTGGAAACAATAACAGCTGCAGATGACCCAGTCTTTGCACCATCAGAACCTATGACAATACCTCCAAAGTCTACCTCAGGAGGTGCGACTGTAAGAAACGCAGATTTCGATACAGTCGTACCACTTAGTGAGATCGGAAGTATCTCGCTATATTTTAGCACAGCATTTGAGGTATAAATGTTAAGACTTGTACTGAAAACTCCTGGAAGAATTTTACCGAAAGATGCATTTTGAGCGTCGTTTATCGAAGCTTGCGTGAGATTCCACGTTACCGGAAAAGAAAACTGTGCTCCTTGGGTTAGGGGACCTTTTGGAAGAGTGCTGTTCGAACATTGCCAGGTTTTATCTCCTGTCACGCAGCCATTAATTGAATTGATTCCGATCAGGGCTGTGCAGTTAATGGTCTTCGTGTTTGTACTTCCGATTGGAGTATTGCCAAAGTCAATAGGTGAAGAACATTTAAGTGGAAGCGCTACAGGTGATCCGAGGCAAATAACATTACCATTGCTGTCTGAAACATACAGTCTCCCGTCCCCAAATGCTGGTCGTAGGAATTTGTTCAGACCTCCCGTGGGTGTAATCGGAATTTGAGTGAGCACTCCATTGACTGAATTATGTTAGTAAAGGGAATTCATTTTATTCGATTAAGTTGATCCATACCAGGCACTGCATGAAAAGCTCGAACACCGGCATTTGGATCTGTAATCCACAATATTCCAGTCCCTGGCTTGTTATTGTTTGTAGTGATTGTTGGAGTACCTTGAATCATCAGCCGTCAATTCACAACCAATCAGAAGGGAAATTACCGATTCCGACACGCCCAGCACCGGCTACTGCCGTCTGACCTACAAGAGTGAAGAGAGGTGCACCTTGGGAATCGTGGCCAATTTTGTAGCACACGGTCGGATAACCTAGCAAATCAGCAATTCAACTACACACTTCGTAGGAGTCTTAGCACACCAACTGGAGTAAAGCTACTTGAGTTAGCCTAGACTCAAAATTCAAAGCAACTCTCGCTTACTAAATGTAACCGCCCTCAAGTGGATATGATCCAGCACCTGCGAAGATGCTTCCTTGTGTAATGATTGTTTGGATGATATTGTCAGTCCCTATTTCACCTTAGCAAGCTTCTGGCGGGTAAGTGAAAAACTTGCCTCCAGGTCCTTGTTTGAAGCCTCCGAGGTTGTTCGCATTCATGATGCTTCAAACGTCAGCTAGAAAATGCTTTGAGTCCACATAAACTCACTAAGCTTTGCCATTCTTTCCCAACGCTATACCAATTCTGGAGACTCCAGCACCTTTGAAAACATCCGGATCTAGTAATGTGACCCCACCAGATCCAAGATCTCGATCACCAGCGTCCATGGAAAGATATTCATATGGTTCAAAATAGTCCGAAAGAGAAAGCTTTCCAGCGTCAGATACAGTAAAGCTGGCAACAACCTCATCCAAGGTCGATAATGGTGTTCGTCCCGATGCTGGTACATCTCCATTGTTGTGTCCTTCACCATTCCTATTTCATATCAGCGCAATTCAAAATACTGGGCATATTATGAAGTACCCAGTAACGAGAAAGAGCCTATTCCCGTCCGTAGCGAATCCTTGACCAGCTTGCCATATACCTGCTTTACCACCTTGCTGTACAGTAATATCCGAGACTACTGGTGGCGCACCAGGACTTGATTCCATGGCATAAAGTGAAGTAACTCCTGGACTTGTGTTAGAAGGAGAAGCGATAAAGTTCGTCAGATAAACAAACCAACTCCCGGCGATTTACTGACGGCTACCAGCATTCCTGTGTAGTTGAACAGATCGCAGTGACCGCCAAAACCACCGATTACAACATTTCCAATCATAGTTACTGATGTACGTTGCAATACGGTACCGCCAATGAAATATCTACAAGAATTAGGCTCGATTCAAGATTTTCTCAAAATTCTCACCTTGCGTGATCGTTATCTGCAAAATTCCCATCGATGAGTATGGGAAATCCAGGTCGGTCTTTCAGTGTTTGCACATCTACAGCATAGAATTTGTAGATACCTATCCGACGATCAGCAAACTAGGCCTCGGTGTAGTATACTTGGGCTAACCATTTACAGGACCACCATTTGACGCTCCATTCTTGTAACCTTTGGAAAAGAAGTATGCCGTACTAGTGCTGGGATCAATAATTGGGGTGCCCTATCAAATCAAGTCAGAATTATCAGATATAAAAGGGGATGATTCGACATACAATAACACCAATGTAATCGGGAATGTCTGTACAGCCAATGTCAATTTGAAGAAAAGGTGGTTGAAGCGTCCGACTATTGAGTAGAGTGCCATTTACCGCATCGACAGTTCGAATAACATTCATGGCAGATGCAAGAAATACCAGCTGCGAAGCTCCAGGTGGAGTGTAAACTAATGGCTTCGCATACCATCTCTCTTTAAGCCCATACTGGTTCTTCCAGAGAATCCCAAAACTCAAGGATCCGACAATGGACGGATCCATATTGTGATTACTAAGGTAAGAAGACTGTGCTGGGTCCGCATCTTGAATCTCGTCTGTGGGCGCGAGAGAATGAACGGCGGTAGCGAGAACCGCCAGAAGAATGAGGATTGATCGCATACTGAAGCTTGATTTGCAATATGGCTACTCTCGGTTTCTCCACGAAGCATCTGAAATAAAAAAAACGAGAGACTCGGTTAAAGGCAACTCGCAACGAAAGGAAAACTTTCAAGTTTTGTGGATTGAGAAGGAAGGCACGGTAGGTATTGCAAACGGGAAAGCGTGTTCAACCACCATGCACTGGGCCGTTCAGCCACGCGTGGCTACCCATTTTCCTTGATAAACAGATCCATTTTGCATCTCTCACAGGGAGGTACAAACGAAGTCGAGAATGTCGGTCGTAAAGAGATTGCACCAAACCCTCAAATATCAGCTGACCATAATACAGACTCAAGGACACCAACATTCTTGATTCGTTGCTCTCAGTCTCACGGCATTAATGGATCAATCTAGGACTTTAACTATAATTGCCGTAAAAATGTAGTGACGCTTCCAACGCATCTTTCCGGTAGCGGAGGAAAATGATGCAGGGATTTGAAATGACAAGGAAACACGAACCTCGAAGATTTCCAAGGCTGTGTTACTATTCGTAGATATAACAAAGTACGTCATCTAGAATTGGTGTACTAGGTGAGTTGTCAATCATGTACCTGTACCTGGATATACTGATGAGAGTTCAGCGGTTGATAACAGACAAAAGCAAATCGATCACCCAATATGATCTAAGATCTTGGGTCTGGTAGGTGGAACCGAAAGTAGTAGCAAAGGAAAGATGCACTGAAAGTCGGTCCATGCTCCTACCTTGTAATCCAACGCCTCGAAGGCGAGCTACTCGAAGCCTTTTGACTGACGTTCGAGGCCCAGATTCCTTTCAAACGAACATCGGCAGCAACTCTAGCCTCATGCTGCGTTCGCATGCTTCCTTCGCAAATGGGGAAAGCGTCGTGTCAGAATATCAAAGGTACCTTGATGAAGTCTCACGAACAACAAATACACTGGTACAAGTACACGGACTGCAACGATAGATTTGAAGTATGGAATCCCACTCAGTAGCTCAACTACCTATTTCGTTCAGCATTCAGGAAGGCAAGGATATCTTGGAGGTGTAATGAGATGAAATGAAAGCACAGAGAAAGGAGAGAGGTGGGGATATCTTTTGGGACTAGCCTGTTTTGCAATTTCTAAGCAGACCCCGTCACGTGCTGTTCTTCATTGATTACTCGAGGTCCCATTCCATAAGCTTACAATTTGAAAGGTGAGATGGACATTCCCCCTTCTTTTACCTCTTCTGTTCTTTAAGAATGGACAGAAATCAAGCATCTTCGGGCTCAAAGCTAGTCGGCGTTAACAAGGACGATTGACACAATGTCTCCGACGCCAAAAAAATAAAACAGATACAGGATCGCCTCGCCCAACGTTCACGACGTGAGTAATTTGCTGTGATGATTCTCAGAGCCCCGGAAAAAAGAGATCACACTCAGCATCCGATACTTGATGCATCAAAAGGCAGATACTCTTGGAGAGGCTAAGCTAACTGGCTATAATTTAGGAAAACGCTTACGAGATGAAAAGATACGTTCATCTGAGACTTCGCAGCAAGCGGCTACATCTGCAGACCCCACCTTATCCAAGTCATACGCGGCTTCCAATTCAAACACCATGGGCGTTGACATAGAAGAAGATACGTCATTCGATCCTGCAGCTTGTCTTGACGCCTTTTGTACAACCATGGTCCTTGATAGCTCCAATGCCACCAATTCAGCCGGTATTTTAGACACTGCCACAGACTTATCCACTTGTTTCGGAGACATGATGCCTATATTTCCTCTGGAAACTCCAACAACTTCCGATCATTCGTCATGTGTCTGCTGTTCGTTCAGAAATCTACCTAACCTAAACCACGAGCTTCCTTATAAACTCACCCCAATTACTGCTTTATATATCAACGGCGAAGTCCCGGGTTTGTCATGTTGTACGTCAATTCCAGCAAAATCTAAGCCTGCAGCATCCGATGTTCCTCTGTCATTACGCCCTACACCAGCTCAACTTTTCACCTTCCATTTGAGCGGAGTCGATCGATCTCCATTTCCTAAAATGCGAGATAACATAATCAGTCTAAGCGGCTTCATTGATGAAGAAGAATTAGGCCGAGATATGATGTTCATGCCTACTTTCTCTTCCACTCCAGGTGCCCTACCACTGAATCCTAAAGCATGGAAGGTTGAAAAGCCCTTTGCAGACAAATGGGGATTCTTATTTCGCTGAAGCTTTCCGACCTCAAATGAATTCCGATCCCTTTTGTGGGCTAGGAAGTATTCGTGCTGGGAATGGGGTTTCTCTGTTGACTGCATATCAATTTTGTCTAACAAAAAGCACTGTCTATGTGATTATTTGCCAAGGTGAAAACCATCCATACATCAAACAGTTCTGTTGTAATGCGACTTGAAATATAAAACGGGATTCATGTTCGTTACTGGATGCTTTCTATATGAAGTAAATCGCTTGCTACTCAACAAAACCCTTACGCCTTTTCAGCAACATCCACAATCCAATCGACCACCTCTGGTAGTGCACTGACATGTGGGATATGTCCCGCGTTAATGCTCGTAACAGCAACCTTCTTTCCGCTCAACTTCTCAATGTTTTCAATCGCGCGCTTTTGCCTCTCGACTGGAATAGTTGCATCAATTTCACAGAGTAGATAAGAAGTTGGAATATCCTTGTATCCGGCATATGTCAACTCATTACTGAAACTGACTGCAGAATGACAAGTGAACTTCGCGATAAGTTCTGTACCTAATGATCACATTGTCATTAGTCGCTATTACCTCTTTCCAAAAGTGCTTCAATAACGTACCGACATCTGCTGGCAGGTCCGGAAGTATAAGTGCCGCGATAGCAGCCGGATCTTCCTGAATCATCCAGCCATTATCCTATCACAGGTTTATTAGAGTACATAACAAGGCAGTTGAGGGGACCATGTACCAGAATCTTGATAGGTATATCCGACCTTGACTGCTGGGCAGTTGCCAAGGATTCTCCAATAGCTGGAACAACCGATGTCATATACGCGATATGAATAATCCCACCTTTCTTCCCTTGTTGCTCTCTCTCGATTTTGCTCACACCCTTGGTGCACTCAGACACTGGAACGCCCCCGTAAGAATGAGAGACGAGAATCACATCTTTTCCCTCGTCTGCAAGCTTCTCGGCCATGGCATGAAGCGCGGCGGCATCGTCGTACATGGTTGGTGGTTCCCCAGGCCTCCCTTCTCTTGCTCTGAGGCCGGCTGTAAGGTGATGGAAACCTTGGATTTCGTAGCCTCTTGCTCGGACGGCTTCGAACATGGAATCGTAGAGCGCGGGAACTGAAAATGAACCAGTGACGAATATGATTGAAGGCTTGGACATCTTGAAAGCTGTGTGGGGTTTGAAATTTGGAAACGAGTTCAGATGGGTTAACGTTAAAATTGGATTGAGTGCTGAATTGAGAATGGCATTTAACGGTAGTCTTTGATCATACTTATACAGCCGTTCCAAAACTCTGCTTCATAATTCTGATTTCGGTTTCGGATCTTCTGACTTCTTGTACGTCGTGATTACCTTGGTATCACCATCCACTTCTGTCAGAAAGGTGCGGGTCCAGTCAGAAAAGCGGGCCTGTTGTGCCCCAGTGCGGGGTCGTTTTCTTGATTCTCTATTGGGACGTTCTGCCAAAGAAAGTCAATTCCTCATCTCTGTCTGGGGCTGGGCTGATAAGCTTCATAAACAAGGAATGCCAAGGGTGTATGTGGGTGATGTTTTCCGGGGTGGATGAAATGGTTGCACAATCTCCCAGTGGACAAAAGATTGGCAGAAAAGCATTCTCTCGTTCTCGTTTATTTCTGGAGTAAAATAATCTTACTTATTTCTGTGTTTCCAATTAGTCGTACTAATTGTCCCAAGCGATTTTAACAAGCATAATATATCAAGAAAGTCACGACGGTAGACGATAAATTCACTACCACTCGTAATTTTCGACAGGGAACAACATCCCAAGAATCCCAAAAAGTCACCAACAGCGTATGCATAAACTAATTGAATACTCAATCAGACTCAAGTGGTACTCGATTTGAGTTGAATTGCGGTTTTCGCTACCCGAGTTGAGTCAAGTAGGTGCTCCTACTCAATTCGACTAGTCGGATTGTACACGCTGGTGACCAAGAATCCATTCCATGAAATGAACCATGAGAGGAATACTTTGGCATCTAAGAAAGCTACATAACCCTCGAAATCACCTAATAATTCGTTCGTATTCACACCACCATTTCTTTTTTCGAAAATTCTCCACTCTCTCAATTAGCTCATTGACTATGAAGAGAACAATCTTATGCCAAATGTATTCTTACTATGTTTTCGGCCATGATCCAGGACTGCGTCTTTAATTCTGACGACCCCTGGTGCTACTACTGTAGCTAAAAACAAACTAAGCGAATCCGGCTCAACACGATCAGAGCTAAGCGAAGTAGCTGGAAGCGGTACCAGAGCTGAGCTTGGCACATAATCCCCAAAATACTATTAAAACCCGCAAATCCAAAGAACCTATCTACTCAAAGCAAACAAACACAGGAAAGATTTACACACTATGCCTCCCCCCTCTTTCTTCAGCCGTCTCGGTCGCGCCATCTCGGGGGAAATTCGGGAATTCTAAAATCAAAATACAGCGTCCAAAGACGTTCCTTCCTCCAATGATTTGAAATCGTGGGATCGAGGCTCTCGAATACGCGCACAAGAGGCAAGAGATAAAAAGCATCCGGTACCCCTGGAAGGCACCGAGGGACGTGATAAATGGCTGAGAGAGGTAGGTACTGTACCTACCCTACCTTTCAGGAAAAAAGAGATTGCATCAATCCAAATTTCTAACATGTCTAGAATCTCCCCCGTGATGAGAGGGTCATTACGGTCTTAGGTCCAATCCCGAGGACGATTTCAATTCCATAGACCCACTCATGAGCATCAGTTCACGGTTTGTCGGCGAGGAGCGTAAGTTTGATTACAGACCAACCGAAGCCTAAATCAAGGGTAATTACTTTACAAGATTGGAGGAAAAGTTTGTCATGAAGGTAGGAGTGGAAGATGGGTCAAAAATCACTGGAAAGATCAGGAAAGCGGCTGCTACTCAATCTCGTGATTGCGTGGCGAGAGCAATGGGGTTTTGTTGTGATGTTAAATATCGCGAGTGGCGGCATTACAAGGTGCTTATACCAGACGAATGGCATTGTTGTAGGAAAGAAGCACCCGCGGATTGGGAATTGACCTGGATTGAGGAATTCGCAGAGAAAGAACGCGCCTGGTTTCGAGAGTGTGACGAGGAATAGTTGAATGGATTAAGGAGGGATTAATAATGGGACTTGAAGTTATCGTGTGAAAACGTTCTCTCTGTATCGTCTTCTCCAAGGTTCATTGAACAAACAATTGCTTCAAGTACCCATTAGATAAGACGAAAATATGGTCTCCCTAACTCCGCACACACCGTATCAAATGTTATTATCCTAAACATCTAGAACAAGATAGTTAATTATATTCCTATACGCAGGCCAATAAAAAGGAACAGATAACAATTATTCTAAGCTCTATATAACTATTTATATTTTACGACGCTATTGGAATATTTTCATTCTAGAAGAGATGTAAAAAAAATGGATAGGCGAAACTCTATACACATCTAAGTTTTAAAAAATCTATTATTCTACATGCCTCGTACAACTAAAATCATTGTACGAGCCATTTGGGATAATCAAAATTAGTACATCTTGTTGTGCTGGGTCTACTTTCTCTTTTGCTCCACTTCCTTATTTGATCCACTTATAGTTCTGCTGCCTAAATGCTTCATGTCTGCCTAAACCTTACACTCTTTATATAAATACCTTAGATAGCTACCTTTTAGAAGGCAATCAATTCTCCATGACCTTCAGTACCCAATACCCTTTCAACCCAATACATCTTTATTGATCTAAATCGTTTGGGACAATCAAGTTGATTGTTTCTTAATGTGTATATAGAGTTTCGCCTAAATGTCTTACAGAATAATGACCACCTCTCCTATGGGGTGGTGAAATTGAGAGAGAAACACAACTCGGTTAGATGTATTAAACAGACCAAAATAAATTGTACATTTTGATTCCAGACGAAGCTCCAGGGTATCCATAACTCCTCCAAAGTTTTCCAACAACCCACTAAGGTCTGAGAGGTAAACCAGCCTTCTCATAAGCACTATCAATCATCTTCATCTGTGAGACCGAACTCTCACCGTCGATCCAAACCCCACTCCCTTCTCTCCCTCGGATCCGATTCACAAATTCTTCAAGTTGACACCGATAAGTAGTCCACCAAATCTCCCCTTTCTTGCCCTCCTCCATCCAATTATACGCCTTCTCCATCTCCTTCTCAGTCCACTGCTTCACAACCTTCTTGCTCCCAACCTCCCTAACAACATGCTCTTCAATAATCACAATACTATGCCAAAGAAACGGCATCAAAAAATTCCACATCTCCACCGATCTAGTCACCACTTCCTCCCGTCCCTCACGCACAGGTCCAACAACCTCCCTCTCCTTCACTCTCACAACAGGACTTGGAATCACAGGAACCCACCCAAACCACCCAGCCCATCTAACCCCCCGTCTCAAATCCGCATCCAACTCCCCAATCCCACCATTCCCCCACCTCCACTTCGCAGTAACCGCCTCCTCACAAACGGGATCCGCACCCTTCGGCAGATGTCTAATCCCGGCCTCAAGACACTCCTCAGGCTCCGCTCCAAAAACCGACCGTAGAGCCATAACATTATACGTCCCGCAATCCATCAGCGCTCCCCCAGCGAGATAGTACAAGAACCTGATATCATTTGTAGGGAAGGCCCATTTCGGGGCTGAATTCGTCGTGGTGACATGTTCGATATTATCTCTATTAAGGAGAGAGAGGAACGTTTGAAAGGCGGGGTGGAAAAGGGAGTGTAAAGCCTCGAGGATGATTGGTGTGGCACCCGTTTTCGGATTCGGGGTCTGTAGAAGGGGAGAGGAGAAGAGGGATTGTGCTTGTGTGGCGTTCGAGACGGAGGGTTTCTCAAGGAGGATGTGTTTCCCTGCTTCGAGGCATTTGAGGGCCCATTCATAGTGGAGGCCGTTGGGGAGGGGGATGTAGACTGCATCGATTGACGGATCATCGATGAGGTCTAGAAGCGTCCGTCCGTCAGTCTACCTATCCGCACATGAACTTTGAAGTGAGAAATACCTTGGTAACTCGCAAATGTAGTAGGAATCCCGTATTTCTCGGCGTATTTCTTTGCTTTGGCTTCATCGCGAGCTGCGACTGCGGCGATGATCACTTCGGGATGGGATCGAGCGGGGTTGATGATTGCAATTGGCCTGCAAGAATCTTTAGCTTAGCACTTCAATTCCTCTCTCATAAGAGTAAGAAGGTACTCACCCAATATTACTAGCACCCAACAACCCAATCCGAATCGCATTCGCCGATTTAGCTGGCTGTGGTGGGTTGACCACAGTCCACATCCGCTGAAAGAATCCAACAAACGATGCCATCGCAGCGACTGTTTCTCCCGCAAGAAAGTACTTCAAAATCGTAAACTCCATTTTCCTTTTTCTTATCCGTAAGGATCTAAATTGGCGGACAAATCGATTCTTTCGTATGTAGGATCTTGGTTGTCTACGAGGGATCTTGATCTTGAGATGAGGGGTGCATGTGGAATTAAATGCAGCGTAAGCACTGCTGTACCTAAGTAGCAGCCTTCGACGGCTCCCGCATCGGATGTCCACTCTCCCCGTGAATAAGCAGCTGCAGTTTCTGTGGCTGAAACTGGTACCTGAGTAACTTTGTATATTTGAATTGGTGGGATTGGTTGGGGCTTCGGATGATTTGTCGTGGGCAGAAATTGGTGGGTGTTACTCGTAATCTCTCTGCAATAACGTGGAAATCTACACCTACCGAGAATAAAGTATCAACCTACCCCTCTTTTATTCACGTCAAGAACACCTTTCCTTCAAAATAAAATCAACTCGACTATTTCACTGCTGAACTATGCTCGAAAATCAATATAAAAACATTCCAATCCCCCAACAATTAGTTCTTATGCACCTCCTCCTGTTGCTCCATAGGACTTATTCCTCCCTCAATATTGTCAACCTTTTCCAGCCCAAGTTGACTAGTATCCCATCCATTAGCCTCAAGATACGCCCTAAACTTAATATCCTCGGAAGTAATAGTATCTTGTCCAATATTAGGGATAAAGAACAAAGTAATAAGACCACTGAAGATGCAAAGTGCACTCGAGACATAGAACGGGTACTGGGCTGAAGCGACCGTATTGCCTCCACCAGCTTTCTCGATATATGGGAAAACATAAGTGCCAACAAAAGCTCCGACCTTACCAATCGCAGCGGCAACTGCGTAATATTGACCCCGAATTCCAGTAGCGCAAGTTTTGGATGCGATTAGTCCAATGTTATCACCTGGTCCGAATTCTCCGAGAGACAAGAAAAATCCGTAGACGACGGCGAAACCAGCGACATTTCCTGGTCTTGACAAAACACCGTAAAGTCCTGCCATGAGGAAGCCAACGAGTCCTTGAAGGGTCACTCCAATGACAAGTGCGTACTTGGGACCGACCCAATCTGAAAAGAAAGATCCGAGGACGGCACCTGGAATGTAGAAAAGATTGATGACTGTATTCCATCCGAAAGATTGAGATAAAGGGGCCGTTTTCGGTAAGATATTGGCGAGAATAGCCGAAGAGTAAATACCAAACGAGTAGGTGGAAAACTATAGAAATGAGTGAATATCTCAGAGGAAATCAATGCAAGGTGATATCATACATCGTAAATGAACCAAATCAAGCTGACCATGAAAAGTCGGGGGCCGTAATATTTGAGAACCAAACCATACGGAATCTTGACATTTTTCATACTCTCCCTGCTTTTGTCAGTGACCTAGAAATATTAAACGGGCAATGAAAAGAACTTACCTCTTAAACTCCTCCGGTTCCTTGAGCTTCATACGAAGATACAAAAGTAAGAGCGGTGGCACAACACCCAGTCCCAAAGAAACTCTCCATGCAGCCCTTAGATGCTTTTCGGTAAAGATAACCACCATCAAATAAGGAATGAAAGCTCCAACAACAAAACCCGCATCAATCATAACATTTGTGAATATAATGAACCATCTATTTCTCGATCCAGACTTCAATTCTCCGGTCGCTTCGGAGCATGCGACCGATCCAGCGGGATATTCTCCTCCAATACCGACACCGACGAGAAAACGATATGCCGTAAGCGCAGCAAACATCCCATCTAGATTTCCATGCCAACCATATGATCCCGCACCTAACGCAGCAAAAACGATGAGTATAACCGTGGAAATCGTAAGCGAGTGTGAGCGCGAAAATTTATCACTTGTATAACCAAAGATCCCCATTCCCAACACAGTTCCGGCAAATGTGATGGCAGAGATATTCGCTTGCGCACCGGAGCCAGTGTATGCTGTGCCGTACAAAGTTTTCAAAATGGTGGAAACGGAACCGATGACCTACACATATCGTTACTAGATTTCGGAGAAGTTGGGTGATGAATTTTACATTGTTGATGTATCCGTCAGAGAAGAGACCTGAGCCACAGGCCATGGCAGGCCACATTCGTTCCCATCTTGTTTTTGGGGTTGATGCTAGATGATCAACGTTCTGAACGTAAGGCTCAGGTTCAGAATCGCCGTCTACCACCGGGGTGGTCTTCTTTCTTCCAAACATGATTAGTCGGAATTAGTGGACCTGTACGTCGAAATGATAGAGGAGAAAGGAGTTGTCGTCGACGAGGGCTTTCGTAGAGACAGAAACCGAACCACAGGAAGTGAATGAGGACTGGGGCGATTTGAAAGAATGGAGAAGTTTTTGAAGGTGGACACAACTAGTGGGAAGGAGCGATGGCCCACTAAAAAGGGTCTACTGCAGCTCGGGTTTTGTAAACTGGGATTAAATAATCGTAGCCCCCCAGTTTCCTACGCTATCTCCATGCAGTAGACCAGTTACTCCTGCACATTGGATTTGGTTGGACAAGGTTACTCCCGCAGGAATGAATAGCTTCGTTTACAAAAAAAGCTTCTCTGCTTGTTTCTCTAAAGGTATATGTAGTTCGCTTGCCGGTACCAAGTAAATACATGGCCCAGAGTTTTAACTAGCTGCCGGTCCCGAGTCCTAGACTGCCTTATCCTGACGTCGTTGATAACCGTTTCTACAACCATAGAACAAAACTATTATTCTCGGTATCTTGATCCAGGTACCTGTTTTTTTTACTACATTCTCCAAAATGTACCGAGCTTCGAAATAGAAGAATCCAATTACCAACATATCTTTTCATCCAACCAACCAGGACACTCCCTTCTGAACTTAATCGTCAACTCGCACTGGAATCAGATAAGCCCAGCAATCAGCCCCACCAAAAAAAAGGGTTGGCGCTGAAGCCACAAACAACGGGATGACCGAATCCCAAGCTAAGATGTGCAAGGGCTGCAGATTGTGGCGGGCGGGGCTGAGTCTTGGATTGGCTACAAGCATTGTTGACAAGCATCTTTTTGGAATCAAGCATTTCTTGGAATGAATGTCCGTGAGTGGTTGAAGGCGGGTGGGGAGAAACGTTGCATGGGTGTTCGCCATCTTGACATTTGGAGATGCTGGTGAGTGATCATGGGATGGTTTGATGGAGGGGGAGGTTTGCTGGCAGAATTACCGTTGAATTGGAGAGATGATATTGAAATATTATCCGGGCGTTTTCTGGGGCGTGAAGGGTGGTGTTGTGAAGTTGGGGAGGACAGGAGAGGTGCACGAGGGTGTGATGGGGGTTCGTGCCAAGGCTGTCTGTATCCTTGAAAAGCGAGCGGCAGTGAAATGTTTGCTGCAACTGATGATTGATGGACTGACGAAGTGGCACAACATAAACCGTTTTATGTGTACGAGTAGTTGTCTCTTTAGTTGTAGGGGGCTTTCTAGCAAACTTTCTGAATCTAGCCTTACAGGTTTATACTGAGGTACTGTACCAATTCCAGTTCAATTCAAAGTGAGATATCGACAAAGTGGTCTTCTTGTCCATTGCGGCGAGGCAGATAGCGGTTGTCGTCTTCCGTGTGGATCAACAACTGTGCCGAGGTAGTACGCATCCATTTCATCACTTCTCCGATTCATTGAACAGTTTTGAGAAAATAGTCTAGACCTTCAGATTGATTATCTCAGAAGGATTGGGAATACCAGAGTAAGCAACACCATTATTAAGACTACTAGAAAAGCCAACAACTACTTGGGAAACGCAAATTGTCTCTAACGTCCTCTGAAGCGAAGGAATATGAACACGATATAAATGCAGTGGTTCTCGTACGGAGGTACAATCTACTTGATACCCAGGACTAATCTAATCCAAGCTCCTCCACCTTAAGCTTGACCATCCAAACTTTTCAAAATCGTCTCCACAAGTCTCTACTCGTACAGATCACAAGGCGACCATGTTTACAAAGCCACGTTCGAGGGTCGACCATCCTATCCATATTCTCCGGATTTTCAGTAGCTCCCTAGTAGTATACAAAACTCTATTCAGTACTTGGTGGACAAGTATGGAATGCACATCTCGCTTCATCGAAGATACAAATTTGAGAGATGTAAACATGATGGACGGTTAAAGCTGGACCGAGACATTTAACCCATGTGAGAAAAGTCTTTTATTAACAGAACTTGAGCAGAGTTGGCCCAAAATTGAGACCGATCCGTAAGATAGACCTGGCATGGCTTTGATTAGGCATCGGGATTCGAAGCTCTTCATCTTTTCTGTGGAACTTCATATGTACAGTACATTTTCCAGTCTCTCCTTCCAACTCGAATCGCAAGGGTGCCGTCGATGACTGGTGTGGATCCAACCGCCAAAATTGTACCCGGTGTTTTGATGGAGAAGGGAGTCCAGCAGAGATAGGTGTTGGCTCTGACTGTATTCCCAGATATTCTTGGAGCCTGAAGCTTGCATCAATCCAACTCCCTACAAGCTTGAGCTTGTCTCCCATCTTGATGGATGGTCATGTCGAAGTTGTCGACCACGAACTTATCCCGGAGCGAATTAGCGTAAAGCGGAAAGTTTTGAGTATGATGATATAGCGGAATGGCAAAACTTCATCTTTCTACCCACGATGCTCGGCTGTTCGTACCCATTTCTTCCCTTTGATGAAATGGCGAATGCTCCTTCGAAGAATCATCATCCTCCTTCATAATTTGGGTGTCGTCAAATATCAAAGCACCTCTAAATCCTTCAACTGCCAAAGCCATCTTCGGTTTCCATTCTTCGGGTAAGTGTTCCAGCAAGATAGCAAAGTCTCTCTTTGCCGAATGCTGTAGCCATACTATCGAATCAACTTGTTTCACCAATATTAGGTGGTAGCCAACAATACACATTGCCCTGGGTTCTTTCTTCAACACCAACTCCAAAAATCGTTTCGAAACCATCCCAGAAAACTTCAAAACATGTCGGGCGAGTGGCATAGTAACGATCTTGTTGAGATAATATACTGCCGTAGTGTAAGCATGCATCGTCTCCCCGTCGACGGAATCGGGATTCAAGTCCTCAATCAAGAAGTCGAAGATCGGAGTAGGCTTGACCCAGGCTGCGTCTGTCATTGGGACGATTTCTAATGCGTGCTCATATTGAATCAATCTCCTAATCTCGTCCACTTTAATGTGTTCCCAACAAGCAACGAGTAGCGCCCTGATTCCATCCCAAGGTTGGAACCAGTGCATCATCGATCCATCTTTTTCGTCTGGTGTTAGCCTTTCCGAGGCAACATGGAAGGCAATGAAAGTGGAAGTGGCAAAGACCACTTCGGCATTCTCTGCCGTGATGCCCTTTCGTACCTGATCAGCATGCTCTACAATGGCACGCATCATGTATCGATGAGCGGCTTCAGTGATTTCCTTGTCGGATGCATTCAAGTGTCGCAGGTGAAAGGCAGCAAATCCCAGAAGCGCATCCATCAGATTCGGAGATTCGATGGCAAGACGTAGAATCCAGTCAGACCACGGATTCTTGGAGCTCTTTGGGGAGGCAACTTGACCCAGCGAGTTGATGGTGCCTTTCTGTGTCATCTGAACGTAATGATGGAAAAGTCTGAATTCGATGAGTCTTTCGGGTGGAGTATTCATCGATATCGGAATAGGGGGTGCATTACGCTGGTTTGTGATATATAAGAGACGTTGTCTCCATGCTGAATCGGAGTGGACGAGTTGATCTGTTGATAATGCTGAAGAGAGGGTTCCTGAAAAGTCACTTAGCAGCGGGCTCGCGGGGTTTGGCTGTGAGACTGGTCTCGACATCTGAAGAAGAGCACTGCTTCTTGGTACCATGGGACCCAGAAGTCCATAATCGCAATGGCTGTTGCTCTTCAAACAGTGACCACATACGGGATGAATTTCGTCACACTGACGGTGTTAGTTTTTGCCGTCAATAGAGAGGAGGGATAGTTGGTTTGCCTTCATCCTACGCCCTTTGCAGCGCTTACATCCTCTCCGGGATTTCTTGTGTGGCTTTCTGGTAGTCATTCCTCCCGAGAGATGGATGGGATCTTCTTTTTGAAAGGGTTTTTGTTCCTCGATGTAGCAAATCCGATTCATCCGATTATTTGATGTCAATCCTTCCCCTCCACGAGCCGGAGATATTGGGGTCACCAACCGTGATATGACCTCCGTTTTGTGGCAAAAAAGAATGACTCTTCAGGTACTTTGAACAAAACCTGGATATTATATAGTTTTGATCATAAGGAGTAGGAAAGTGATGAACAACAAGTGTCTATCAAAAGGTTTCAGGTATTATAGTAGAAATGGTTGAGTCCTCGGGAGTACATTAAGTCCGTAAGGCGGAGTTCCAATGGTCCATAGAGAGGCTTTCTCTGGGTTATGGATTTTGCCCTGGTCAACTTGGCGAGCTCAGCCCCTATTGACGACGTGGGAGGGGGGAGGCGGGTATGTGCCGTTGGATCGCTATGTTGTACTTCCAAGCAGTTATTTCTAGGAGACGGGAAATTAAGTTTGTTTGACTGGGTTTATTGGGTGGAAATATCCATGGAGTGTAGCATAGAATTGAAGTGCTAAATTTGGATCTTATGGAAGGCTCGCTGTACTTGGAATCTTGCAGGTAGATAGATACGTCTCCCGAGATAGGTGGTCCACGGTGCAGGTGCTGATCATCCGGGCCGTTCACGTGATTACGCAGAACCCCGCGGGAAATGATCGCGCGTCATCTTCCAGTTTCGACGCGACAAACAGCTCTCACACATATTTGAGTTGCCAACTCCCCACCCACCTTCAACCTCTCAACCTCTCAACCCCTCACCGCCATCACAATGTCTAGCAGAAGGCACCTTGTCTCTCGAGCTCGCATGAACAACGAGGCATCCGCATCTCCAGCACCGTCTCGCACTGCACCTCAACAGAATGTCGAACTCCCTCCATATCAACACCCCGAATGCCGAATGACAGAGGCCCAGCAGCAGGCTTTAGCTCAGCTCAAAGCCGACCACAAATACAAGAAATACAAGACGACTCTCAAAGCCGCCATGAGCTCTCTCACAAACGCTGCAGTCTCGAGCAATGACCGTCTCCACGAGAGTAAAACGAACTTAGAAACAGTCGCGAACAAAAGAGATAAAGGGAATGGAGTGGTCGATGATCCCAAAGAAGCAGAGCTCGAACAACAGAGGTATCATCAAGTTCTTGAGAAAAAGGTTCGGGAAATCACCAAGGATGCGGAAAATGCTTTGAGGGAGTTGGTCGACTTTGATGATGAGCAGAAAATGCACTCTACACATCTGACTGAAGTGATCGATACTCTAAAAGCAGCCCCGCCCCTAAGAAACCATGACGAGATGGAGGACGATGAAGACGACCTTGGAATCCCCAGCGCTACTGATTTATTGAAGAAGACAAAGGCAGATTATGCGACTCGATATCACTCCAAATCAAAAGTGGAGAGGTACGACTTCTTGCACCTCTCGAATGCTTGCAAACTCAACTAACAAATTCCCAGATATGGAGATAATGAAGTATATAGTGTTTTCAAGAGAGTCCTCCATGATGCCATGTACCACAACAGTGGACCTCCACTAGCCAAACCGCGGGACTGGTTCCCAGAAGAAAATGCCAAGTCTGGCTCACGTCGTGATCGCGACGCCAATAGCGCAGACTCGGACGACGTGATTATTGAGAGGGCGGAAGACTCTCTCAAGTGTCCATTATCAATGCAATACTATGAAGATGCAACCCTTGGTCCATGCGGGCATCATTACGATAGGAAGTCTTTCATATCTTGGTTCGACACTGCTCATACTCATTCACGACAAGTGGCCAGAGGAAGAGAGGTCAAATGTCCTGAGACAGGTTGCAATAGGGTACGCGCTATACAATTCCTTGAATACAAACTTCTACTGACATTATATAGTATCTACGACCGGAAGATCTCATAGACGATCCAGTCATGATGCGAAAAGTTGCACGTGCTAAGAAGAGAGATGCTCGGGCTGCCGAAGAAGACGGGTATGAGGAAGATGATGATCCGCGCGGAGGTCAAAGGCGTCGCCCTCAGCAATTAAGTGATGATGATGACGACGATCAAGAGTCCGCGTCATCACAAGTCAAGAAGGTCAAAAGTGAGAGAATGAGTCGTGGACCAAGTAGTGCACCAAATCGTAGACGATACATTCCAGAAGATGAAGATGTCGAGATGGAAGATTGATTATCACAATATTATTATAGCATTACGACTAGTTGGGAAGTACTTCTTGTCATTGTGTTGTGCCTGCGGCTCCATTGGAGCATGTGCAAGGGATAATGGTAATTTTATATGTCAACTGTCGCTGCAGGTTACGCGTCACTCTTTTATCGGTATCATTCTGTACCCCTGCCTTCTCTCACCGAGGTCCTGTCTGGGTATCGTGCATTGAACGGTAGGTGACAGAGTCGCTCGTTTGCTGAGAAGGATTATTTCAATTCTCGTGTTCGTTGCCTCGTGTGTGGCCTGGCATCTCCAGAGAACTTGTCACCCTATCGTGCACTTAATGAGGTCATGACGCAATTACCTTAAATGGACCAGGCAAAGCGAATCATGTTGACACTAACTTAATTATGAGCCCTGCTTAACTCTCGAATACCTACTCGTCCTTTCTGTACGGATCCTAGTGTACGGGCCATTTTTGCTGAAATGGGAGGTCGGTAAAAATAAAACTCGATGTGCAGGTGATCTTTTCAATTGCACAGTTCAGCCCCATCCTGCGGCCAACCGATCAGATCAAAGACCAAAGGTACTCAGCATTCCACCCGAGCTCTGCTTTTGGTCTCTTGGAAGTGTAAACTTGATTTTCTAGTTTCCAGAGAAAATTCAGGAGCAGATGTTACGATATTTGCTTCGATGATGTTGTAAACCACTAGTTCCAGGTCTCAAGTAGCTCAAGGGGTCCTACAAGCTGTCAGTTGGAAACAGCTCTTGTTATACTAATCAAAGTGAGTAAAAGATGGTGTTTTATCTACGAATATTTACTCCATGGACCCGACACAAACTACAAAGAGTGCTTCGCGATCGACGAAGTATATCTCGAAAATTCTTACATAAGCTACTCTCGGCTGATACACAATTCTCCTTATGGCAAGAAGGAACTTCCTTAACAGTATTTCAACCTACTTCGTCCCAGGCGAAATAAATGTAGGTTTGCTAGGGTGGTTCTAGTGAAGAACAGGGTAAAACCCCTGAAAACCCTACGTTTATTTCGCCTGGGACGAAGTATATTGAGTACTGGCACCTACCGAGTTTAGGAGCTCACAATATTGGATGAATTTCTCGCTTAGAAAGTTCTGCCAAGGTTGAAAGCCACATCTCCTGGCATAGTTCTCCTCTTGGTCAAGAATAAAAAAATCGATTTGCATTTACACTTCGTCCGTACTTCGTCCCAGGCCACCTTAGCTAACCTTAGAAAGGCTACATCTGTTACAGTCCATTTTATAGTAGGTACACGAAGGGGATGCAATCGTTCGTGGCACACGCTCTTTCACACCAAAGATAATGATAGCGAACTAAACCAAGACCTCTATGCAAGTAACAATTAGATGACTGCAAATATTACCTCGTCATACTTAATGTATCAGCTCAAAAGTTTTCAGATTAAGTCGTACTAAGGAGTTCATCATAGTTGCCACCGTCCAGTTTAGGTGTAAATGGCGAGGGCTGTCCTACGAACGTTTGCACTGCTGGGGCGAAAAGGAAGCGAGTTATTAGACGTTTCAGATAAGTCTAGGATGGCCGGAGCGGCCTGTCGGCATGTCACTCCGACGCAGACTTTGAAGTGAGTACTGTAGTGTAGAGAAGCTTTGAATAGAAATACTCCAGTAGGCCACGTGAGAAATGACCTCTCGGTTCTGTTTACCGATACTTGCTAAGCTTACCTTCACCGTGAGACCCCTCATACACCCCGGATCCACGCACCTTGCTATTTTCCCCTGAAACCCCGTCTCGTCTAAATAAATATCGTTCTGTCACACGAACACCAGATATACTGTTTATGGTGTGTACCCACTTTCTTTGTATCTCATAGAGCATCACGCGCATATGTGAATCCTTTCCAATTTCCATCTAATCTTGCAAGAATGAAGAGTAGTCAATCTGGGTTATTCGCTTGACACATTACATTATATAAATCAATACTGAATCTCGCGCACGTAAAGTGACTGCAGATATGGCCAAGACTTTGATAAAGCATGGAACTGGTAGAGATGGTCTTTAGTACTGGGTACTGTACTACGTGCGCACTTCGCTTGCTCCACAAGCACATCATTATGCTGTTTGAAACTTCGATGATCGCTTCGTCTCACACGCCAAGTTTGGTTTCTGGTAGCTGCCCAGATACTGGAAATCTGGGGTACGGTACCTTGTTTGGTGCTATCCTAGGATATTGCTTTTAATACTCTGCTCTGCGCCTGTCTTGGCCATAGTTTTGGGACCGTCGCATATCATTTTACGCCAGAGGACTTGGTGTGTGACAAGTCCAGACGAAAGAATAAAGGCAAAAAGAATTCCCCATCTGAATTTCTGGAAAGATTCGGAGAGCTGCCATCCCTTTCTCTTTGGATCCCAACATTCATTACTTTCTCATTGCACCTTGCCATTCATTCGTTTTCTTTTCACACCTTCTTTCAAGTGAAATTTTCTCAACATGAAGTCTCATACCTTCTCTATCATTTCGGCACTGGTTGCCACCGTGTCTGCCCATGGAATAGTACACAACATTAGCATTGCTGATGTAATCTATTCTGTTAGTCTCTACCCATACTCTTTATTACTCCAACCCCTCTTTCCAATACCTAAGCCTAACATAACTATCTGTAGGGCTACATTCCTCAATCTGACGAGTACATTAAGTTCTCGACATGACAACCATGAAAAAGAAAACATTTGAAGTCTTACTAACATTGCAATAGAAAACCCCCCACCAGACCGTATCATGCGTCCCATCCACAGTAGCGGCCCGGTCGAAGACATTGAGATCTCAGATATCCAATGCGGTGGCTACGCAAAGGGGGGCATGGTCGGAAGTAGACCGGCGAATCTCACAGCTGGGCCTGTAGCAGCTGGTGAGATCGTGAGAATGTTCTGGGACTTGTGGCCTGATAGTCATGTCGGGCCGGCTCTAGATTATATGGCGAGGTGTGCGAATGATGATTGTAAAACTTTCATGCCAGGTACCGAGTAGGTGAAAATCCTTTCAATGAGAAGCGCCAGAGAGTGGCATGAGTTGGTATAGAGAGGAGAGAAGAAGCTGATTGTGTATAGTGCTGTCTGGTTCAAGATCAAGCACGCTGGAAGAGGAGGTACCTCGAACGTCTGGACAGATGTTACTCCTTTGATGAAGCCTGGTGGTGTTTACGAATACACCATCCCCCCTTGTCTTCAAGCAGGCTCATATCTCGTCCGTCACGGTATGTGTTCCCAAAAGTTCCGTATTTTCACTCTAGCGGAGAAGGTTGAGCCTCTTCCAGCCAGGCGCAATCTCGCATGCCTCTCTAAACTCGAAAGAAAAAAGTAACGCATTCGTAGCACAGAATAAGCACACTGACCGTGACCATCTATAGAACTTATCGCTCTCTTCGGCGCAGAGAAATACCCAGGCGCTCAATTCTACCCTTCCTGCCACCAAATCCAGGTCACCGGGGGAGGAAGTAGCACGGGACCCGCGAAAAGGTCAGCTTTCCGGGCGCGTACAAGCCTACGGACCCGGGAGTTGTCTTCAAACAACCTGATGGTATTCCCAGGGAATACACGATTCCAGGACCACCGGTGTTTTCGTGTGATGGCACCTCCACAGAGGCGAAGCCAGCAACGACACCAGCAACGACACCAGCGACGAAGCCAGTGACGAAGCCAGTGACAAATGCTACTGAGGATGATAGCTGTGATGCCTAAGTGAGACTTTTAGGACAGATGGGTTTATATACTTGTAGGGGGTTTTTTTATATGTATATTTATGTTTTATGGGTTGTAAATATGACGAATTGGGTTGCGAAGAAATGAGACTGTTTACCCGCTAGATGGGTGTTTTTCTTCGCGTGGATTGTGCCACAAGTGGTCACTGAAGCTGGCACCATTTTGGTCAGCAGAAGATATTAGAAGATAGATAACACCCACATCTATATACCATGCCTGCTCGTTTTCCTCAACTGCCTAGTCCACACTCAACTCTTCCGTAATCCCACTGTTTCCAACTGACTAGCTTTTTCTCTCAGCGTTAGTAGACACAGCCTCGCTTAATTCAGCAGGCTCTTGCCACCATTGCTACATCAGGAATACACGGATTCATGGCAGCATTCACTACTTCCAGTACCTAAAAGGAACCCGCTCAGTGAATAAGTTTTAATGATCGAATAATCCCTGGGCTTGCAACCGCTGTTATTTGATCGTCAATTGGTGATGGGATAACTTTGCTGCAGCCAGCAGCCGACCAAGGTTGTCGTGGGATAACTCGTTACTAAGCAGTTACAAATTGAAGGTTGGACAGATAGACATAAGTATTGTTGATCCATCGCTACGCAAGAGAGTATTCATGATGAGCGTCTAAATAAACTAGCACCTGATTATCAAAAACGACAAAACTACCACTTGTATAAGAAACCTGGTCATGACCCTGTACACACCATCAAAAGCCTGGCACAAGTAACTTAATTGTCCTATTCTATCTAGGTTAATAAGAAGTGAGCCCGAATTATTATTTCAAACATGTCAAGTTAGAGATATTACTGGTTTTTACTAATCTGGTTTCCTAGATCCACGACCAGATCTTTTAAGTCGGATCTCGGAAACCTATGAATCGAGATGACTCTGACATTCTTAATAAGATCGGGCTCTCAAAAGCTAAATCAATCTAGACTGTGTCCAGACAACGAGAGGCTTCTTGCTGTCGCTTGGGATCTTTATAGGTGGTGGAATGACTTAAGGTTAACAGACAGCGAATGTAGCAGATATTATGTCATTACGTGGTAAGGGCAACACGAAGGAAGGCCTAGAGTTCTACATTGATACTAGTTCTACTTACTTCTTCACACTAGGTGCTTCTTCTACAATTGAACCTTTTCTATACCTACACTTCTTTCGGTATTATTCTGGTCTTTTGACTCCCGTCTTTTTTGCCCGATATACTGTACCCCTCTGCCTACACGGACCTTTTTTGTAATACCTCTTTGACTTTCGGTGTAAAAGGGATTATTGTTGAGAAGTAAAAACAGAGCGATGTAAATATCCATATTAATCCGAGTTCTCCACTGCGTTGATAGAAAACCTTACTCTTGTGGGGTACCCGGATAGTTATGCTGCATTCTATGGTAGAAATCATGACGTACAGTTTCGGACACGCAGTTTTCGTCAGATACCGTATTAAACATCTGGTCGGATCAACTCATGAGGTGACTGTACATAGTCAAGAGAGAATCCAAGAAGTATCTGATATCTTACTAAAATCATGCCACAAGGACGAACGGGATACGACGCACCGGCCAAATTGACCCATTGCCGAGGCTCCCGATGCCGACGCCGCTCCCCAATCGGAAACTGCGTCATCCATCGCCAAGCAGATTTGAGCACATGTCAAGACTATTACCACATGCAAAGTACTTGGGGACTGACAAGAGTAAACTAAAACACAGACGACCGCGGGCGAGACTTGCCAACGTGATTTTTAGGCACTTGGGAGACTGCAAATGGATGTCTAAGAAATGAAAGGTGCAACTGAATGTCTATACGATGTTCCGAACGTCCAATGTACGGAGGTACAGGGGATGATGGCACTGGGGGACCTCTTGTCCAGATGTGGATTGTCTCTCCTACCTACTTCGTACATGGGAGTAGACCCTCAATCCCCATCCCATCCCATCCTCCATCCTCCCATCCGCGCGGGGTCAGCTCTCTCCACACTTCTTGACCGTAATGGCAATAAATTTAGTCTGTGCCAATGCAATGCCATCCATGACACTGGCACCGGCACTGGGGGACCGTTCGTAGATAAAGACTCGCCTTGACCCTCAACTCTTCCGAGGTTAACACTCCAGCCACAATTCATCCACAAACACAACACAACACAACACCACATACAAACTCGTGACTTCAAAAGTTCCCATACCAGCAGATACCTAGACGAGAGACACCAATATGGCTAGCACTGACTCCATCCTTCAGGGTGTCAACCTTTTGGGCAATGTTAATGCCACTCACAAGAAGATCCTAACTCCAGATGCCATTGCCTTCCTCGCCCTCCTTCACCGTTCCTTCAATGGCACACGCAAGGAACTTCTCCAACGCCGAGTCATCAGACAAGCCGAGCTGGACAAAGGAACATTGCCAGACTTCCTACCAGAAACAAGACACATCAGAGAGAATGATGCGTGGAAGGGAGCCCCACCTGCACCGGGCCTGGTTGATCGAAGAGTGGAGATCACAGGTCCAACCGATCGAAAGATGGTTGTGAATGCCCTGAACTCCAATGTTTGGACTTATATGGCTGATTTGGAAGGTGTGTATTACTGTCCAGTCTTAAGAGATGATTCTAACCACTTTCCACCAGATTCGAGTGCCCCAACATGGGATAACATGATCAATGGACAAGTCAACCTCTACGATGCCATCCGCAGACAGGTTGATTTCAGACAAGGCGGAAAAGAGTACAAACTCCGAACCGACCGTATCCTCCCCACACTTATCGTTCGACCTCGAGGCTGGCACTTGGATGAGAAACATGTCACTGTTGATGGGGAGCCAATCTCTGGCAGTCTTTTTGATTTCGGTTTATACTTCTATCACAATGCCAAGGAGCTGATCCAGCGTGGATTCGGACCATACTTTTATCTCCCCAAAATGGAATCACATCTCGAAGCACGATTATGGAACGATGTTTTCAACCTTGCCCAGGATTATGTTGCCATTCCACGCGGAACAGTTCGAGGAACGGTCTTGATTGAGACCATCTTGGCTGCTTTTGAGATGGATGAGATTATCTATGAACTTCGCGATCACAGCTCAGGATTGAACTGTGGACGTTGGGATTACATCTTCAGCGTCATTAAGAAATTCCGTCAAAATTCCAACTTTATCCTTCCTGATCGATCGGCCGTTACCATGACGGTCCCATTCATGGATGCGTACGTTAAGCTTTTGATTCAAACATGTCATAGGCGACAAGTCCATGCTATGGGTGGTATGGCTGCTCAAATTCCAATCAAGGACGACAAGGCCGCCAATGACAAGGCAATGGAGGGTGTATATGCCGACAAGCTTCGTGAGGTAAAGGCCGGTCATGATGGAACATGGGTAGCTCACCCAGCTCTAGCATCCATTGCCTCGGAAGTATTTAACAAACATATGCCCACCCCAAATCAAATGTTTATCCGCCGAGAAGATGTTAAGATCGGCCAAAATGACCTCCTCAACATGAACGTCCCAGGCCAAGTCACCGAAGAAGGGATCCGCAAGAATCTCAACATCGGATTGGGATACATGGAGGGCTGGCTACGCGGAGTAGGTTGCGTACCAATCAACTACCTCATGGAGGATGCGGCCACTGCAGAAGTCAGTCGTAGTCAATTGTGGCAATGGGTACGACATGGCGTCCCAACTGCGACCGGAAAGAAGGTTGATAAGGCGTATGCTTTGAAGTTGTTGAAGGAGCAGGCGGATGAGCTGGCAAGCAAGGGTCCGAAGGGCAATAAGTATTATCTCGCTGCGCAGTATTTCTCAGGTCAGGTTACGGGTGAGGATTATGCCGACTTTTTGACTTCGTGAGTTCTCCTTCCCCCCTCTTTAACTCTGCAAGACTTCTTTGATATTGTGAGGAGTGCTAATTGGATGATAGGCTGCTGTATAATGAGATTACTAGCGTGGGTACCTCATCGCCTGCATCCAAGTTGTAAGTGGTGGCCCCGAAAAGGCGTAGTGGACGGTTCTGCGAATCAAAAATGGGAATGGTATTCACGTTTTTTTGTATGACAACTTGAAATTGAAAGTTTCTTCAGCTACAATACCATGACCAGAACAATTTTATTCCCTTGATTACCTAATCACTTACTAACTTTTTTGTTCCCTAATTTTCCAAATCATTGATGACCCACTGAATCCAATAAACTTCCAGCATCGCCTTTCGTGAATCGTGTGTCGGAAGCCCTGAAGGTCGTTCCGAAGGGACTTTCTCTATGAGTCTACTGGTTCTGAGCGATTGTAATGGAATAAGTAGATAACACCGTTCTTTCTGTATCAATATTCCCTGGCTAGCAAAATTAAAAAGCCTGGGTTTGGTTTTGTTTTGTTTTGTTCTGTTCCACTAGATAAATTGGATATAAAAGGTGTATACTTTCAGTAAATATACTTCTATAACACAAAGCCCTTCCTCACTTCCTTACCTCTACTGTTCGTTCCTTTTGATCTACTATTATGTCCCCGTCCGTGGTTACTTAACTTGATATCGATTAGTTACTGTAATAACTTCATTTGATGGGTATAGTGTAATAGCACAGGTCCAAATTCACGATAAGATACAGAGGATGTACTTGAACACCGTATACAAGTACGCTCTTGGGTAATGATATGCTGGCCTGTTATCCCAAGGCTGCTTGTTAAGTAGAGAAGAAAAAAAGGAAGAAGAAAAAGAAAAAGGGGAATACGAGACATATCTTAAAGTTAATCAGGGATTAGATTATAGTAGTGCTAGTGCTAGTATATAATCTCACTCCTCACATCGCTAGTTACAGTGTTATAGTGTTACAGTGTTACAGTACATAGAGCTTCCCCGCATTTCGGCTAGGAACTACTTTTTCTACGTACGCTTTCCTGTTTTCTGATGCGAACGCGCGGTTTTTGGAAGGAGATGATCTGCGATTCATGGATGGGTTTCTATTGGGTGATTGTTGGGTTCTTGGTTGGTTTTCGTCCTGGGTTTGAGGGTGATGGTTGAGAATGATTGTTGGGTTGTCTGAGGTTGTGGATGGGTTTGTTGAAGAGGTTGCGAATGGGTTTGTTGAAGGGGAGATGGTTCGGGATTGACGAGCGGAGGTGTGTATTGATTTGGTTTATGGATGTATGTCTGGTTTCGAAGGAAAGAAAGTCTGTTCCATCAAAATCGCCCGAGAGTTCTCTTTACTAGGAATAAGAGGTTCGCGTCAAAGATTAGCTCGTCACGTCAAAACGTCTCAGGCTCATGCGAAAATGGACAATTAAGGATGACAGTACAAAATCATACTCTAAAAACAAACACTCTAGCTTCATCACTAACATCCCTGAAATAAATATCATGCGTCTAATAAGGGTCCCTACAACTGTCATGAACTGATAACTATATGTAATAGGCAAGAAGCATCTACACATCCGCACCCTTCTCGATTCAAAGAGGAGATATGTCCAATTCCAAGGCTGAGCTCCTTTACCTCATCCCGACAGTAGACAGAACTCATCTTTTCCAGTCAAGCGACTTGCCGTTCCCATGTATTGTATTGGAAGGTAGCTCTTTGCTGGTATTGGTCAATCAAGCATCGTGGGATGTCATATAAATTCATTTGCGGGGGTCGGCTGGTGTTTTAAGGGAGGTGAAGCGATTTGCTATACCGCTTGTGACATAACTTTTGTGCCCCTTTGTAGGGGTACAACAGATGACGGATGAGGAGTGGTAGTTTTTGTATATAATATAGGAGTGGACTTCTGAACCTTTTTATAAGAGATTACCTTCCTTCTACTTTTCTAAATCTCGATTCATGGTCATTATATACAAGTGATGTTTCTATAAATTGGGATTTACTGTTGTCATTTGATACTGGCATTGAAATATACAACATGGCTGCTGGAACTAATGGTCATCACAATGAGCGTATAAACAGCAGTTCCGAAAAGCGCTTCACGGGTATTGGAACTGAAGCACATCACTTGAAAGAGAACAATATGCCACATGGCGACGCCTTGAAACGATTCCGAACCGCTGGAAGTATCTCGCTTTCTCCCGAGCTTTTCGAGAAGCTCTATCTCTCATCCCAAAATGCCGTTAACGGCGAATTACGGAAGACGTTTGGTAATCCTACACCCTTGTAAGTAACCTGCTTGCCGCATCATCACACTCTTAGACGAATTGAAATCTCATCTAGCTGTCCCCTCGGATTCTTACTCCATTATCACCTCTCGCTTATAACCTAGTGGGTTGGCGAGGAGCAGTTGGCAACGGCGCCGCAGGAATCTAAGTTCCCACCCAGCTGTCCCATTAGCCATACCACATCTCTAGCCTCCTCGATACTGGAAGCTACTACTTCTTCAGCGGTCTCCTAATGAGCCTCGGCGGCGTCCTAGAATTCATCCTAGGCAACACCTTCCCCTTCGTCGTCTTCATGGCCTTCGGAGCCTTCTGGCTAACCCTCGCCTCCACCCTCCAACCTCCTACATGGCCTACGGACTCTACGCACAACGGGCGCCTCAACTGAGGGCCTCACAACAGTGGGATTCACAGCCTTCTTTGCTTTCTTCCTCCTCTTCATGGGGGTCCTGCGTTTCATCTACCATATCTGCTCGCTACGGACGAATATCGTCTTCGCCGATTTTTCTTTTGTCTGGTTTTGACTTTTACGTTGCTCGCGGGGGCTTATTGGCAGGATGATATTGCGATTGGGAAACAAGATGGTGCTGCTGCGGTCCTGGCGAGGGGGTTGGAGAAGACGGCTGGAGCTGTGGTGTTTGTTGCTTGTATGGCGGGGTGGTATGTTTTTTGGGGCGGTTATGTTGGATAGTTTGGATTTTCCTTTTTTTGTGCCGGTGTGGGTTTGAGTATGGTTATGAAGAGTGGGAGTGAGAGGTGGGAAGTGAAGGAGAATATGGTTTGAAGGGACAGAGGAGGTTGAAACTTGGATGGTGGGTTACTATGACACAAGTTGCTCATTGAGATAACCTCGTAGAAAATTTGGGAGTGGTTGAAAAGTACATTTTTTCATCTTGGAGTATTCTAGGTCTCTCTACAGTAATACCAGGGAATGACTGGAATGAAATCTTATTTGGCTTACCTACTGCTACAAATTTCTTCTCAGACTATCACTTCTCTTCCTCTTCCTCAAGAATAGAAGTTTCATTGTAACGCAATATTTTGCTTACCAACTCCTATCTCTTTGATGACTTGATAACCAAATTGGTCCGTTTGTAACAACACACGAGAAGACGAGTCAGAAGGATTACTCTGTTTTTGAGATGGAACCTCGAAAGAGTCCCTCCTACAGTGATAGAACCAAGTAACTATTCACTTATCTCTACAGCCCCAGGTCGACGCCCTAGTACTAGGGTATATTGTTGAAAGCAAAAATGTTGGTGTCAGCTTCATGCTATATAAATGAGGAAGAGCAGTCTGATATCCATTTTCCACGCTCAAGGACCAGTTCTGTATGTTCCCCGACATTTCGGGGGGTTGTTATATCAGGTGTGCTCTCAGCTCTGTCTACACTTGTCAGCCCAGCGAGCGTTACCATCCTCTTTCTGACGAAGTCAAAAGACCCTCAGCTTCAACGTTTAAGTGATACTGCTTTGTCCAAATCCGAATTTCGACCCCCCCACAGTACAAGGTCTACTGTCACGAGAATACTTACTGTCGTAAAAATACCTACCGTCGAAAATCTAAATTTCCTCACCACTAAGCCAGCATATTATAATAACCCCAATTTGTACATCACTCTACAGTCATATAATCTATACTTGAATGGATTGAATCCTACTAAACAATTCTGCTGTGATTTCTTGGTAGGCGAAATGCTTCTGCCCCAAGTATATTTTAGGATATTAGCATGCTATCATTACCAACTCGCCACGGTTTTATGACTCTTTGGCAGCCACGTGGCTGTCTAGAAACGGACCAAGAATTCCTACCCTTGTAATAAAGCTAGCGGTAGGCGAATCTAATAAACCCTCAAGACTTCAAAGTGAAGCTTTAAGTTCAGAGCTAATCATTGGAGAAACCGGTGAATTGATCCTATGCTCCGCAAGAATCTTCGACACGCTAAGCATGGAGATATATTCAGCAGTCATTGCAAAATCAGACCTCAGGCTTTTGTCTGTACGTAGCCCCAAGGATACAGTACCAAGAATATGGGTAGGATTAAAGAAAAGCCACGATGCTACACTCAAGACTTCTCCTCGCAAGATCCGTCTAGACACCGGAGAACTGCAAGTCCCTACAGATCTCTACACAACTCCAAACAAACCCCTGGTACCTCTTGAGAACAACAACATAAAACAACCAACTCAAAATGTCTTCATTATCCCGCATTCCTAGGGCACTTAATCTACATGTCCCAACTTCTGGCACAATGACCACCAGATAGCATGTGCAGGGCAACGACATGGTCTCTTACTATTGGGTTGAAAGGGTATTGGGTACTGAAGGTCATGGAGAATTGATTGCCTTGTAAAAGTTAGCTATCTAAGGTGTTTATATAAAGAGTGTAAGGTTTAGGCAGACATGAAGCATTTAGGCAGCAGAACTATAAGTGGATCAAATAAGGAAGTGGAGCAAAAGAGAAAGCAGACCCAGCACAACACTTACTTATCCTACATAGGAAGACATCAGCTCTATGAGAACCCCCAGAAGAAAGATCTACGATGATAAGATCGTGAAGAAGTGGGTTATCCGATGGTCTTACGTTACCTTCACTTCTCAACCTACTCCGCGTGCAATCTGTGCTCTGGGAGAAATTAGAATTTAGAAAGGAAGGCGTACCCATACAAGCACTCCACACGTTAAAAGGTTAGTTACTAAATGAATTGAATACCAATCCCTCGTTACAGAATTCCGTATCATGAGGACTTTAACTATCGAAATATCATCCCACTACGAGTACCAAAAGATCAACCCCCACCATCAGCAAAAACACAAACCTTAACCCAGTTCACAGTTCCTACAGTTTACCAATTCCAGTATAGACCAAAAGATAAACAGAGACGACAATCTCAGCTCCCTGTAAGAATAAGAAACCTAGTTATTACTCTATACAGTACAAGCCATCAAAAGTCATTATACCAAACATCTCGCACAAATAAATCAATTATCCATTTCACCTAGGTTAATAAGGCGTGAGTAAAGAATAACAACTATTCTCAACTATTCGTATCATTATTTGAGCCGTATAAGGTCTTTAGGGTAATATTTTAGTAACTCAGGCGTGTGCAGAGTAATGCCCGCCTCTCTTACACATAGTGATCATGAAAAAGTACTAAACCACCAAGCCACCAGTGACCAACCATTCAGAACACCCTCCTTTTACTTAACTCTTCGATCTCGCAAAATAGGGGCAATGGATTTTCCTACGGCAGAGCACTAAGGAACAGCGTGCGGCTCGTGTTTTTCAAGTGTGATGTTGGATGAGCCTTAAATCAGAGTCACTAGTCACAAATTACAGTATAAACATGATGCACCCTTACTTGCTCTCGGTAAACCATATTTAGGCGCTTAGCTCTATCCGCTTACCCAGCGTCGTCCAGTAACTTTTCAACTCGTACCTTGCAAAGTCTCAGAGAATCGGGGTTCGACTTTGTTGGAAATAGTGAATAGGTTATGATTCACTATATGTCTGTGTCAGTCACATGCCAACTTGCTAGCTCCGCTTAATGCGGACTAGCGTGGCATACTCCTAGTATAAATAGTCAGGGCCTCTTAGCACTTATTCAATTGAAGAGTTTTCCGCCCAGATTTCCTGACAACAGACTTTTATACCGAAACTATGTTTGCCTTAATAGTTTACTATTTCCTTTTTGACGAGGGATCTAGTTTTTGGTGGTTGGTGTTAAGCGACGGGGTTTTAAACGGATTGAGAAGGGTATTTCTTCCTTTCACTCATCTATCTATAACTTTTCCCCTATCCCCCCTCATCACGAACCTTCTCCTCCTCATCATCCAACCCCAACCCCTCAAGATCACTCTCCAACCCCAACACACCGAGGGCATAATGAGCCCTCCCCCCAGAACTCAAGATCGCCCTCTTCTCCTCGCCCGTGCGTCCCTCGAACGCACGATCAATTCTCCTCCCAATGTTCAAAAGCTCCGAGGAGCTGTCCCCGCGGGAGTGTTTTCTCACCACGTTGATCAGATCCTCACACGCGGTATGGGGTGCTCCCTTGCCCATTTCAGCAGCTTTGATCCAGGTCGTTTCGAGGCCGTTGGCAGTTGCGATGGCGGTTTGCCAGCCGGTGAGCCGGGCGACGTGGCGAAGGTGGTTGATGGTTGCGCGACGTTGGTGGGCATCTTGGTACTGTTGTTTGGTTAATTTCTGCTTTTCTTCCAATTGGTCTGGGAAGAGGGGGTGATGGAACAACAGGAAGAGGGAGGGACACATACCTGTACAGCAGCAATGAATATCCCCATAGTAGACTCCATCAACGCCGCAGCGACCCTCGGATTAATTTCTGGAGCAATGTCACAATCCGGAGCAATCCCCGACATAATCCTCCCAATCTCATTAGCATGATAGGCAGTCTGTCGCGCTGCAATGCCTTGAGCGATCATAGCAGCGGGTGGCATACTAGGATGAGCACGATGACAAACTATAACCCCCATATGAAAGCTCATCCATATTCCAGCAATCCCATAGGTCCTATACTGTAGCGCAGTACCAAAGGGACTTTGTATGGGCGTAGAGAACTCCGGTCCAAGGGCTTGCAAATCCTCCCCGAAATGGTCTTCGAGGATGGAAAACCCATTTCGGATTGCTTGCCACTCTTCCTCTGCTTCTGCAAGCTGTGCTGCGAGGTCTGATTCCCCGCCGCGGTGAGATTGAGGAGAGCCGGCGTCTGATACATGTCCTGGGAAGCCCATAGGAAGTTGCGGTTTAACTACTGGAAGCAAGCCGTCAAAACCTGGCATCTGAGGCGGTGCTTGCTGAGGAGGTGGCTGATTTGGAGCAGCATGACCTTGAAACTCGCCTCCATTGTGTTGCTGACTGGACGAATTTGGTGGTCTATACCCACCATTGGCTTTCATGGCCAGACGCTTTCTCTTGAGATCTTTGGCGGCAAAATCGACTAAGCGACCCATTAAGAGTATCACGTGATCGTAGGTACCATATCTGATACCCGACTTGTTAGCTTGTTTACCTGTACTGAAGATTTATTCTTACGTTTCGTTCAGACGACCAATAGGTGCTCTGGGTGGACAGTTGGCCCACAGTTCGTAATCCATACTAATCACAATTAGTCCATAGCGCTTAGAATCGAGGTGGTCAACTTACAACAAACGGCCTCCTCCAAGAATGCCTTGATACGCATCGGCTTTGCAGTACCACCAATAAAGATCTCTTTGGATCTCATATGCCTCAATATCCTTTTCCGAATACTGCCTTTCAGAGGCACCATGTGGTATGTCGTCTAGAATCTGTCCGTGTTGGTCGTAACAAACGTTTTTACCCACCAAAATGCCAACAAGGTTCTCATCAATATCTTCCATATAAGCTTGGTATCGCATTCTCTCTTCAAAAGCATTATTTCCAGTTTCATGTGGATGCGTCTGATAATATCTTATACGCTCATTTTGCCGTTGTCTTATTTTGGTTTGTTTAATATGCCTAGCCATGCCAGCGAAATCAATAAACCGTATTAGTTGCCGTGCACCCATAACATGGTTACTCCATTTCTGGTGATCTGCACACCAACACTCGTAGAATGCAAGTAATAGAGCAGCTGCCAGTGTAGCTGGCTCGCTCTGTTTTGGTGAACTGATCAGCTTTCCCACTCTTCGCAGCGAAATTGCATAATGCTTCAACGATGCTGTGACCAGTCCATTTTGAACCTGTGCAATGTGTAGACTAGCAACTGCAAGCATAGAATGTAGCAGTGCTGGGTTTCGAAGAGCCAACGCTGGAAATGTGTCTGCTTAATGTCAATGGTTGTTCTGTAAACGAGACAGGTGTGTTGGGCGAAAGCATTCAAGCATGGAAGGTGGCAAATACTTACAAGTCCACATATGCTGTTGTGATACCGGTACAGGTTGCCCTTGAAATATCAGTGCCGGACTGGCAGGATGTCTCTCAAACATTGAAATACACGGACCAGTTACATTAATAAAGTGGCAGAAAATCCGTGCTGTCATAGGGTCGTTTAATGGCGAGGCTTGAGGAGATGGAACATACGTAGCGAGCATGTTTGGGCAATTGATGAATGACGATACTGAGCGCAGATGGGTTTCTTGAAATGGTTGACCGTTCTTCATGGCCACGACAACCTGTATGCCAAGGTCATTGCTCTTCCTATGTTGGTCCGGCAAATTGTCCTGCCAAGCAACGTTGTCATCTTCCATGATAATATCATCATCAGAGACATCAAATGGGTCATCGTCGTCCTGGACCGAGTAGTCGAAGCTTGGTTTTGCCACCAAGTTTGTCCCCGATTGGATTTCTGACGGTCCAGAGCCCTTGAAATCTGCATTGAGATGCCCTTCTTGTTGTCTCGAAGGATCCACATCCCAAGAGTCATCGTTTACTTGTAGTGGTTGATATTCGGTTCTCGATCTTTGAAACTCCTGGTCGGATGGGAACGAGACTTGCACGGGGGGAACCCAGTCTGTCATTGCATGATATGGTTGGAATGTCGCTAAAGCTGAAGCTTTTCCACCAGGACTCGGAAACAGCTCTTGAGCCGCGAATACTGGCCTTCTATGCGACCCTTCATTCGAATTTATCTCCGCATGGTGGCTAGTTTCAGGAAAATATGGTTGCCTTTCCTCTCTGTTCTCCTGCTTGATGGAAGTATCGGTTTCATCAGGGCTCGGATAAGGGACATGGTATTCTTGAAATTGAATCTGAGCTGGTTCAGGGATATGGGAGTAATCGACAGTATCTGTTTTTGCGTCAAAGGACTGTGTATGCTGCTGTGTTTTGGGAAAGTTCTCCTGAGTCACACTTGTTTGAAACGAGTACAAGCCGCTATCAGACGGAATTGATGATACCCTTGATACAGGTGTGTTGACTGGTGCGGGTGATGTGCTTGAGGATTTGGGAGCTGTTGTAGAGCGAGTTGCAGCCGACTGGATTTGACTACCACGGCGATTTTTCGACTGACTTGAATGGCCAGGTACGCTTGATGCAGAACTAAAAGAGGCTGGAGGACCGAAGTTGTTGATAGGTGTTTTGAACACCACTCTTTGATTGTACCCTTCACATTGCCTCTTGGACTTGGTACAGTTGTGACACGTAGGTCGTTCTTCGCCACATTTTATACGACGCTTCCGACAGGCTGAGAAACTCTCAAGTTAGCATTCTGTCTTATTCAATTCTCCATAAGAGCACTATCTGGATCAAATGCTCACTTAGGCAACCTGTCTTGGTCCTCTTACGTCCTTGTCCTTTCGATCCCGGCTTCCTAGCAATAGGTTGTTCTCCGGAATCTACAGTGGCATCGTTTTCCACGTCTCCAGTTTCAGGAGAAGCCGAAGAGTTTTCCATACTGAATGGAGTAGAGTAATAATCAAACGAAATAGCCAAGATTGGCGTAAATGTGCTCCACGTGGTTTTTCTTGGTGCTTATCTCTCGACCGGTAGTATTGAACAGTTTAGTGTAAAGCGGGACGGATGTCTCTCAATCGTGCGATAGTGGCAGTTTGGCACCCGCGCTAAGAGATCGACGGCTGATGTTGTCTTAACTGCGGGGCAGCTGAAGGTGTATATAACAACAAGATCCAGAGAGGAGGCGATTGCTGTGAGCGAGTGCTACCAATAGGACGGTGGAGCCGGAGAAATTCAGGATCAATTGAGACTCGAAAAGTGTATTTGTGGACGGGTAAGGCCAAAAAAAGAGAAAGGTCTTTAGGGAGCCGAAGTGCAACCAGTGGATTTGGAGACACAGATCTAAATAGGTGCCGAATACACGTGTATTGTTCCCACGATGCGGGGGGCTTTGGTAGGTTGAACAAAACTGCACAGCGTGATGGTGTATTTGGTGCTCCAATGATAACTGTTGATCCTGTACGCGGTTTGAGGAGGTCGAAGAAGGCTAGTTCCTGAGTGAGATGATGCAAGTACGGGGATAAGGAGAATCGATATCGGGCAGACTGGAAGTCTACCAATGAATGATCGGATAGTTGCAGGTATCTCAGACAGACTTGGTCAGGCTGAAAGAACACTGGGTGCCCAAATCGAGGGAAGAATGGCAGACGTTGAGCGTCACCAAGGCGTTGACGATCATGGACAGCATGTGGCAGCCGACGGGGTGTAGAGATACGACCGTGTGGGCCAGCGGGTGTAAGAATGAGTGGCTAAGCTCAGGTTGATAGGGATTGGAGTGTGGAGAAGGCTTTGGGGGTTTGGTTAGTGTACCAATGGCATAGACATAGACCTAGAAGATGCACCATCAGCCTGGTGTTTCCCCTGCAGCGGCTTTACCGTCAGCCTCAAATTGAACGGGACATGTCTCCTTGGATCCGAAGAAAGGGAATCTCGTCCGATTTGATGACTAGAACATGGGCATAAGACATCTCATCCATGGATTGTGCTCATGTGGCGAGGAAACATCTGTACTACTTGATCGCGCACTCTCAACCTAGCAGAGCAAGAGATAGAATACGGACTTCAGAGATGAAGTAGTCAAAGTCTTCGAGCGCCAAATTGAGAAAAATACTGGGATTTCTCTGGACGCCTGCACTTTGGCCCAACCCATCACCTCCAATGTAGCCCTCCTCGAACAGAATGGTAGAAATCCACAACAAATACTTATGTTGTGGGCAATTACAAATCCAGACGGGGCAGCAGCCATGTAGATATCGTTGAAGACAGAGAAACTTGTCCATAGCACTGCAGAGGGTGTGAAGACGATTGGTCATTGGTATTGTACATCTCGAAACTTTCGCAGGTACTCAACCAACCCTTCCTCTCTTGCACCAACCAGAATTGAAGTTGAAGTAGTGTAGTCAGAGGCAAGCCAGTACCCCAACTGTTAGGGAGCATTGCAAGTCAAGCCCACATCGCCTGTGGACAAGTAACATAAAGGAGGAGTCAAAACATACGATGAGAGACAATAGTTCTTCTTGCAGAGAACACGACGCTTCCCAACTCGGTCACCAGATTGCAGGTGCAAGAGAGCCACGAGGGTGTTATCGTACTATCGATGGGAGTTGAAAGCGCCCACGGCTGAGAGCTAGTAATGATTCGTGGGGTGGGGAGGGGGTGCAACAATGCTGGTCTGAGGTCTCTAGCATAACATTTCCTGATCCAATGAATTGCTGGAAACAGCTTCGATACCGATGAGCTGGTACGGGACGGACGAGATGACGGCGTGGTACTCGTACAACCGCACCAAATCCCCAGTCAGTGTCAGTGGCGCCTTCCTTGGGATGCGGGTGAAGGTTGAAATCTATTTCGGTTGGACGTTGACCCTCGCACGATGTCCTCGATGTGTTTTCTTTCAGCTCCAGTGGTTGTCAAAGTCCGACCGGATGGACTGCATGAGACGGCATGCCGTGGTCCGAAGGAAACTTCTCTAGATCTTCAGCAAGTGAGCTTGAACGATATGATGGCGAGGTGTTTAAAGTTCAAATTCTTGCACAGGAGAGGCTCAGCACCCACCATCCGCATATTGTCCGTGCTGGTGGCAGTGGGTCGCCTATCAGGAGTATCGTCTGTTCGGCGACTACCAGTACTTCTACTACGAAGTCATCTACTTCTACTCCATCCTCCGTACCCCAACCTGTTTCCTGAACCCTTCACCCTTCACCATTCGAATCGATGGCGATGCCTTTGCGTAATTGCCATTGCCAGGCCTGGCCAGATGCAACCATGCTGTGGATGCTGATGCTGATGCTGATGCTGATGCTGATGCTGATGCTGATGCTGATGCTGGGGGAGGCACCAAGCACAGTCCATACAAAGTACTTTGGAGTCCTTGAACCACCGGGATTGCGAGCACGAGGGGGCTTTGCGAGCCGGAACTTTGTTGCCTCTTGGCTCACCACTTTGCTCCGGCAAAGAACACACGAGCATTGCCAATTGCAAGTTCTGGAGGCCAAGGCAGAAAAAACATGGGACGAGTACTCCGTTCTTGTCCATGCACGGTACGAAGTACTTAGTACTTCGAGATGGTCGGCACAGGTTCCACTGGCTCTGTGCTGCCCCATGGGATGGAAACATCTCCGTGCATCCATCCCGCTGTCACTAGAAGTACTTCTACTTCCATCTTGTTTACTTTTACGAAGTATGATTCTACTTCTAGAATGGCTGGACCACCACCATTTACCGAACCAATCTATGGCTCCGTATTTCGTAAATGTACTGTCGGCTGCTCCCCTGCTTCTCCAAGGTGACATGTCACATCCCGCATTGTGATGATGATTGGTGCGGCGCGGACCTTACTTTTCCCTGAAAGGCTGCCATCAGATAAAGTTTCGGTTTATTTTTGGTCTGATGTTGTACGAAGTACGGACGGCGTACACACCACACCACCCCCCCTACACCCCAGCATTTCCTCTCAAGACGATTTACCACGGTAGACCTAGACCGAGGAGAATTCTCCGCCCCTGAAAGCCTCAGCGTTACACTGCAGTGGTGTTGATGTGTGTTGGGCTGCATATGGGAATCTGTCAAGCTTGAGCACCCATGAGAGTCCCGTCTGGCCCCATGTCATCCCATCCCATCCCCTTCAACCGCTACCTGGTATCCAAAATGCTTCAAGTCGTGCAGTGGCAGCAGTGAGGTGCAGTGAGGTGCAGTGCAGCACTTCAACACTTGGACCAGCAGTCGTCGTATGTGCTCCATACCGCTACCTGTAGAGGATCCATCCATTGCCAAATTTGCAATATGCATTCCCAGAACGATAGCGTATCCGCTTCCGCTTCCTTTGCTTTGGTCGATGGTTTGGTCAGCGGCAGATGTGATCATATGGAGAATCGTGGATCGACAGGGTCATATTCAGTCTGTGCCCCTCCCAACCCGCATGCTCCCCCAAGCCCCAAGGGTCGTGGTGGTGCAGTGCATTATTGGGGTGGTGTTCGTCCCCTTTTTGCCGCTGCTGCTTGGTTGCGTGGGAGAAGCGACGTCGAGCTGAGGTCCCGATTCCTCGGACCAAACATCGTCCAGATCAAGCCCACCTCTCATGACCTTGCTGGAGTTTTTGAGCCTCCTTCATGCCTTCTCACTTCTGATACGCCTGTGTGGCAATAACATTTTCTGCAACCAGGGACCTTCAGCCACCAACTCCCATCGTGTACTCGCCATGCACGAACTAATCGGGCTGACCGATGACCTAGACTCGACATATATCCGTCCTACATTCCAACACGCGACCAGGAAGCCAAAGATTCCCACAATCTGCTGCCGTAAGCAAAATGCAGCAAAAAAATATGATTTCCAGCCATCAACAGCTTCTCTTGAGGTCTATCCATGTTGAAACTGGAGGTAGTGGCTTGCTTGCCTTACCGATATACTATCGGTTGAAGATCTTCAAAGCAGATTTGCCTCATCCCCCAGCAGAACAAGCACTTGACTTGTAATGATGCTGCACCCCCTTCGGAATCCAAGATATCAAAGCAACCATCAAGGTTGCCCAATGGCACCCATACTTCTCGCCATTCGTCATGCCCAGTAATCAGAGCTTCCCTTTTAGGACAATGTTTCCCCCCAATCCGCGAAATGCAAAGCGCCCTGTTTCTCCGTCCCGTTCTTGCTGATGAAATATAGATCATAATCAATAAGGCTATGAGTTCTGTGGCTTTGTTTGGTTAGTAATTCCGAATTTCGCCGATAGTCCACAATGGAAAGTTGGCTGCTGTTCTAGATTCGCAATGGATGCGGAAGATTTTCCTCCACTCACAGAATACCTCCGAGACCTTCTCGGAACTCGGCAGACCTGCTGTTTACTTTCCACGTTACACAAACTTCTCACGTGCTTCACTCGCTTCATACCCCCCTGTACTCGAACCTCAATATGGATATCTCTCCAGGGACATACTAATATCTTCCTCCGCTCTTTCAATCAATGCACTTGCACATCCATCTCGCCCCTTAAAAAGGGAAGTTCTATCCCGAAGTCCCATCCCAAAGTCCCCAGGTGGAATTCTTATGTACCCCACAAATCCATCATGCACTGCAAGTGAGATCAGATCATGCCCTGCCTTCCTTTTGCCCTTCCAGAAACGTAGTTCAACGTTTCCCCCCAAACTGCCCAATCCGTCTGGTTCTGGGTATGGTCATATTGATCACCACACTTTTACATCATCCCGCATTTCACAGGATACACAGCATATCGCAGAAAGCATCCTTCTTAGGAAATCGATGTTTTGAAATGTGGTAAACGCGGTAATCGTGGAGAAAAGAAAAAAAGAAATAACCACGAGTTACACAACGACGAAATTTTCTGATCGAGGGGATAGGGAAGTTGACTTCCTTGCTTGCAATTGCAAAACATCAGATGGAAAACGACTGCAATCTCTGATTTGCTTGATTTGAGGTCCGGTACTGTATCGTGGGATTGCATGTTGTTCATACCCTGCTTCCCAGCCTCGTGTTGGGTTTGAAATTTGCCAAAGCATTCCGTGATGATGTGGGATTTGAGACCCGTGCTTGGGATTTGGTGGATGGATGGATGTAGTTATCTCCATAGAGTATCATATGGGGTGAGGGGTTTTTTGTTGAGGGATGATGATGGCATTTCTGCCTTGTAGCCTCGTGTTGGATTTGATTACTGGGAATTGTTTGCGATGGCAATGACGAAGCATCGTGTGAATTGAAGTCGCATGCGGAATGGAGACAGACTTCCTCGTATCTCGCAAGACCCTTACTAACGTCTTTCAAGAGGTGTGATGTCGACGTTGCCTTGCAGCCTCGTGTTTGGTTTGAGTACTGGCAACATACTGTATGACTGTCTCATCATGATTCATGTGGAATGAAGCCACTTGTTGAATGGATGATGACTTCCTCACATACTGATCTTAGCAGAGATAGACACTCATAGAGTATTACGTATACTTGAAGTCTGTTCCCAACTAAGGAAAGGTACACAAGTTACACAACGAACTCCACGATTAGAACATTGCTGAAAAACAGGAACTTCGAACAGATTACAGCAATCCGACAGGCAACCAATATATATAGCAAACCGCTCCAATTCAATACGTATAATGCAGCCATTATTTAGACATGATTTCACATTCATCAATTATCTAACTTGATACTCACATGAGAAACTTTTCACATCCTACCTGCCTATAGTATAAACCAAAAATCCAAAAAATCCAAAAAAACTAAGATATAAGAATCCAGCAGGAAGAAACCACCCCAATTTCAGAGAAGAACCAGAACTTTTTAGCAGTGCATATTACAATGTATCTAGAAGAGAGAAAAAATATAAACCGGCCAATTGAACTATTGCCAAACAGGGCCACGTAAGGGCCTATGTAAAATGAACGATAACCAGAAAAAACATATATAGCAACGCCGCGACGGATGAAAAGAATTGAATATAGATATATCGAGACTTCGAGTAAAAAGGACATTCTCTAATAGAAATGAACCAGAGATTTCTGAGAAGGGAATATATCTAGGATAGCATGGGTTTCTGGTACTTTTATGTGGAGGTTATGATGGAGGATGCAAAAGGAGAAGGAGAAGATGATGTGAGGTAAACTGCTAGAAAGTGGCGCTGGCCACTTTGTTATGCTTCATGAGAAATGCTCGACTAGAGCGACATGTGAATAATTCGGACATCGGAATCAAAGGCCAGGAGATCTCAAAATCTACAGGAAAAGATACGTCAAAAAAGTATTCAGGAAATCGTGTATGAGACCGCCGAGTATGAAATGCAAAAAAGAACAAATGAGCTTGATCCTTAACTCCAAAGACGCTTTGCTCGACATGTTCTATCATTGTGTTTTCTCATTTTGTCTCATATCGTATCATCTACCCCTCCATCAGTTCGCGGGTAATCTCTCAACAACTGCTGCCATTTCCTCATCCGTATAGATTCTGAACCCCTTTTCCTTGGTTACGCTTGCTAGTTGGACGTTCTTGGAATCAAGCTTCTCCTCCATCACTTGCTTCAGCGTCTTCAAGACCAGGGTCTCGGCTTCTAAGATTGTCAAAGACTATAGTTACATTAGAAATTTGGCCGAAACATAAGTTAACAGAGGTACACAGAAGGACATTCATACCTTGTGAAATTCGTTTTGCAACTCAGCCTGAGCGCCTTCCGAACCCGATCCAATAGCCTTTGCATCATATCTGTAAAAGGTTCCACTGGGCTCTGCGTGGTATAATTGTGGTCCGTCCTCATCATAGCCTGCAATCAAAAGAGCCACACCAAATGGTCTGCTCATAATGCTCTCCTCACCATCCGCACCCTCTCCAAACCGCAATGCCAAATCGCAGATCGCCTGTGTACAGCTCTCCACTCTGAGTGGCTCGTTGAAGTGAAATGCGTGGTTTTGTGATTCGACTCGGGCGTGTTCAACCATTGAACGGGCATCTGCTTGAAGTCCGGACATGGCGCATCCGATGTGACGGTCTATCTCGACAATCTTTTCGACGGAGGAGGTTTCCAAAAGAGTTGAGGTGACACGCTTCTCTACACCCAAAACTACACCCCCACCAGTTGCAACGCCGATTGCAGTTGATCCAAGCTTGATTGCCTCGAGGGAGTATTCGACTTGGAAAAGACGTCCTTCCGGGGAGAAGGTGCTGTACGGTTATTAGAGCGTTGTTTTGGGAGGGAAATAAACGGTTTATGTGTGTACGTACTTGATACCCCGATCTGAGAGGTTGTTAGTTATGATCTTCAATGTTTGGAAAGCTCTTAGTACTTACCATATTCTGACCTAGCAATAAACATCTTGAAATTGCGGGGGTTGGAGGAGGATTGGTGAAGGAAATTTAGAAGAGAGATTTATTCAAAGATGGCTGGAGGTACAACGCAGCTACTGAATATCGTAGGATGGTTATGAAGCGTGTGTGTTGATAGAACAGCTTGAATATCTGATCTGGGTGTCGTTGGATGGACCAGGCAAGCAGAGCAACGCGGAAGCTCCAGCTACGCCGCTAACTTGTATTTGGCTAGACCCATTTTGTGAAGCGGCAGACGAGGCTGAAGTGTGGCCCGGCGGCACTCGGGATGGCTTTCGGCGCGAAGCCGCTTTAATTCCGGTACGGGGCGCGACTGCAGCCGATGGTACCCAACCAAAAGTCGCGTCTCCGGGTTTATTTACTGGATGCGCCTGTTTCAATACAACAAAGTTCCGTATTTTACGACCAGGACTTCGCCAAAGTTCCGGCATGTAATTGCCATGTATACCTCGGGCAACAGTCGAGGCCCCTCACGATCAGAACGGAGAAATGGTACCGACAATGGTTCAGGCCAACCCCGCGATTCGCAGGGCAGTAGCAGCAGAAACGAGAAACCAGATCCTCGACGACAGCCATCACCCCCACCAGGAGCTTCCCATCGAAGGCATCAATCAGGCCCGCAGCGAGCGAATAGAGAGGTAGATGAACGGAGAAGGGAGAAGGTTCAGATTACGACCAGAGAAACGGTGACGAGGAAACGAAGCCCAGAAAGAGAAAGAAGACCTGCTACAGCACAAGCTACGGAGAGGCAACGACCACCGCCGGATTTGGTCAGGACACACTCTGGAGATTCAAGACCGTCTAATAAAGCGGAGGTACCTCAAAGTAGAAGCTCTTCCGGGAATTGCGAATGTTCAAAAAACTAATACTCGAGTAGCAGCACCATGGCGACCATCAGTTTCTTTAGTGTCCCACACCTCAGCACCCTTAGCTTCACGAATCACGATTCCACCGCTCGCCTCACTAGCACCAATTGGACTGCAGCCAAAACCATTAGATGAGCTCTCCTTAGAGCTACAAGAAGCAGCCATTCTCGATGATCTTCTTATGGTGTTTATGGGATATGAAGGCCAGTATATTCGGTTTGAGAAGAAATACAATCCCAACGAGGAGAAGGATCGACTTGCGGGACCAAATTTCAAAATTCTACCAGGGCTGGATCTGAGTTTACAGGACCTGACGATGAAGATGTTGAAAATGGCAACCCATTATGGCGCTATTCAAGCGTTTGTCGAAGTTCAGAGTCGAGAAGAGTTTGGTGCCGTGAATCATGCACTTTGCGCTGCAATACGAAAGCTGATTCATGACTACCAAGTCTTGATTGCCCAATTGGAAACACAGTTTCTTACGAGTTCTAACTTCACTCTGCACGTTCTTAATCTACACACTCTTCCTACCAGCCATATGCTTTCCCAGATATTTTCATTGGCAAGGGAGATTTTAAGACGAAACTCTTTATTGGAAGAAGACCTGGAAGATTCCGACGATGGTCTGGATGATATAGAAAACATATTGGAAAGTCTTCGGGAAGGCGGTGATTTAGGCACAAACAACATACCTGGAAAGAAAATTTGTAAGGGTGGCAGTGTTCTCGGTCTTATCACCAACCGATTAGAGTCATTGTCGGGAGATCCAGCTGCGCGATCACTTCTCACATCGCTGTTACGAGATGCGAGTCGACCTTATATGATAATGTTGAACGAGTGGCTCCATCACGGGAGTATCAAAGATCCACATGCTGAATTTCTGGTCAAGGAGCAGAAGAGCATAAAAAGAGAGAGACTTGAGGAAGATTACACAGACGAATATTGGGAGCGTCGTTACACCATGCGCGATAACGATGTACCTCCACAATTGCAAGGTGTCAAGGACAAAGTTCTCTTGGCTGGCAAATACTTGAACGTCGTTCGAGAGTGTGGTGGTGTCGATGTTAGCAAGGCAGTTACAGATGTCCCACAATCTTTTGATGATAAACGGTTTCTGGACAATGTCAACAACGCTTACGCCCATGCGAATCAGTCTCTTCTGAAGCTTCTACTTACCACGCACGCCTTACCAGCACGACTGAGATCCCTCAAGCATTATTTCTTTCTTGATAGGTCTGATTTCTTCTCCTATTTCTTGGAGCTTGGTACTTCGGAGCTTTCTAAACCGGTCAAGAAGGTCAACACTAGCAAATTACAGTCCCTGTTAGATTTGGTATTGCGGCAACCTGGTAGTGTGGCTGCACAGGATCCATTCAAGGAAGATATTAAAGTGGAGATGAATGGAATCAGCTTGACAAATTCATTGACCCGTGTAGTCAATATTTCCGGAATTGAACAAGGCGAGTCGCTTCAGACGCCTGCTACTTCATCGATTAGCAGTGAGCCCGATGCTTCTGCGTCCGGCTTTACATCTTTGCAATTGGATTACTCGGTTCCTTTCCCTGTATCACTTGTGATCAGTCGAAAAACTGTTTGGAGATACCAAGTCTTGTTTCGATATCTTCTTTCTCTGCGCTACTTGGAACAACAATTAGCCTCCTGCTGGCAGGCGAACAACCGAGTTAAGAATTGGTCGCGAAGGAGCACTGATTCCGGGCTTGAGATTTGTAAACGCAGAGTGTTCACTTTGCGTGCTCGCATGTTGGTGTTTGTACAACAGCTGTTATACTTTTGTACCGCAGAAGTTATTGAACCCAATTGGCAGGCGTTAATGGCAAAGCTAAATGGTAAAGAGGATAGCAAGGGTGGGACTTCGTATATCCGAACCGTTGATGAGCTCATGCAAGATCATGTTGATTTTCTCGATACGTGCCTGAAAGAATGCATGTTGACAAATAAGACGCTATTGAAGGTTGGTTTTCATTTCTGCCAATCCAAGGAGTTTCTGCTTACAGTGAATACTAGGTACACTCCAAACTCATGCAAACCTGCACATACTTCACCACTTATATCAATCATCTCTCCCGAGAGTTGGAAAAAATCGACCCGGATTTGGGCGATGCTGGTGATGCAACGCTACAAGAGAAGCGAGAGGAGAAATTCCAGCGGTTGCGTGACAACTTGGTCAAATATGAGGATAACTTTAGCAAGCATCTCCAGATCCTACTGGATGCTCTGAATCATTATGCGGCGACGGAGACGGTGGTGCTGCTTGGACTTTGTGCAAGATTGAGCACAGCCAACCAGGGCACTAAGCATAGCGGGCTTCGGGTAGATGAGGAGATTGGAGTTCGGGATTGAATGGGAGGAAATTCGATGGTTTTTAGGAAGCGTGTTTATGATATCCATGATGCCTGCTTTTCTGACTTGAATTGGTATATATTACGGAGTGTGTGATGAGATATGATGAGATAGGATGGTTGTCTAACAGGCTCATCAATCCATACTGGCCTAGGCCTTGACTCCAGCTCGCTAGCAGTTATAGTCACGTGATATGACAGAAGTCAAGTCTGTGCGGGCGGGGCATTACCTGGGTACTCGTGATGATTAATGAAAGATGGAGGGGTGTGAGGGGCGGCATCGGAGAGGGGGTTGGAGGGGTACCCAGCAAGTAGTAAGGGGTGCACATTGAGTGATGCCAAAAAACAATACCATCACACCTCCAACTTGGCGATTTGGAATGTGTAACTCATCGTCGTTGATATCAGAGAATTCTCCCTTGAAATGGAGATACTGTATATTACAGCGTGTATTATTATATGATTCTATGAACTAGTGAAAGTCGTGACGAGCTACGTCTCACAGTTGGCCCGTCCACTCAACACACCGCGCACCTCCAACCGTCGTGCGACCTGACCTGACAGCGAATTCGCTGTACCCGGACGGGAATACACAGTCACCCCTCCGTACCCATTTGCGCACCACTCAGATTGGCTCTGGCGCTCTGGCGCTCTGGCGCCCTGCAAGCTGCAACGCCGCACCTCTCAATACCACCACCTCCTGCACCTACCACCTACCACCACTAGACTCCCTACACCTCTACTTACAACTCCAACTCTCTGGAATCGAACAACATCACCTCCAATCACATCTCATCCTCCCGTCTTTCGTATGCAGCGTGAAGCAGCGGATCGTTGGGCCCGTAAAAGATACTTCGGCTAGCTCTTGCTGCCGTTAGTTTACATCAATTGATTTTTTTCTTCGATTAGGCAAGTCTGACTTTCTCCCGACCATCTTGCAGCCAGCACAGCATACCGAGCCTGGAGAAGCGGTGAATCAGACTGCGAGCTGGATCCGAGATTGATATTTGTATCTCCGATCTTGGACAACGAATCCATCCTATGCGTTGTGGCAAGGCGGAATACATAAACAAAGCTTGCTAACAAATGTCACCTTTCATCAGATTCGCCTTTCCACCTTCTCCCGCGTCCTAGGCAGATTCCCCATCAACCACCACCATGCACGTCTCTGCGATGCTGGCTGAGGCCAAGAACTCTGGCCAGCCCAAATACTCCTTCGAATTCTTCCCTCCGAAAACCGCTCAAGGTGTCCAGAATCTCTATGATCGCATGGACCGTATGCATGGGCTCGGTCCCAGCTTCATCGACATTACTTGGGGGGCAGGAGGACGTCTGGCCGAACTCACCGTTGAGATGGTCAGCGTGGCTCAAGCACAATATGGTTTGGAGACTTGTATGCACTTGACATGCACCGACATGGGACAGGACAAAGTCGATGAGGCGCTCAAAAGTGCTTACAAGGCAGGCTGTACCAATATCCTCGCCCTCCGCGGTGATCCACCCCGAGAAAAGGAGAAGTGGGAGGCAGCCGAAGGAGGATTTCGATACGCAAAGGATTTGGTCCAACACATTCGACAAAGATATGGAAACCATTTTGACATCGGCGTTGCTGGGTACCCGGAGGGTTGCGATGACCAGGATGACCCTGAGCTTCTTTTGGATCATTTGAAGGAAAAGGTTGACGCTGGGGCTACTTTTATCGTGACACAAATGTTCTACGATGTCGATAATTTCCTTGCCTGGGTTGGAAAAGTTCGTGCCAGAGGTGTCAGCATCCCAATTATTCCCGGGATTATGCCAATCAACACATACGCCAGCTTCGTGCGCAGATGTAATCACATGAACGCCGCCATTCCACCTAAATGGAGTCAGGTACTGGAAGCTGTTAAGAATGACGATTCAGCAGTTCGAAGCATTGGAACTGGGTTGGTAGCCGAAATGTGCCGCAAAATTCTCGACTCAGGCCTAATTCACCACCTCCATTTTTACACAATGAACCTACAGCAGGCTACTCGCATGGTCTTGGATGAATTGAAACTGACGCCCTCCCACGAGCGACCTCTCACGCCAGCTCTTCCTTGGAGACAATCTTTGGGTCTTGGACGCAGAGAGGAGGATGTTCGACCCATCTTTTGGAAGAACCGAAACAAGTCATACGTTGCTCGAACTCAAGATTGGGATGAGTTTCCTAACGGTAGATGGGGTGATTCAAGATCTCCTGCTTTCGGTGAGTTGGATGCCTACGGTATCGGTTTGAAGGGCACCAATGAACAAAACCGAAAGCTCTGGGGTGACCCAGCTTCGGTGTCAGACATTGCCAATCTCTTTATGAGATACCTCGATCAGGGCATTGAAAGTCTACCTTGGAGTGAAGCGCCTATCTCTAGTGAAGCAGATGCCATCAAGACCGATTTGATTGCTCTGAACAAACGCGGTCTTTTGACTATCAATTCTCAGCCAGCTGTCTGCGGTGTCAAATCGTCTCATCCAATTTACGGTTGGGGGCCAACAAATGGTTATGTCTACCAAAAGGCTTACCTAGAACTTTTGGTTGCCCCTACATTGATCGATGAGCTTCTGCGAAGAGTTGAATTGGATCCCGATTTGACATATTACGCAGTCACCAAGGCCGGTAACTTGAAAACCAATTCGCCTGGTGAAGGTCCTAATGCAGTCACTTGGGGTGTATTCCCAGGGAAGGAGATTGTTCAGCCTACCATTGTGGAAACCATCAGTTTCTTGGCCTGGAAGGACGAGGCTTTCCGTTTGGGAATGGATTGGGCTCATTGCTACTCTGCCTTGAGTCCTAGTCGACAACTGATTGAGAATATGATGGAGACATGGTATTTGGTCAACATTGGTATGCTTCGTTCTTTTCCTTATATGATTTATCTAACCTTGCTTTAGTCCACAATGATTTCCATCAAACTCATGGTCTATTCCCCCTCTTTGATGGTCTCGCAGTTGAAAATCTCGAGAAGCCATTTGAGGTACACACCAACGGGGTCGAAACCAATGGTGTGAAAACCAATGGCACGACCAAGGCTTAAACGCCCTCCTTCTACCAAATATCTTCAACGATTTAATGATTCAACATGCAGGTGGATGACGATACGAACCCCAATTTTTTTCTATTAGGTTAGGTTAAGGGGGATTGGGGCCGGCTGGCATTTGTTTATCACAATCTGCATATAGCGACGGTGTTTTTACGGCCGGGGCAAACTTCAACAAGTTTGGCGTTTTTTTTGTTACACAGGCTGGATTTTTGATCTCAACGATCTGTTTTCGGTCTAGGGCATGGGGAGATAAAAAGCGCGTTCTATTTTTATTATTTTATTTTTCCTTTGATTGAACAATCACCCCTTTTTATGTAAATTTGAAATTACTTCTTTTTCCTTGTTTGTTTTGCCATGGTACGTACTCTCGGTCAGGGCATTTGGGTTGTGCGTGCGGATACATTACTACATTACTACTGGGTTTGGGGCCTTCAACGGCGCTAACATTGATGGCATAAGATGGTCGCTGGGCATTTGAGGCGTATTCTTTTATACGTTGGGTGATGGATGCTGTTCAACATTTGGGAGTGGTATTTGGTGGTATTTGGGGATGAGTGAATAGAAGAATTACCTTTTTTTTTGTGCTTGTAGGTGAATGTGGGTTTTGATTTTCGTGATGGGTGAATGCGATGCTTGCGGTGGTGGATATGATGGTGGTTTTTTGAGACTTTTGAAGATTTTGAAAATTTCCAATTTTGTTTTCGGACAGTTTTAATAGGGCTCTCTTATGAGTTTAAAAAGTAAAATATATGTCCTTTGGAATATTCCATTCCAGATTCAAGAGCCTTTAGAATATTCCACCTTGGAATTGGAATCTTGGAATCCTTGGAATCGTATTCCAAAGGAAAAGATGGAAGGTTTTTGGGAAATGGGGGTTACGTATGTATTCTGTACAAGGTGTTGTATTGTAAGATTTACATGATTTGTTCTGGCAAATGCTGCTTTTGTTGCTGGTTAAGTACACCTTTCTGGTTTATTTGAATATTAGTGAATGTGCTGAAGGTTTGGCTATAATTAGAATATTCGCTTAGTTGCTGAGAAGTGGATAGGATGGTGGTATTGTTGCGATGATAGGAAAGTAATTATATCCCGGGCATTTTTAAATATAGTAATGAAATCTAGTTTAGTTATACTTCTTTTATTGATTTGCCATACTCAGGTAATTCGCGATTTAAGGACATGTGTACCTCGTCCCGTACTTGAGATGGATAATTATAACCTGGCATGGAATGTAACGTTCGGTATCCCCTGTAAAAGCACGAAAAGCGGTGGTACACTTACACTAACTTCGGAGTTAGTACGGTACTAACTTTCTAAATAAACATATTTCTAATAATAAATAAAAGTCGGTGTAACACTAACTTTCTAAAATCAACGTACTTTTTAAAAAATTAATCTTACTATAATTTTAATTTTAGTATTCTAAAATATTAAGAATAATAAACTGTATCCCTTTACTAAGTCTAAGTACTATAATTGTCACGGATGCCAACAAAGGATAAAGTGTATACAGCTTTTGAATCAATTGCTAGAACTAAAACCGTAGGTACGAAGAAATCAAACTAAAGAGAGAAGAGAATCTGAAAGGAGCGAAGTTATTTAAGTTGTTCCAATGCCAAGTCTCGTCACGTGCTTGGCCAAGCGAATGAAATCCTGTCAAATGAAATCCAGCTCCGTCACATATAATATAATAGACAGTAATCTATAAAGACTAGAGATTAACTAGGTACTAGGTAAAAGGTTTAGAAAGGATAAAGGCTAAGTACTTACTATAGTTCTTTATATAAAAAAGAACTAAAATAATAAAGATAAAGCTTAATATACCTATTTGTAACGAATACTCAAACTGGCTAACTAAACTTGGCTGGGTGTTCGCTGGTTGGTATGCTATGATAAGAAGAAGACTATCGGGTTGTTCACTTGGAAGTGAACTCGTTACTTGTATCAAAGATGTCAAACTAATATGATAAGATTGATAACTAAGTTGAGCACGAAGCTCCTATCTAATGGCAGACGTGCCAGTCTTATATAGAACCTTCGTGTTCCTGAAGTCGACATAGTCGATAATCGACTTCTCGACCTGGTCGACCATGTCGCTCGTCACGTGATCCATAGTCCAAGGAAATCCTTGGATCGCTTAGCTAACCTAAACGATCCCCATTTGCTATAAGTCTATGGATGGTGCTTGACCTGTCAGGACGCCGCCTGGTCTTCACTAGTCACGTGTGCACGTGATTCGTGACAGTGTCGCACCTACTCTAGATTAGTACTACACCTACTCTAGATCGGCGCCGTACCTACCCTAATTGCTATAGGACAAAATCGGTGCTATACCTACCGGGTGTTTCACAGGGATCTGGAATACGATTTTATTCCGAAGTGGAATGTTCTAGAGGCTCTCTACTTTGGATATGGATATTCTAGTGGATGGGGCGCTGGGATTTGGAGTTCTGGAGTATGTTTATATATATATTGCTTTTTAATTTATAAGAGAGCTTTAGTTAAAGTGAGGGGAAATTAAACAGTAACTCTTCGTCCCCTAGCGAGGTATTCTCGTATTTAGCGAGCCCTAAATTCATTCGCGTCTCTTTTTATATAGAGAGTTAGAATAATTTTACGGTCGGAGTTTTTATGGTAAACGTGGTACCATATATAATATATATGAAAGATATTACTGAGTTTATAGAAGTTTCTCTTAACTTATGTAGAAATTATATAGTACTCGATGGGATAATTTAATGGCATTGGCTGAAACCACGTTACGCGCCATAGAAATATTTCATGCGGGACCGAGATAAAGTGAATTGCCCCTAAATCGGTCAGTTATTCAATATATCGACCAGTCACATACTACCAGTCTGAGGATCACGCTTAATGAGTGCTAGCGTGGTCTACTAGGTAAAATAATCTCCTAATTTCAATCTCAATAGCAAGGATTGTCCCCAACTTCCGATTAGTCGAACGGACGGACCAGATTAACGATGGCTGGTTATGTAATAAATCCCATTCTGGAATTGCAAATTCTATAGTCGAGTTATAGAATGTGCCACAGAGGGGGTCTGGAATGGAAAGGAATTCAGAATTCCAGATGCCGAATGTTGCCTGGGTTATAATTCAATACTACCAGTACTCCCTGACTTTTCTTCAAAAGTAATGATTATTACCGCTTGGATGGAGCAACTTATACTTTTATAATAAGCACACCCCTTATCGTCCATCACATTGGACTCTTTCCGATAAAGTAAAGAGTGAGCTCGGATTGAACCCCCGGCCTGTCACTATTGCGGCTTGAGCCCAATTCCTACCCAAGCCAGCGGATCGAACACTCGGACCTGCGCATTATAGAATTTTATCACATAAGATCCACGGGAGAGTGTCCAGATTTAAGCATCCAATGTCCATCCTCTTTATACTTGTGGTCACTTCAAATTTTTAATCCGGGCTTTCTTCTCTATTCGGCTGCTGTGCCACATTTTTTCACGTATAATTTTTGCACAGCCTATCGGAAGTATCGCCTTCAATCGGGTTCCTGGGAAAGCCGTTAATCTTGGCGAGTAATATGATCGCTGCCAATTGACGAACTGGAGGACTGGAATTGCACGGGATGAGGCCTTTCCCTTCCGCAATGCCGCACTCTTGTTTCTCGGGATTGTCAAAGAGCTACCCACTCCGCCCAGAGGTCGATTCAGGTGAACATTCATTGATCATCTACAAAGCCCAGTATACTATGGTAAATCGTCCTTAAGGCTAATGCTAGGAGTAACGGTGAAGTATGGGATAGTCTCTCGATGTGTATACTAGAAAATCCTAATTGCTTGAATTTCTTTTTCTCAGGTGCGAAAGATTGTGATGAGCGGTCACTCCTTGTGGTCAGACCTTTCTCTCTAGAGACATATACTTCGTTGAAAGTGGCGCAAACAACTATGAGGAGTGGTCTTGACTTCTGCCACTCTTAGTGCACTCCACTCTCAGCCCAGCATCGGCCTTAAGAGACGATTTACATTGATCTGTGTATGTTTTAGAAGTCATTTTGCTAGAAATCCAGAAAACAAACCAGTTCTTTGCTTCTACGATAACAAGGCCAGAAATTAATGCAATTTTCGATAACCCAAATCATTCCCACAGTTCATTTTATTTTTGTGACTATTCCTCTAACCGCAGTATTTCCAGTATGTGTCCGTACAGAGAGCAATGTATTGAGGCAATAAGCAAGACACCTACAAGTTTTTCGGCTAAGCTTTTTGATCCCTGCGCTACAGCCTTACAGTATCATGAGCCAGAACCAACAATCACATTTCTCTACTCAAAAGTACGGAAAGTCACTGGCGTTTGTTTGACTTCATCGTGCTTCCCATCGATCCAGTCCCGAGTTTCTCTCTGAAACACACACAATGTGGAGGCAGTGCAACCCAAGTCGGACATACTGCGGGGTAAGATACAGCAGCCTAACGCCGCGCTCACTAAAAACTCAGACAAGATGAACTCAAAATACGACATATCAAGTGGCCAGAACCCTTAATAAGGACGACATACTTCAAAAATACTTCCTGACATCACCCTTTCACGGCACCAAAACGAACCATGGATTCCTACCCTCAACACCAGTTCACCACCAAGAGGTCTTTTACATATAACTACTATATTACCCCACCACAGCCTGGGAAAGAATGGATTCTGTTCCTCCATGGCTTCCCTTCTGCTCCTTTCCATTTCCGACATCAGATCAAGTATCTCTCAGAGAAAAGGTATGGAATTCTAGCGCCTGATTTATTGGGTTATGGGGAATCTTCTCAACCGGCAGATGTCAAGGCGTATACGGGGACAGGAATGACAGAAGATCTCATAGAGATTTTGGATCACGAGAAAATTGAGCATGTTCTTGGTGTTGGTCATGATTGGTATGTATCCCATATATCAATTTCGGTCTGTAGTTTATTTCCAAGAGAAGATGATGTTAATAAAAATCAGGGGATCATTCCTTCTATCCCGACTAGCAAATTACTACCCCTCCCGAATCAAGAAATGCGTGTTTTTAGATGTGGGCTACTTACCGCCTGGCCATGCTATGACCAAAGAGGCTGCCACAATTATTAATACTATGATGAAGAAACAAATTGGGTATTGCTGTTTTGGTTATCCCTTGTTTTTTGACGAGGATGGTGCTGATAAGGTGATGGATGACAATGTATGTATTTTAATATTTTGGAGAACAGGATCTCAAGCTGACCTGCTTGATAGATTGACAGCGTGATACCACTATTTTTTACTCAGGATGAGGAGATAGTAAAGGAGTATATGGGCGAAGAGGGAGGCACTAGAAAATGGCTGGAAGGAAAGATGACAACTGAGTTACCATCGTTTTTTACCCCGGAGGTAAGACAATTCTGATACCAATGTACCAATGTGATGTTCGCTAAAAGATATATCAGGACCAAGAACACTTCCACAAATATTTCTCAACCGGTTTCTTGGGGCCGGTAAATTGGTATAGAGCACAGATCCACGATGTCAATCACGAAGATGAAAAAGGTATTTCCCAGCAGTGTTTCCTTTTGACTTGTAAATGAGTTCATGTTTCTAATTGTGGAGAAGATATCCCAGAGCTGTCGAAGGAGATTGAGCAACCAGTTTTGATCATTTGTGCGAGGAATATTATCTCTATGGCAGCAGATTTTGCAGGACATATGGAAAGGTTTTGCGACGATATGGAGGTTAAGAAGACTACGGCTGGTCATTGGATTATGTTGGAGAACATTGATGAGACTAACGAAACGCTGGAAGAGTTTTTTGAGAAGTGAAGCCTTTTGATTGTATTATATGAAATTACTCCCATAGACCGAGAGAATCAACGAAACTGCAAACATTCTACATATGTCCTGATGTGAAAAACCATCTTGCCTGGATAGTTCCATTGGTTGAAGCCCCTTCAGTAGTTTGGGATTTGCATTCGGCTCAGAACCGCCAACACACATCGTCATAAAACAAGAGGTAGACTTCTTGCAGCGATATGATTTCCAAGCTCAACCCAAAAGCAATCTGCCTTCTCGCGATCGAAAGTCACGAAAATACATGCCCAGCGTCCAAACCTTCTCAGCGTGAAACCAATGACAGCCTTTTCATACTTCGTATGGAGACTTCTCTTCTGCCCAAGCGATATTGCCCTTTTCAATCTCTTCCTTCTTATAGCTTTGAAAGAAAGCTTGAAAGTCCACCCGCAGTCGTCCGTTGTTCATAAGTTGTTCGGAATTTACAGTGAGAAAGTCAGCCCACTCTTTGATTGTGCCGGCATCAGATCGTCGAGAATATTCCAACAGTGCCTCAGCTTGGAGGGGGGTGATATCGTTTCCATCTTGTCGAGCGATGTGAAGGATACTCCCAGGGGTTTTGTGGAGAAACGCAGGAGAATACAAGTGTTGCTTGCGAGGCCACTCCGAAGAGGAGGTATAAATGAAGTGAATCGGGAGTCCCAAAACCTTCGAAAACTCTAGAGTATTTCCATACTTCATGAGGGGCCTATAGAGTCGGTAGCTACTCGCACGACAATTGAATCCTGTCTCGGAACTCTCAACTCTAACTCCTTAAACACTCTCGTAGAGCGAGTTTCCTGCCAACAGCCCATTCGCTTGGTCTACTTCGGATCGACCTAGGAATTTGCCTTGCCAGGTTCGTGATTCTGCAACCATTTCGAGGTCTTTGGTTGTGATATCCCCGTATGGTTCATGGTTCTTGACGTGCTTGCGTGACAACTTCACACCCACAAGCGGTGCATCACCCGGCAGATGCGTACGATCTTCCAATAGTTTCAACAATGCGTTGTTTTCCCAATCGAACTTGTAGATAGAACCAATACCAACAACACTACCCGTCATGAACGAATTGAGCTGTTGGCAGAGGCTTCCATGTGTCGCTTGGCCTATCTCGAGACAAGCAATAGAGCAGTAAGGCGCCGAGGAGCAATAGAGGCAGCCAAATCTAGCAGCACAGCGGCAGATTGAACATTCTTGAGAAGACTGGGCAGGTACAGAATCATCTGCACGAGTGATTCGTTTTGCTGGAGGCTCAGAGGAGCTAGCTTCCTGTTGCATTGATATCAGCTTCGATTCTAATACTGTATACCGCCGACATCTCGACCCTAGAATGAGTACGAACGAAAACTACATACATTGAGAGACATGTCGATCCAATGCAATATTTGCGCGCTACCTGGAGAGGAAAGGGCGATTCTACAATCTTATGGTCAGCATCTCACTTCGACGAAGCGTTGGAGGGACTCTCACCCTGGAGAAAATTGTTTACGCGTTGATTATGGTACTTCCGAGAACAGATCGAAACCTGTGGCCTGAAACACAAAGCTTGACGCCGTGGGGTTGGGAGGTGGAGGAGGTGGGAGAGGTTGAAGATGTGTGTCGCCGAGCAGGCTCAAAAACTTGACGCGAACGCAGACGTACGCTAGCCCTTATCCTTCCACCTAAGGACCAGGAGAAAGGTAAGAACGATTCCACTACCGAGAAGCCTCGTCTTAAGTTTTTGAATTTGTAAATATGCTCCAGATGTCTTTTAATTGGCAAACTCTCTATCAAATTATGACTTGATAGATGAAGTATTGATTTAATGACTAGCAAATGTGTTGGAAACATAAAAGTAAGGGAGTTACTCTGCCATGAGCTCAAATTACAGTACTTGCAAAGCTTATAGACTGAAATTCTTTCAGAGGCTCACATCATACTGCAACGTAGCTTAGCACGTCTTTATACCCTCAAGAAGAGTGCAGGAGCGTCGGTCCAAGGCCGTTCTATTCAAAAAAGCAGCATCAAGAAACCAACCAAGAACTGCAAGATTAAACTACAAAATCAAATAGCAAACATCTCATATTCCGCCAACCGCAGCACCAAGGCGAAACTCCATCAATTGGACTCTGAAGTACTAATTCTGCATTGTTATTGTTATTATTATTATTATTCCTTTTAACGTGCTGTGTGAGTCTGAGACTATAGTAGCACGGCTGGGGGTTTCCCTCCAACAGATGAGTAAAGCTGTACTAAATACATGTTTGAGAAGGGGGTTATGGTGAATACAGTTCTTGGGTTGTTGGAAGCAGCTAAGCTTCCTAATTCTGCATTGATTCCCTCCATGACAGACAGACACCCTGCCATACAAAAAGGTGTGAAGAGACGGGGAAAGAAAGTTCGTTTATGCTGTGTGTGGACGCTGATTGTCTTGATCTTGTCATTGAACACAGAGTGTTTACAAAGGTTGTTGGTGGTCATGACAATTCAGGGGAGGCGAGCCTTAACCGATTGGCTGTGGTTGTTTTGACTTTACCTCACTTTTCCTTTACATAGCATTTGGTGGTGGTGGACAGAAAAAGTGGCGGTTTATCCATGGGTCTGTGCACGATAAGCGATGACTTTCTATGCAAATATAACCTCCTAAGTAGGCTCAAAAAACGCTTGAAATTCCTATATTAATCAGAAGCTTAGGTATTTGTGACGGTTATGGTCACGAGGGCTGGATGTCACATGCTCGCTTAGCGAGGCGCTAGCGCGCACGACCTGTATTTAGTTCCCAGCTCTCTCGAGCTCTCCTTCTTTCCTGGTCTTTTGTCCTAAGAATAGAGTGTTAATTGTTCTGAGTTCTACCTGAAGCACGTCTGTCACATTACAAAAGACCCTTAGTTGAGGCTAAGTATCCCAGGTCTAAGTTCACGTTCACGTCCAAGTTCAGGTCCACGATCTTACGTCTCAATTCTCACGATTTCTACCACTTTCTTGTGCGCAAGAACCCTACACTTTACAACACGACGAAACCTCTTCTTTTTTCGACTTCTCTACAATGGATGCCCTTCAAGTTCAGTCCGCCATCGCTGAGTTGCAAGCTGAAGTCCAGCGACAGCGCGACGAGATTCACTTACTCCGGTCAAGAACATCCGCAAAGCCTAAACCTTCCCTCCCAGACCCTGACAAATTCACTGGCCAGGCTCATAAATTCGACACCTGGCTTCCCTCAATCAAAGCAAAGCTACGAGTCGACGGTACAGCTATTGGAGACGCTATTGCGCAGTTCTACTACGTCTACCTCAACCTTGACTCCCACGTCCAAGCCATGGTCCTTCCACAGCTCTCTCAAGCAGAAGACACCCAAAGCTGGGACTACCAAACAATCCTCGAACAGCTCGCGCGCGTGTACGACAATCCAAACAAGGTACAGGAGGCGGAAGACAAGCTATTTGCCCTCAAGCAAGGTGCTGACTCAGTCCCTACATATATCGCCAAGTTTGAGCGTGTCCTTTACGAAGCAAGAGGTCAGGACTGGCCAGATGTCAACAAAATTTCCACCTTTAGGAATGGCCTTAATTCTACTCTTCGCGGACGACTTTCTCAACAACTCAACCTACCTCGCGATTATACTACATTCATACGCGTCGTACAACAATTAGCAGGCCGCTTCTCTTCGTCTACACAACCTACACAGTCCTACTCCTCTGGCAACCACCACAGCGAACCAATGGACATAAATGCTTTTAGCATCAATTCCATCGACCCATCCTCTCCTCCACGCGCTCGCTCTATTTCCCCTGAGCGTAGAGATCAATATAGAGCTGAAGGCAGGTGTGTACGATGTGGCTCCTTGGAACACTGGGTCAACGATTGCATACTCCGTCCTTTCTCACCAGGACCACAAGGAAGGAAATCAGCCATAGATTTGGGGGATCTACCAGCTGGGGAGGCATTCCCAAAGCCAGTACGAAAGCAGATTGCAAGACCAGGCAGAGTAGTAATAGCAGCTATGAACGACAATGCTTACGATAGCGCGGAGGTAGATTCGGACGATCCTGACCATCCAGATGCCTGGCAAAAGGGTATTTTTCACAATTAGTTCAGATTTTCAACGCTCGGGGCGAGCTCTTTTTAAAGGGGGGGGTGATGTGACGGTTATGGTCACGAGGGCTGGATGTCACATGCTCGCTTAGCGAGGCGCTAGCGCGCACGACCTGTATTTAGTTCCCAGCTCTCTCGAGCTCTCCTTCTTTCCTGGTCTTTTGTCCTAAGAATAGAGTGTTAATTGTTCTGAGTTCTACCTGAAGCACGTCTGTCACAGTATTACATTAGAGGGAAGGAAAGATAACTAGGTATCGAAAACATCTTTACGCAATTGAAAAGTAAGTGCTTTTACTTTAGAGTAATTATAACGACTTTCTGTGAGGGCGTGAATGTGGCTCGGTATAAGTTAGTGTTTTGGTGCTTCGCTTAGTGAATGCAATAGTGGGTTGGAGTTGCCTAATCGGAGATAGTATGGAGCTGCCTAATGGGGAATAGCGTGGCCTCTTGTTGTGTATAATTAACAGCTAGCTCTAGGACTTCTTAGCTGACTCGCGATCAATCTCAACCATATTCCGGAACAGTCTTTTGTACGCTCCTAGTGATACCCTGACACTTTCATGAAAAGCTATACACTATCTAGGGGGTGTTCCGCCACTTGTTCTGTTTACCGCGTGCATAGCTACGGGGTAGCAAAGAATTAGTAGGGGCTAGAGATCTATACTATTATAGAGCTGAGAGCGCTTAAGCCTAATTAAGGATTTAAAAAGAGTCTTCGCGATATAGCTTATACGTTTCGCGTTATCCTTATATTTTTTAAACCAAATGTAATAATATACAGCATCACTATTTAAGGGTATAAGATACGAGTACCTAGTCTTTACTCTGTACACACTATATAAAAAGTTATTATACCAAACTTCTAGCATAACTAAAACAACCATCTTAGGATACATTGGCTAATATAAAGTAAGAGTTAACAGTTATTCCAAGCTTATACTATATAGAATTTTATTATACTAAACTTCTAGCACAAGGAAAATAACTGTGTTAGGATACCTAGGCTAATATAAAGTAAGAATTAACAGTTATTCCAAGCTCACTATATAAAAAGTTGTTATCCTAACCATCTAGCACAAGGAAAACAATTATCTTAGGATACCTTGGCTAATATAGAGTAAGAGTTAACATTTATCCAAGCTCCCTCCCTCTGGTAACTGCGTCAGGAAATACCTACCAAACACCCGGCGGGCCGACCTAGGGTACAAAACCTTCCCTAACGCGCACTTTTCCTGATACTAACGATAGGCGTAAAACCTTAAATATTTAACCAGAGACGTAGTTCTTTATTTACAACTCTATAAGTTCACAGGTTTACTTATTTATAAGCAGGGAAGGGAGAGAGAGGGGGGAGAGAGGGAGGGGGTATAGGGGTATAATAGAAATAGAGACTTATAGGAGGGCAAAGTAGAAAAGTACTTATAGAGAGTAATAGAGGGGGAGGATAGGTAGAAATAGCTAAGTACTTATAGGTAGGGAGGGAGAGGGATAGATGAAAACGACTAAGTACTTATAGGTAGTTTATAGAGGTAAAGGGAGGGGGAAAGGCTCTATAATGTAGATAGATAGCTTACGGAACGCTCGGGTTACGTTTAAACTCTCCTAGAAGTATACTAGTCTCTAGAGTACCCTCTGTCCCTAGAAGCCTACTTTTTGGTCCTTAAATCTCTACTTTTTAATACCTAATTAGGACGGTGTCAGGAATTTCCGTATAGTGTCAGGAAATGTCTAACACTAAGTTCCCAGAGGGCCTATATAAAAAGTTATTATACTAAACTTCTAGCACAACTAAAATAATTGTGTTAGGATACCTAGGCTAATATAAAGTAAGAGTTAACATTCATTCCGAGCTCCTCATATAAACATTTTAATTATACGAGATTTCTAGGATAAAATTATTCTAAAGAGGTGTTTACAGAGTAATAATCACATTTCTTACTAGTACTGGTTGAAAATAGTAGAAGAAGTTGCTGCTCCTAAGTTCTCGTATCTAACTATATATGTATATGCTGGTATGTACTCAAATTTGCCCTGACAAGATTATATTAAATGTTCAATCATATACGCTGCGAATTATTATTGGTTATAGTCTGGTTGACATGTGGTTTGGAAACAGCTATGGTTCGTATTTCTATATCTACTCAACGTAACAGAACTGGTCTTCACTCTGTACACACCTCAGTTAGAACAAAGTGTTATCCTTGAAGGGTTCAGTGGATCAGTGGGATAGAAGTGTGGTAGGGTGGAGATGCTACTCTTATGTTCCTCCTACTGCGATGATCTTTTTGTTATTAGTTAGTTTCTCAGCTGATCTTGTCATAGTAGATAGGTTATATTGAGTAAATTAAACGAAAGGCGGTCCTGTCAGATGCCAGGTGTATCTGTCGCTGACCAAGAATTTAGGGCAATATTCTATTGTACCGTTTGAGGGAAGTGATCTATATATTACCTTCCTTAACTCTGAGTTATAGAATATAGAGATGTAAAATTATTTTGGTGGTTTTCGTAAGAAAAGAATGAGAGTCATAGGTAGAATCTGTAGAAGTAAGAAATCACTTGAGATATACATTGAAGAAGACCCCTAGATGCATATGAAAAGGATAGCCATTCATAGTTTGGGTAACGGTGACGATTCTGGACCATCCTATACGTCAAAAGGGGAATGAAATGAAGTAAACGCTTAACAGCCACTTGGATGGATTGTGTATTTCCCATACCACAATTCAAGAACCCAGTTACTGAATCCCTCCCAAGCCTGGGCAGTAATTTTGTATTGATGAGCAACGCAGCATGACCTCTAGATAGCCCCCCCGCAAACACCAAACCCTCTTCCCAGAAACTCTCCCCTTCCCAATCTTCCAACCTCCCAACCCTAAAGCTTCCCCTCCCTCCCCGCATCCCTCATAGCCCTCTCCCCATCAACAAGCACACACCACCCCTCACTCCCACCCCCTCCCTCACCTCCAACCCCCGCCTCAAACTCACTCTTCGCAAATTCCAAAATCGCATCATCAAACGTCCCGGGCTGCAACCACACCCTCTTAACCCCAATCTTCTTCGCTTCTTCCAGAACCTTCTTAGTCACCTTGGGAGGCGTGATGATCGAAACGCCCGTGTTCGTGGGGTCCGGGAGCGCGGAGAGGTTGGGGAGGGTGGCGTGCGAGGTGGAGAGTGCGGTGATGCTGGATGAGGATGGGTTGATGGGTGTTACGGGGAGAGAGTGGTGGAGGTACCAGGCGAATACTGGGGGCGATTAGTTGATGAGGGTAAAGGGAAGCGAAGGTGGAAACGTACTTTTGTGCCCGAATTTGGAGGGGTCTGAGGAGGCGCCTACTACTGCGAAGTGGGTGGATGTGAAGAAGGTTTTTGCTGCGTCTGTCATTTTTGCTAGGTATTTTGGTGGGAGCATAAACTGGTTGTTTCAATTAGCTGTGATGGTGGTTGTATTCGTAGCTCTCTAGCTTTTTTTTTTTTTGATCTGGGGTTGTTGATGGCGGGGAAATGCAGGCAACTTGCGTCATTGCTGATACCCCACTAGATTGGTGTTATCTGAAGGATTAGAACACTTGCTCTCTACAATTGCCCCAAAACCGTTTTTTTCCGGCCATTTCTATGTCTTGAGTTACAGGAATGAAGAAATTGCCCATCTGCAGTTTGTTAAAAATGAAAAATGCACTTATAGTACAAAGTACACATACTCTATATCCCCTGCTTTCGCTCTGAATTGAACCTAGGCATCTTGGTTCCAATTCTCCGACATCGCAGAGCCAAGTTGCTGAATCAATCACCAAACGCCATTGATCTCATGAAGGACCATACAATTCCAGAAGTAGGATCTCGGAAGCTCCTCAGTTCAATTGCTACCGTTTACTCACTTCACTAAACTAACCAAATAGAAACTAACTGGCACTATTCTTATAAAGGCAGCTTCATCCGCCCCCTTCTCTCCTTTCCCGTCCTCCCTTCCATCTGAGAAATAGAATAGGAAGATTCCAATCCATATATACAACAGAGCAACAGGTATTTCCCAAAATATGGCAACATTCTCGTACGTCCCCCCCCACCATCTATATGCCCACCCTTCTAACCCCCCTTAGAAAAACCACCTTCAACGCCCTCTCCTACGCCGCTTTCCGCCCCTCCTACCCCCCAAAGCTTTTCCAAACACTCCTAACCTACCACCGCGGGCCCACAACCACTCTTCTAGATCTAGGCTGCGGTCCAGGCCTCATCTCGCGATCCCTCTCTCCCTCCTTCAAAAGCGTCCTCGGAACCGACCCCTCACCCGGTATGATCGCACAAGCGAAATCCTCCACACCTCCAAACCTCTCCAACATCCAATTCCGCGAGGCATCAGCGGAAAACCTGGGTTTTATTGAAGATGGGAGTCTGGATATGATCGTTGCGGGCCAGGCAGCGCACTGGTTCGATTTCACGAAAGCGTGGGGAGAATTAGCGAGGAAGGTAAGGAAAGGGGGGATGATGGGGTTTTGGGGGTATGTTGATAATGTGTTTGTTGATTATCCTGCTGCGTTTGGGGTTCTGATGGAGTACAGTTATGCAGAAGGGAGGATGGGTCCGTTCTGGGAAATACCCGGACGGAATATTCTAAGGGATCGGTACCGTGATATTGTACCTCCGGAGAATGAATGGGAGGATGTGAGGAGGATTGAGTATGTACCCGGTACGGAGGGAAAGGAGAGTGGGAAAGGGGAGCTGTTGATGGGGAGTAGGATGAAGTTGGGGGAGATGGAGGGGTATGTGAGGACGTTTAGTGGGTTCCATAATTGGGCTTCTGCGAATCCCGGGAGGAGGGCGAGGAGGGAGGGAGGAGATGGGGATCTGGTGGATGAGATGTTTGAGAGGATGTTGGAGGTTACGCCGGAGTGGAGGGCGATGGGGGAGAATTGGAGGGAGTTTGAGGTGGAAAATGAGTGGGGGAGTGTTATTTTGCTTGCGAGGAAGAGGTGAGATGGGTTTGGGATATGAGTAGAGGTACTGAGTAGAATAGATCTTTTTCTATTACTTCTCTGTTTGGTATAGAATCATGGCGAATCTATCACTTATTTCCAACTCGCATAAGGGAATAGAGGAGGTGTTGATTGTAGTATCCATCCATTACTTAGTCTTCCTTTTTACAAATACTCGCAACTCATTTATTTTAGCCTTTCCAGATAAATGAGTTACTGTTTAAATGATTAAGTCCCAAAGTGCTGGTAGATGTGTTCCAGTTATCAACCACTCACAGAATATTGTATTCCGTGGTTCAATGGCCCGCTTGAATGCTAGTATTTGCTCAGAGGGTTTATGGCAGTTAATACAATTAGAGGAAAAGAGTTTATTGGACGAGATATAGATTGCATACCTGCAGGCAGTCAAGAACCCCGAAGTCATCAAAGGCTAGAGTATTAAGACTGATATCTAGTTCAAAAATAAGGTTTCATGTGGAGTTTACTTGACAGCACTCTCGCTTTTGAAGGTTGTTTGAGTCCAATTTCGGGTTTGTTTTGAATTTTATAGCTCTTTGAACAAGGGGACACAATCAAACCTCACAACTGAAATGACGTAAAACAATTTAGAAAAAACAAATTATAAAAGTTGAATCGAATTATTCAAGTCTTCCAAGCCAAAAACTGCCAATGATGCGGATCCTGAGTCGTTGTCACGCTAAGGATGGTTGCCATGGGCGCAGGAAACCCATGCATTGATGGCACACGGACCCCAAACTTCCAATCCCCTTCTCTGCAGAGCGAAACAGTCCTTAAAATAAATAAATCCATTCAACCTCTGACAACACCATCCTCCACTCTCACCAACACTGAATATCTGCTCTTACACCCAAATTAATCATGGTACGTTCGCATTCTTCACTCTCGGTCCTCATCTCTGTAGATTCTTGGCCATGCCTACGCGCCACACTCAAGACTCGCGCCACAAACAAATGGGAGGCGTGAAGGGGTTGCGTTGCGAGGAAGCTGCCAGCCAGCCAGCCAGCCAGCCAGCCAGCCAGCCAGCGTGTGCTGTTGGCTGTGGTTGTTTACAGTTCCCAGGGCTTCCATCAGTGAGAAGCACCTGCCAGCCTTGCGTGCTTCTACGACTCTGCACCTGCATCGCAACCCCCCTCTGTCTCTGGATTCTTCTATTTACGCATGCCACCTTGCCATTGCAACGTGCCTGATCTTGTATCACATCTCATCATCCATTCACAAACAAACACATTTGAGCAATCCTACTTTTCTTGGTTACGCCTTGTCAAGAGACATCGAATAGTCTTCGAAGCAGCATCATCTTTGTCTTCGCCCGCCCACTTTCTTGTTTCCCTTGCGTTTGCAGCATTTACGGTCCATCAACAAATACACATCATGGCTTCATCAACTAATCCTCCATACGATGCGCAGGCCTCTACAAATTACAAGGAAGCATTTGCTCTATTCGACAAGCGGGGAAACCAACGTGTTGCGCTCGATAGCTTGGGAGATTTACTACGAGCATGCGGTCAAAACCCAACTTTGTCCGAGATTCGCGATTTGGAGAAGAATGTTGGATCTGATTGTACGCTTCTTGATTTCTTCCCCCCAGACTTGCAATAAATTCCGCGGAACCCGGAAATCAGCTTGCTGACTATATTCGCAGTCGACTTCGAGACCTTCTCCAAGATCCTCAACCGACCTGGTGGTTTCCGCGAACCCGGCGAGCCTGAAGAATATTGCCGCGGTTTCCAAGTTTTCGACAAGGACATGACGGGTTTTATCGGTGTGGGACAACTGCGATATATTCTGACGAATTTGGGAGAGAAGATGAGTGATGAGGAGGTTGATGAGCTGTTGAAGGCTGTTGACACTAGTTCGGGGGAGATCAACTACACTGGTATGTTTACAGCAAAATATCTATTTACAGACGGATTTCCATGTTTTATTCTGGACAAGGAAGAAGTATACTTTGAAACCAAGCTGACATCATATCAAAGATCTCGTCCGAACAATCCTCGCAAACTAGACGCACCGGAACTCTCGAAAGCGGCAGTCATGGTCGATATGGTGGTATGACATTTCTACATTAAATTCATGGCATGGATAGGGGCTCACTCAGGGCTGGGGAGGCGTTTTACGTTGCATGAAATATGGTTCTTTTGAAAGAAAGCTTCCGGGGAGCTGGGCGTGAATCACATGAATTCTGCTTTTTTTTTTAATTCCTATTGGTATGTACGAATATTATGGTACATAGCTTAGGAAAACAGTGATTGCATCTGATGCATTTTTTAACTCGCTTTACATTTTGGGGGTATCATTTCCGCGTCTATTTAAATCCATAATCAAAACCTCCTTCCTTTATCCTCTCTCCCCATGGCTTACTCAAAAACTCCCACCCCGTTCTTCCCTATTTCTACGTCTTCCTCCCTGATCTTCCGTCCTTTCATCATAACTTCGGTACTTTGTACCCCGCCATTCAGTATATAAATCACCTTACCCTCATACTCTCCCCCTTCACCACCTCCCTGTTCCCCATCAACTTCCATCGTATCCTCCATCCCTCCCTCCGCATTCGCAATCCCATATCCAACCACCACTCTACACCGCGAACATCGGTATAAATTCCTCTTCTCGAACCCGTCTTCGCGTCGGATCAGGGTTGGTTTAGATTCGGGGGTCAGGGAGAGTAGGATTGTGTAGCCTGATGACGGGAGATCTTTTGAGGGAGAAGTGTTGGGTGAAGGGTTGGGTGAGGAAGCGGATTGGGATTGTGTCGGTGGAGAGGATGGTAAAGGGAGGATTATGGAGGAGTCTGCTGTGCGCCGGGGGAGTGCGGAGAGCGTGTGGGTTGTTGAGAGTAGGAGGGTTGTGCATATGCAGTGGTAGGTTTGGATTTTGGGGGGTTGGATTGTCATTTTCGTCTTTGGGTGTGTTGAGGGGGGGGTTGGTGGTTTTTGTTGACTTTGATTTGATATGGAGGCACTGTATGTACTAGCGAGTTGCTGATGTGCTNTCATTTTCGTCTTTGGGTGTGTTGAGGGGGGGGTTGGTGGTTTTTGTTGACTTTGATTTGATATGGAGGCACTGTATGTACTAGCGAGTTGCTGATGTGCTGCGGGTGTTGATGCGCGATTGGATGTTGGACTGTCGAAGATCTGGTAGGTGGGTGAGTGAGGATTACGGGTGCATTGGAGGTTGTGCTATCAGACTAGAGGTGTTGATGCTGTGAGTTGCATGCTGACCATGGATTTTTCGTGGTGTTTGCATGCTCGTACCTGAGTCTCGGAATTGACGCCGACGCCGACCCCGGATTTCCCAGGTTGGTGTGCTCGGGTGTGTTGGGCCTCTGCATCTGCGGTGCGGGATGATGGAAGGAAGGGAAGGGACCCCAAGGGTCCATCACCCGGGTCCTCCGCCCAGAGTCACAAGCTACTGAGTATCCAGCCAGCATCGATCATTCGATTCACTCCAATGCTTTTGAAACACGAACTACTCCAGGTTTTGAAGGACCAGTGACAACATCAACGTGCATATTCACCGGCACACAGACATTTCGCCATTCCCTTCCATCACTACGTTTACTAGTACCTACGGAAGATTCACTTTGATACCCAGGCGTACCATTCGCCCAACTCCACCCTGGCTAAACCCCCCCTCCCCAAGCGGTCTGCTCTCCTAGCTGTCTTCTTCTTCATCACCATCACAGCAATCCTGGCTTCCACACGACTCGGTCCACGACTGACCTCTCTCTTCAACCAAGTTCGTCCCTACGTCTACACACCAAAACCACAAACCACACACCTCCGTCCCATCCAAACCTCCAACATGGCACCAAAGAAATACCAGAAGCCACCCCAGGCACCGCCCCTCTTCACTGCTTCGGTAACCAGCTTGGTCGAGGATGCGAAGAGCATCTGTGATCGCTCGCGTGCTATGCTGGACAAAATTGTAGCGGATGTCACGCCGGATTCTGCGACTTTTGCGAATGTTGTCTTGCCCATTGTCACGGACGAGGACCAGGCTGCGTTGAAGACGAGGGTCATTGGCTTTTATCAGGCGGTCTCGGCGGATCAGGCACTAAGGGATGCGAGTTCCAAGGCGGAGGAGATTTTAGATCAGTTTAATATTGAGGCTAGTATGCGGGAGGATATTTACAAGCTTGTTGAAGCTGCGTATCAGAAGGGGGAGGATCTAGACCCGGAGAGTAAGAGACTCTTGGAAAAGGAACGAAAGAGCTTTATTCGCAATGGATTGGGTATTCCAGCTGGGGAGAAGAGAGATCGGTTCAAGGAGATTAAGAAGAGGTTGGCCACGATTCAGGTTCAGTTCTCCAAGAATTTGAACGAGGAGAATGGTGGGCTTTGGTTTACCAAGGAGGAGTTGGAAGGAGTACCCGAGGATGTACTTTCGGGACTGCATAAGGGTGAGGGTGAGAATGAGGGGAAGTTGAAATTGAGCTTCAAGTACCCGGATCTATTCCCTACCCTGAAGTTTGCCGTTAATGCCGACACGAGAAAGAAGGTGTTTATGGAGAATGAGAATAAGGTAAGCGTTCTCTTTTACGCGCAAGACAAAATGAATTAATATTCGAAACAGTGTAATGACAATGTACCTCTTTTCAGAGAGGCTATCGTTCTACGAGACGAAGCCGCCAGACTTCTGGGATACAAAGACCATGCTTCCTTCAAATTAGAAGAAAAGATGGCTAAGAATCCTGAAACTGTTAATGATTTCTTGAGTGACCTGAGAACTCAATTGACACCTGGTGGAAAGAAGGAAATCGAGCATTTGCTGGAGCTCAAGTCCGAAGATTTGAAATCAAGAGGAACGGAGACAACCAATGATGGAAATTATTATCTTTGGGATCATCGATACTATAGCCGCATCATGGTTGAGAAGGAGTTTTCGGTTGATGAGCAGAAGATTGCCGAGTATTTTCCTCTTCAAAGTACCATTGATGGTATGCTTAGCATTTTTGAGGAGCTGTTTGGTTTTGTTTTCATTGAGGTCTCGGGAGAGGACCGCGATAAGATTTCAGGTATGTATCAGCCAGTGAATACGACAAGTTTCATATACTAATGAAAACCAGAATCCGGCAAAGGCCCTGATATTGTATGGCACGAGGATGTCAAACTTTACAGCGTTTGGGATGATGAGGGAGAGGGAAGTGGCTTTGTTGGCTACCTTTACCTTGATCTCCATCCTCGCCCAGGAAAATATGGCCACGCCGCCAACTTCTCTCTTCAGCCAGGTTTCCTTTTCGCTAATGGCACTCGTCGTCACCCAGCAACAGCTTTGGTTTGTAACTTCTCCAAGCCAACAGCAACTAAACCATCACTTCTCAAGCATGACGAAGTCGTTACTCTTTTCCACGAATTGGGACATGGTATCCACGACTTGGCTGGACGAACAAGATACTCTCGCTTCCACGGTACATCTGTCGTACGAGATTTCGTCGAAGCACCAAGTCAAATGCTTGAGAACTGGTGTTGGACCGCATCCCAACTCAAATCCCTAAGTTCACACTACCTCACCAAGGAACAAATCTCCGACGATCTGCTCGAGAAGCAAATCAGCTCCAAACACGTCAATGACGCACTCTTCAACCTCCGGCAACTCCACTTCGGTATCTACGACATGACCATCCACACGCCCTCCTCCCACGCCAAAGCAGAAGCCTTCAAGCTCTCGGGGCTCTACAACGATCTCCGTGTCCAGATTTCCGGTATCAAAGGTCCTGAAGAGCTAGGATTGAAGAATGATTGGGGTAATGGAGAGGCCACTTTTGGTCATCTGATTGGAGGTTATGATGCGGGTTATTATGGATACCTCAGTAGTCAGGTCTACAGCACTGATATGTTTTATTCTGTATTTAAGAAGGATCCTATGAATAAGGTTGAGGGACGCCGGTATAGACATCAGGTGTTGGAGAAGGGGGGAAGTCAGGATGAGATGACGACGTTGGAGGGGTTCTTGGGCAGGAAACCTAGTACGGAGGCGTTTTATCAGGATTTGGGGTTGAAGAGTAAATAAGCCACTTTGGTGATCTTAGGTGTTGCGGTGTGAGGGGTGGGGGTAAAGGAAGGGTAGATGGAGAAGCTTGATTTGGTGTTGATGAGGGTATTTGTAAGAAGCGAGAAGTACCTAGGTAGATTTTTGGGAATGAAAAGGTTTTTACGTTAGTTCTTGTGATTTTCAATGAATGGGATTTGGCTGTGTACTGTATTGTACTGTACTGTACTATGCGGATAAGATGTGGAGTGTGGAGTACCGGAAGTCATGAGACTGTAAGAGTATGAGTTGTGAATTACGATTTGATCAGATCATGATTTTCCGTAATCTTACTTGATTTGTTTATAAGGGAGGAAGGAAGGAAGTACTATATAGGATTTTATATAAGAAATATATATGGTCGGTATAGTAAGTCTTACTCTATATATATACTTCTCTTGAAATTAAAATGTCTCTCGTATGAGTTGGTTTGATGGAAATTGTTAGGTGAAGATAGAGAAGGAGCTGCGGATATTTGTTTAGGTTCTGGGTAGAGTGGATTGGATTGGATTAGATTAGATTTGTTTTTTTTTTGTGCTAGGTGGGGGTTTTGTGTAGGGGTGTAGGGGGGGTTGGATTGTGTGGAGAGGAAAGAAAGGAGAGGAGATGAGAGGATTGTAATGAGTAGGTAGGTACGTAGGTAGGTCGATTGGAATAATATTTTGAAAAAAAAGAAGAGGATTACAGATATTTATTTATTTATTTATTGCTATTTAACGTCAAGCGGAGTCTAGCTCGCGTGGGCTAGGTCCTAGAAGAGTCCCAATATGGGCAAATGACGCTAGGGGGGTGCCCTAGGCTACAGGGGGTGTAAAAGAAGAGACGCTAATTTACAAGAGACAATTTAAAGAGAAGCCCCACTTTCGGGACAGCCCTTATCCTTAATTAGTTTTGAGAACCAGGGTACAACAAGTGAAATACATAAATCAAAGAAAGAAAGAAAAGTAGGCCAGCCTATCTAGGTAGACAAATCTTAGTGAAGAATCTAGTCTTAAAGTAGACCTTATTAAATAGCTCCTCGCAGCCGGGGCCGAAGAGCAGCTGAGGGTTCCTCTGAGCTTCTGCTAGTAGCCTAGGGGCTACGTTGTTTGCTAGCCTACAAAAGAGTAGGTGGAATTGAGACTTAGCCTTCTTACACTTACAATCCCCTGAGGTAAGTAATGCGTCGAAGTGAAAGAAGCGAAGGTGGTAAGCGACAAAGTCTCCATGCCCAGAACGAGCAGCTATTAAGCGAGCTAGAACCTCTCTTGGTAATTGAAGAGACCGTGGCTTCAAAGACCAATTTTCAAGCCCCAGATCCTTATAGACAGCCGGGAGTGTAGCGCTCCAGAGCTTCTTTGCAAGTCCAATCCCTGTTTCTTTAACCCCCCCCTTGAGCGTAGCAGTACAAAGTGGAGAGAGGGAATTAGAAGGGGGTAGAGGATTACAGATATGGAGGTGGGATTATTATCTATTAGGTAGGTAGGTACTTGGCTTTTTCTTAGGTTAGGTAGTATTGGAAATACGATTCTTTTCTTTTTATTATAAGTGGAGGTGTTATAGAAGAAGGGTTTAATTTGTATATACAGTAGATTATTATAATATTTAGGTAGGTAGGAAGTATAGGTCTCTTGTTAGTTGTGATTGGATTGTTGGTTTAGTGTATATATAGTATTATTCTTTACTCCTAGGATTAACCTTTCTATTTTATTTCATCTCATTCCCTCCCTTCTTCTTTACTCTCTATACCCTCGTTATTTATTGTCTTGATTTTCTTTCGGGGGGTAGGATCGGTATTCTGTATTTCGGAGCGTAGACGATTCCTGGCTTGCTTTCTGGGTACTGTGGTACGTGTGGGTGTACTTGCGGATATTCTCTTGTCTAGTCTTGGATTAGTGGATAAAGAGAGAGTATATAGAGGGCTGTTTTTGTAGTAGGGTAAGGGGGGATTTTGGGATGGATAGAGATAAGTAAATAAATAGAATAAGCTAGGATTTAAACTCTGCTTATAGGAGAGAAGGAGGTTATTCTTTTTACTTTTATTTCTAAAGATATTACTATATTTATAGCCTTTTTAGCTCCCATTTTTCACTAGTTCATATAATGGCATAAACCGTAAACTTTCCATATTTTCTTATTCCTTACTCCGTAACACCTTGGAAACCGGTAGGTAGAACGTTCTAATAAGGTATAGACTTTATACCCTCGCTAAATCTCGCTAATCAAATTTAAGTAAAGTACTTACTAAACCTAATTATAACGTTTAACCTACCAGTTTAAAAGCCTATTTTAAAACGGTCAAAGTACTACGTTACTAATCTCTCTTCTTTCTTTCCCTTCTTAATAGATAATCACGACCTAACTAGGCTAGCGGAAACAGAAAAAGGTGGGGCGAATATAATAGTAGGAATAAGTAGGACATAGGCCATTTTAACAAAACGCAAACAAATTTATCAAGGCAAAGATTTGTGATTGAATTTCTATTACTCCATGCTCGAAGCGCCCATGTTCGTTCCGTAGTAGAACTCTAATTTGTATAGTGCACCCTGAATTTATATCCCGAGTTTCTTTTGAGCTGAACAGGCCGTAAACAAATCTCTTCTTCTCCCCTTGCGGATAATCCCATAAATCCCATCAATGTCCTCATTTGAAACAATCGCGGTATAAGTCAGCTGGCTCTCCAACCATTCCCGCAATACACCTCGCGTCTCTGACCCGCGAGGAAGTAACAAATCAGTGAACAATTCATTAAAATTATATCGTAAGGACTCAAACGCTACTAACCTTGTCTTTCCCTCCACAAGCTGCATCACAGTCGGCCTCGTTACAGCCTACCACGCCAACCGCGGCAAAGGCAAGAGTGAGAACAAGAGTAAAGAACTTCATAGTGTGTTAAAGAGGATTGATCAGCGAGAAGCTTGGGATGAGTCTGTAGTTTTTGTAATTGGAATTGTTTTTTTTTGAGATAAGTGATGATCGAGAGAAAGGAGGAAATATAGTCTTCTTAAGTACTTCGAAACTACTATGAGGGGTCCGATGAAGTACAAGATAAAAACCACCGAAAACTCAACTTTCGTCATACAAGACTGGCGGTCAAGCCGTCGAAACTCAGTAGGATAAGTGAAACTATACTTGCATGACGATCTTGGCTATGAGGAGACACAAGAACTCACTTCGCAATACTCCCCGGCTAAAACAAAACAAAATGCTTCGAAGTAAAAGGTTATCTACTAGTGGCAGTAAATGCCGTATAACGCAGTAATTTCATGTCCGAACAAGCACGTTCTTGCTCAAGGCTTGAGTTCGATAAATTGAAGCTAATTCGATACTATATTAAAGATCTTCGTTTGAATATGCTCGAATACGGGCTATCCTATTAGCTAGAATAAACTAAGAATAGCCTAGAATATACAAACAAGGCTAACGATTGGCAGGTTTTATATAAAAGTTGGCAAACTTAGCTAAGAAAGGCACTAAAATAAGCAACCGTAACTACGTATTTACCCCTACCTTTAATACTCTTATATATGGGGGAGGGGGAAGGGAGACGCGTCCTGTCCAGAACCTTAACCAATCAATAGTAAGCATTACTAAAAACGATCCTAATTGGGTATAGCGAGTATCTCTTTCCTTCTTTTCTGTCTACTTGCTCGAGTAATCCCACTGACGGCACCGAATATAGCCCGGACGACTTACAAGGTTTCTATAGTTTCACCTATTCTACTAAGTTTTCACGGTACTGTAATTTACGTACAGTAAGTACTTCGTACATCGTGATTCGTGCCTCAAAAATCTAGCATTAGAAATATTGCATACTACTCGATAGAAACACTACCTCGCCGTCCTAAGGGGATGACCGAATCCTACCTTTATTTATGCATAGTAGACTAGCTTAACCTAATTAGATTATATTTCGTACTTCGTTCTAGGCAAAAAATGTAACTCTCCTAGATTCTAGATAGCTAAGTAATTTACTTCGTAAGGCTAGTAACCGGGAAAACCCGCTGATCAAAATCTTACAATGGATATATTAAGGTAAGCTTACCTGGTTTGACACGCGATAAAAGAGTTACTAATGTTCTAGAGCCGGGTGGATCCGCTCGAGAGAATTGGCAAAGCTACGTTCTTGGTTTAGACAAGAGCGCCGGGCATAGCCAGCGACTAATTGCTACTACCAACCCCTGGTGTCGCTTTGCTGATTTTGCGCCTTGGCAATGGCAAGAGCACAGAGGGAATTTTCGCGGGTCTACCAGTCATGAAAGTGAAGAGATCACCAATGCTAACAGGATGGTTGGGATCCGATTATTTCGAGTTAAAACTTTCCCTCGTAGCGACAGGCGAGTAATGACTGCGGGTATTTGCGAGCCTATTTTCCGAGAGGTCTCCGATACATATACGAAGTAATACCCCTTGACGTCATGATGAATGTTATTTTTTAGCGGGTATTTTTAACGGGAATGCAGGATTAGCACGCCTGTTAACTGTCACTGTTACGACATGGTCTTAGCTAGCCGAGACTCCTGTCTTAGCTGCCTCTGCCTGCCTAACCTGTCTCGGTTGCCTTAGGTGGAGGCCTAGTATTCTAGTAGCTTCCACTCGGTCAGGGTTATCTTATAAAGACTCCCTGCTCCCTTAGCTGGCTCTTCACTCCTTATTACACGTTTTACAGCTCATTCTAACAGTCTCCTGTGTTGTCCCTGACAGTCACATTTACTACCGTACTTACTACTAAATAGTACGGATCAAGTCGGCCCGAGCCCCAATTAGCGCTTTAGTATTCTTCGGGCGGGTCGGGACCCCGGATTTCGCTTAAGCTCTGTATGCCGAACCTTATTTTTTACTTTTTAATATAGGTATAACTGTAAAAAAAGCTTGTTTTCGGAAAATATCACTTAAAGACTGTAGGAAATCGGAAACCCAAAAATGGAAAGATACATCGGAAAGATACATATATATGCGACGTTGAGGGGATACTCCTTGACTGAAATGAATGATCGCATAATTGCATTCTTCTTCTGTACGGAAGTACTTGAGCTGGGCTTTCATCTGTGTCTACAGTTGGAGACATGACTAGATCATGCAGCTTGGAGAAGATAAGCGCGGCAGTGTCAACCACTCGAAGGACGAGATGTCATTTGACGTGTCGGATTTGAGATTGTTTTCTTGATGACAGCGGCTCTTGATGTTGGTCAATGCGGAAGACATGTCAAGGGTCATATCGGAAACGGAGGCCATGACGAGCTCATCTTGGTGGTAATATTGTAGCTACTTGAACCGCGATGCCGATGACTATTTGATCGGGAGCTGCGAGTCTAGTAACCGAAGCTAGATTCGGGGCCTGGATTAAAACGATTGCTCGCACTGGTTTTATTGAAGTTGTTAATGAATTCGAGGGAAGTTGTTTCGTCGATCTCGACATCCTTTAGTAGAGGTAAATACGCGTGGAGGTACCCTCGAAACATTTACCAGGTCGTCCACCTCCAGATCTCGCTAACTCGCCACACCAGGTTGAGAAGGACCTGGATTTCCCTCGTCCAGTTGCGAAGTTGCCTCTTGTCATTGTTGTTGTTGTATGGGAGATGAAGTGCAACAACCATTTTCGCTACTCGCTTCCTGCCAATTTAAGCAACCTCCCCGTTGGACTCTTCTACATCATGCGATGGGCTCTTCTTTCCTTCAACTACCTTTTCTTTACTCCGCATACGATAGTACAACACTTCGCGCCACCACCGAATAACGGCGGCGAGACTGATGCATAAAGCCCCGAATTCGAAGATCTTCCTGCTCACTAGGTAAACCAGGAAATAGACTTCCCTGTGGCAACAGTCTTCGGTCTCGTGTTGTCGGAGCTGCCGTTCTTAGAGTCGACTTAATGCCTTTCAGATGTCGACATTGTTTTGTTAATAAGGAGATACCTGGGACGATCGAGGTAATGCTTTTCACTATTTTTCACAGCGAGTGTATTAGTTAAGCTTTATCGGAATTGCCTGCAGCCATATTCTTGTTGGAATTGAAAACAGTTATCAGTATTTGTGACGATAACTTTGTATTTCGTAATCTGGGGGCTAAAAGCTGTTGACACCAAGGATGTCTGAGAGCTTTTCTATTTTATCATTGACTAACAACATAATATTTCCCATCCTCGGCATATACTACCGCCCTCCTGATGTTGAAAAAAAGCTCTATGGGCCTACTTTACAATCCAGGGCCGAAAAGTGAGGTGCCATTCGCGTAACTAGAGAACATTTCGTTGATGGTAGCATCTACGACTTTGACGAGGCTCTTTTCGAAATCAAAGCACAAGCGGCTAGGAACATAGACCCCCAACATCGAATATTCCTTGGGTATTTCTTAGGGATTTCCGAGGATTCTGGCATAATCATCGTAGATGTTACTAGTAACAGGATTGGTGTCTTTGACGGTTTTGCGCAGTAAGAATACTCTCCCCTCCGGAATGATGAGTTTGAAGCCGCATTTATCGCCGTTGAGTCACTTAACTTATATTCCGGCCACCAGATACCAGTCGCGAAGACTGGGCCGCTGGCTACAAATGGTATGAATTACTTGTGCGCTAACAAGCGATTCACTATCACATGGTCATAGTTAAGGCAATTGATTGTTTGCTACCTGTATTAAATAGTCTTAACGACATTATACGTGATAGTGATCTAGTTTACGCTCCTACTCCCAAAACTGCCTGCAATCACAGTGCTTAATGCGACGTTAGCACTATGTCTAATGGCATAGCTTACAAAGAGCTGCTTTGGACACTTTATAAGAAAATTGACCCATATAGGACCAGAAATACCAACATCTTTAGCCAGGTAACACAAAAGACGGATAAGATATCTGAAAGTCGAGCATCAAAGAACATGTTATACTTGTATGTTAAATGCGATTCAACCCCTAATATAACTGGTATAAGGTTGACTTTTACATCCCCCCTATCACTTGGCTGTCGACAATAGTCGTTAATTAAACTTACGGGCGTGCCAATTTGTTATTACGAAGCTACCTCTACCGGAACGAATGTTTAAGTAAAGTGTTATTAATATTTACTACCCTATCCTTTGTCCCTAGTTATCTCCTGAACCGCCCGGGGGGGTTTTTACGTAGACTCTTCAAGTTTGGAAAAACGTTGGAATTTCCCCCTCGAAAAAAGGGCTCTCTTTTAGCAACCACGTAGCGCTATATAACATCGGGGGAGTAAAAATGTTTAAGAGCTACTATAATAACAATTTCTTAATTCCGAGCTAGCTAATACCTTTAATATATTTTTATAATTTAGGTAGCGTTTATAATCTATTTTACTAATTTTAATAATACGAAATACCTTAGGGGAAAGCGGAGTTTTTTAGGTAGTTATAGAATAGTTCCTAAAATTAAATCTATTATAAAGCGATTTCTAGATAATTTAAAATTATAAAACTATTTTAATTTATAATTATTTATTATAAAAACTGTTTTATATTTTAAACTAATATAAGATAATTTAAAAGCTAAATAGTCTTTAACTTATAACTATTTAAATAAAGAATAGTCTAAGAATCGTTCTTAAATAGTCGCCGAACGATCGTAGAACGGTTCTCGGACGCCCCCGGGACGGTCCTAGGACAGTACGGAAAAGTGCCCTACAGAGCCGTATATAGGCGCGCAGAGACGCAGCGCACAGGCTATATCACGTACTCGGTAGTGCTCCCATGCGCTCAACCCTAACGCTATTAAAACATAAGTATCAAATTCAGTCGATTCAGCGAAATTTAACGGGCGCGTAGAATAGGCGGCCTGACGTGCGATATTAGTAGCGGGTGTTAAGGAGTAGATTACTATACGCGGGGAACATGCCCGTAGTATATTATAGGCGCCCGAGCGCCGGGAGTGCCTTACGCATGCTACTTACGTAATAATATATGCACCTAGGAGTAGGATTTAGGACCGTCCTAGGACCGTCCTAAAAGCGTTCCAGGAGCGTCCGAGAACTGTCCTACAAGCGTTCAGCGACTATTTTATATTTATAAAACTAGTCTTAACTATCTTGTTAATATAACTATCTAATATTATAAAACTAGTCTTAACTATCTTGTTAATATAACTATCTAATATTATAAAACTATGTTTATATATAAACTACCCTCCTCATATTACCTGGCGGTTTTTTCCCTAGGACTAGATTCTATATAAGATACTCTGCTAAGAGTCTCTAGATAATCTAAAAAACTCCGCTTTCCCCTCTAAGCTAGTATAAGTATTAGAATATACTATTCTAAAAGGTAGAATATTTGGAATTCTAATTAGAATTCCTTACGTAACCCGCAAAAAAGTAGTGCCGGCCGAGCGACTATTAGGAAGCCTAGCCTTAGTATTAGTACCCCTATGTATCTTACTAGAATATATAAAGAGCCTTAAATACTTATATTTATACCTTAGATAACCGGTATACGTATTTTCTACTTTCTAGACCGCCGGTATATAAGTAAATTTACCTTACGAAATAGTATTATACTTATGTTCGTATCTTAGAGGGGAAAGCTGTAACGAATACTCAAACTGGCTAACTAAACTTGGCTGGGTGTTCGCTGGTTGGTATGCTATGATAAGAAGAAGACTATCGGGTTGTTCACTTGGAAGTGAACTCGTTACTTGTATCAAAGATGTCAAACTAATATGATAAGATTGATAACTAAGTTGAGCACGAAGCTCCTATCTAAATGGCAGTGTCCGAGGCATCCGTCTCGACGGTACTCGGTTTGTCGACGTCGTGATTCCTAAGGATTGGTTCCTTAGCAAATCGTCGCTTGATTT